ACGCGGGTCGGGCGTGGACCGCGTTCGGCGGCTCCGGCTTCGCTTCGGAATCGGGGCCCCGTTCCCCCCTCAGGGAGCGAGGCGCCGGGGAACCCGGCGTCCGGCCCTCGGCCGTGGGAGCTCCCGCGGGAAGCCGCTCAGCTCCCGAGTCGCCGACGGTCCCGAGGCCGCCGCCTTCCGCAGGACCCGTGCCTCAGAGTCCCCGCGGGAAGCCCGGGCGCTGCCTCGGGGCTGCTTGAGCGTCCGGGACCCCGATGACCCGGTCCTGGGGTGTCTGAGCCCCCGCCCGACCCGGCGCGTTCTCCAGGGTCCCGACAGTGGACGCCCCGGGCTGGGGTGTTGGCACTCGTCGCGCTCCGCCAGAGCCTCGGTCTCCTTGCGGGACCCTCGAGTGTGAGCCCCACTGAGCGAGTCCCCCCATCTCACGCTCCAGAATGGGGTGTCTGCCGGTTCTCCAGAGTAACTTAAGCACCCCCCGTCCCCAGCCTCCTCGGGTCGCGCGCTCTGGGATGGGAACTTCAGGCCGCCACCTGTCCTAACCCTTCTTATCCGGGGGTCACGTCCTGGCCCAGCCTCTCCTTCTAGGATGGGACCCCGGCCCGGGTCCCTTTGGGCCTTATCTGACAGGTGGGGGTCCCTGCTCCCCTGGAGTGGGGCTTAGGTTCTGAGAACAGACAGCGGAGAGCCTGGCCGCCTGGGCAGTCCGGCTGCGTGGGCCCGGGGCCTGGCACCCCCGCTACTTGGCTCCCAGTCTCCGAGCTCCCTGGGGCTGCAGCGCCCAGGCCACCGCCTCCCCAGGGCACCAGCGCCCCGGTCCAGTTGCCAGTCCTTCCTCTCTGGGCGCTGGCAGCTCCTGGAGGGAGGGGCCTGGCTCAAGGTCACGCCAGGCTGTCTGTCCCTGTGCTCTGAGCACTCAGCGATCCCCACGGTTAGGGGAGGTGAGGTGGGGGCTAGGGCCAGGCAGCTGCCTAGAAGCCCTGAGCTGGACTAGAGTGTAAACACTTTGGGAATCTGGCCAGTCTGGCTGCCGGTCCTGACAGCAGATTCCTTAAGGGAATCCTTGAAGTGGCCTCCAGCCTGGCGTACTCGCCTGGCAGAGTTAATGGATGCTTTCCAGCCCTGACCTCGAGTTACTGACCAGGGCTTCTCACCCACCTTCTTTTAGTCGGGGCTTTGCCTTCTTCCAGCCTCAGGGGCAGCAGAGTAGGGCCTGATCTTGTGTAGTTTCCCTTAGCGGGCGTGTCTGTAGTTGCTTTAGAGAACGGGTTGGCCTTTCCAGCCCAAGCCCGTGGCAGTAACTCCAGATTTAAAGTGCTCCGTGTTGGCGCTCTGCCTCAGCGTGCTGGAGTCCGTGTTGTAAGACTCCATTAGTCAGGTTCACATTTTGTTTTTACAGATGTACTTGCTTCAAGTTATAATACAGAAATGTTCCCTTCACTCAGACTGCTAAGCATTTCTTTAAAAATGTTGGTGCTGTGCTTTGTTAAGTAAATGGGCCCAATAATCTCTAGCAGATTTCCAGTTTGACACAAAATGCAGCGTTTAAAAAAGCTTTGGAAAGAAATTACTCTTTCGCCAAATGCTACTTATTGACTTATTTTTACTGTCTCAGTTGACAAACAAAAGTTAATCTTAGCTGCCCGTGCAAGACTCTGCCAACAAATAAAAGTCATTTGGCCTGGAGGTTGAGTTAGTGAACTCTTGGAGCCTTCTGCGTCGGGTCTTGTTGGTGGCAGTCTTTCCTGGGGATAGGTCAGTCCTGTAGCACTGAGACAACCCCTGGGGTGGGGCAGAATTTTTGGAAAGGCCTCTGACAGGCCTGGCTCCAAGTGGGAGGCCATAGAGAACCTGGAGTGTCCCGCAGCGTGGGCTCAGAGGAAGGCTGGAGCACATACTTCTGATGAGGGTCCACCCTCCTGAGCCATTTAAACTCCAGTGCCTCCTGTTTGCTCGTGTGCCTCTTTGAAATCCTGAAAGTGACCTGTATATGTTTGGTATTACTACTAAACCGCAGGTACATTCATGGGCAGCTGTAACTCGGGACCGGATGTAAATATCCGAGCGGGGACCAGAGGATTTAGTTCCAAATGGGTGCCTGTAGTTGCTAGATGGTTCATTGTACCAGCATCATGTGGCACCCAGGTGCCAGGAATGCAGTTCCAGGACAGCTAGGAATAACGATAAGGCTCTGCCTCCGCCCTCTACTTCTGTTATTTTATGAATGACCCTGGTGAACAAATTTGCAAAATTGAGTTAGGGCAGAACATTGCAGAACAATAAGTTCATTCATACTATCTTTTCGGGCATTCTGGCCTTAATGTAGGACAGGGTTTCTCAACCTCATTGACCTATTGGGTTGCCTAATTCTTTGTGTGGGGACTGGCGTGTGGTCTATAGCATGGTTGGCAGCTTTTGTGATCTTACTGCTTAGATAGCAATAGTGATCCCTGGTCGAGATAAAAAAGATGTCTCTAGGCATTGCCAGCTGCATGAGACACTATAGGACAGTTGAGTCCAGTGGCAAATCACTAAAAAGAAAAAGAAGCAGTTTAATCATCACTTACATTGGAAAGATATACAACTTTGAGTCGCAGGGGATTTGGAGTAAATTTGTAAGTGACTGTTCTTACAGTTGCATCCAAATGTGGGTAACTAGTTTGGCCCTCCTTTTATGAATCAAGTACCTTGCACTGCTTCCTTCTTCATCTTTCTTAAATGTGTTTTGTATTTGTCCACCTTCAGAAAATGTAGAGTTGGAAATGAGCTTAGAAAATTATCTGGTTTATCTGTTCCTTTTATAGATTTTTCTGTGATGATGAGAGAGACGTCAAGAATGATCCATGAGTTTTAAACACCTTGTCTCGAGGCTGTAGTCATGTTGGAAGGTCTTGTAGCCTGGGTTCTCAATACCTATCTGGGGAAATACGTCAATAACCTCAACACTGACCAGCTCTCTGTCGCGCTTCTGAAAGGTGAGTGCAGATATCTCTTTTGTACAGTATGTCGTTGTGTGGAGTTTCTGTTTTTTAAATTCTTTTGTTGTGTGGAGCATAATAAAATCTCATGCCTGTATGGCTTTGCACGAAATGTGTGTAAAAGGAAATATGTTCTCTTGTATGACAGAATGATTACTATTACAGGGTAACTTGAGTGTGTAGGTGTGGTGCAGATTTTAAGGAACTATTAAATATTAAAAATAAACAGGCTATGTGACTGGTGACAGTGCCTTATCTCAGCTAAATTCTTTTTAGCTTTATAAAGCTTTACGGAGGCAACCGTGGTGCAGTGACAGTGGTGTGGCTTTGGCTTCAGATCCCGCTGGGTTACTTGTCAGCTATGTGAGCAAATCCTTGAAATTCTGCGCTTCCATTTCTTTAGAAAGCAGGTACGGTACCTCTCCAGGTTGCTATTATAGCCCTTCAAGCAACAGACACCCAGTAGAGGCTTTGCAGTAAGGCACAGCCAAGTTTTCAGCAGGTGTCTGCAATCTTGTCTTAGTGGTCAGGTGGCTGGAGCTTGAGACACTCTCGCCCACAGGCCTCAGTAAGCACAGTGCAGTGAGTCGGTGTGGTGCTTGGGAAAGTGCTTTGCTTGCTTTCTCCTTGTTTTAAGTTCTTTGCTCAATTCAAAGTGGGATGCTTGCACAACTACAGAGACTGAGGCCCAGGTCAGCCTGAAGCACGCAGACTCTCAGAAAGTGGAGAAGAGACCTCAGCTTCTTGGGAGTGGGTTTGGTCAGTGGGCCAGGGCAGATGAGTGGCATTAGCAGTGATGCAGACACTTGTGTAGTCTGAGAAATGGGTGCCAGTGGTTCACTGGGCCCTAGAGGTGTGACTGTCTGAGTTTTTCTGACCCTTTTACATCAGTGAGATGATAGTGCAGCGCTGGGCTGAGGGAGCTGCCGTGGGCGCCCCGCCCTGTGCCCTGCGCTCCCTCCCTTCCCCTCCCCCGCTTTCTGCTGTGCTGAGGCAGGTGCTGCTGAAGGGAAAGCAAAAGTGACCAGCGATCCGGGAAGAGGACGCGTTCAAAGAACAGTAGTGTCAAGGCCACCTCTTGGTCACTCATTGACATTCTCACTTGGTGAAGTCAGTGGTAGCGGAGAGGGTGGCCTGGAAAGAACGTGGAATAGCCTTCCTGACGGCTGCTGGCCCTCTCGAGAGTGGCGGGAAGGAGGATGTTTGCTGCAGACATGGAGACATAGAGATTTGTGGCATCTTCTGAATCGTGGGGTCTACATTTCTAATCTCGGCAATTTTAGACAGACGAGATCTTGTGACAGCTGTGTGCTTCTCTCTGGTGCTTTAAACTGTGTTTCTATATTTATTTCCTTTTTACAAAGTAGTCTCTAGGTTTTTAACAAACCTATGGAATTTGAGGGATGTTTTTGTGCAAAATAGAAAGGAGCTTTTTCTTTGATAACCACTGTAGTACGCACCCCCACCCTTGACTTCACAGCACCCCATGGTGCTTGGGCAGGGAGCTCTTGGAGCTGTGCAGCATCCCAAGGGAACAGCTGTGTGAAGAAGTACTTTTTGTTGATTTGATGACACATTTAAGCAGTGTTTGAGGGTGGTGAAGGGTACTCAGTAGTGCTTAATTGTTACCCCGATCCATCTGCAAATATTACTGTTTAGATGCTTTGGCACCTCAGCAGAGACTGAAATCACAGTCAGGAGAAAGCCCACACTGGATCGGAATTCTAGTTCTCCCATTTACCTGTAACTTGGGCCAATTACTCATGTTCTTCTTTCTTCGTGCTTCAGGCTCTCTGTGAACTGGAGAGGATATTGACTGTCACGCAAGGTCTGAGTTCGGCCTGCAGCCTAACATGGGCCAAATCGCTTAGAGCTATTCTTTGCTCCCGCCTTGCCCCTCAGGCAGTGTTGGTGGTCATCATCGTGGCGGCTGCCACGTGCGATTGGCCGTGGGTGGGACGTCAGGGGTCGCTTGGGCGCACATGCTGGAAGTAAGAAAAACACGCAGCAGCATGTGTGTGGCTGCAGGACAGACAGCCCGGTACACTTTCACTCGTGCCGTCGTTCAGCACACACTGAGCAGCTGCGCGGGGCGCTGTGTGTGGCCGAGTGGAAAAGGGAGGCTGGAGGCGTGCGAAGAGCTCAGGGGGACGGTGGCACCCTGGTTTCACCACTTGGAAACCATTGTGACCATGAGCAAGTTACTTCGCCTCTTCACCCATGCTGCCCCGTGCCACTGAGATGGGACAGGTGTGGCATGAGCTCACGCTACTGCTCAGTGGCTCTCAGACTTCTAAGCAATTGGCTCATCCTCTATGTCCCATTTTACGTATCTTAAAAATGGAGAAATGATTACTTTCTCCAGTATTGTGAGGAGTAGGTGAGAGAGCGCATGTGGAGTGCTTCGTGCATAGTAAGGTCTCCTCAGTGGTCGCTGCGGCCATCATCATCATGATTGTCATCACCAGTATTGGTATTCCGTCTCTCCGCTTAGTGCCTGCCCTTGGCCGACTATTACCCTGTTGACGAGTCAACTCTGCTGACACCAGGTGCCGCGGTGTGCTTGTGGTGTGGACATAATGGGTGGTGGGCTTGATGGTATCATGGAGGTAGCTCTGAGGGCCTTAGCAAGATTCAGCAGGTGGTACAGTGTGGGCCACCACATTCCAGGCAGGAGGCCGTGGGAGCAGAGCTGAGGCTGAACAGGGCAGGACCCGTCTCGCATAGTCTGGGGAGAAGAGGAGCAATTGCCAGTGTCCTGCCAAGGAGCCAGGGCTTTGCGCTGTGGGTATATCAAATATAGATCCCTCCCTGCCCCCCTTTCTCTTTTTTTTTTTTTTTAGCAAGCTCTGCACCTCAGGTTGACCTTGTAAATATACTGGAGCCGAGACAGAGCATTCACTAGTCAGCAGCCAGTACTGCGACTAACCAAGCTCTACATTCACCCCGTTTCTGGTGACTAGATTTTTTGCTAATCTTGAGATGAGCAGTTTTTGGAGGCACATCCCCTAATAAGACCTGCGTGGAAACAAGTGAACACTTGCATTTCTGAGTCCTCACCTGCTCTGCTGGGTGCTTAAGGCCTGGCCCTGGGAGGGCCCCTTCCCAGGAGGGCCCATGTGGGACGCGTTCAGGGAGGAGGGCAGGGAACTGAGGAAGCCTGAAGCCACCTTGAGCTGCCGGCGCCATCTGGCCAATTCCCTAGCTTGAGGCCTGTGGTCGGCTGCCCTTCCTTCTTGTTCTTTCCCTTTCCCCTCTTACTTCTAGATCACCCCCTTTGCTCTCGACACTAAAGCTTCTTAGATTTTCATGGTGTGGATTACCTGTGATTCCTCCACTTACTAGGCTCCATAATGGCCAAGAGACCCAGGACCATCTGCCTTTGTGGCAGGTTTGGGTATTGAAAAAATAGGCCAAATGGTCCAAATCACGGGTGATAACTTCAAAAGCAGGAGAAATGCCAGGCGACTTCTGACTTTCCCCCTTGAAGTCAGTTCCAGCTGAGAAAGGTGCTTTGTGCTTTTTCCCTCTGTGATCATTATCATTTCCTCCCCAAATATGGAAATAGGTTTGTTTCTAGACTTGCTGGGGTTACTTGCTTCTCCTTTGATAGTCTTAAGGTATGTGGGGTCCCATGGGGATGGTGTTCCTGCAGAAGTCTGAAAAATAAGTTGGCGGCATTTGTTCAGACTCTGCTGAATTGCTAGATTTGAGTACTTTTTAAAAGTCAATAACCCCCAAGTCTTGAGCAGTCATTTAAAGGGGACCACTCATTTCTTGTACTAGTCTTTGGAGCGGAAGTCTGGCCTGCCTGTCCTCCCGGTTCTCCTACCAGGTGCTGGTGGCCATCGTCTGTACTGGCTGAAAATAGGTATCTCAGGCAAATTTAAATGGCTCAGAAGTCTCCTGGTATTACGCAATTCTGAAACATGCTGGCCCACTCCCCAGTTCTTTGAGGACAGAGACCCCATCTGTGAATGTGCCCAGCGCTTAGGACGCTGCAGCCACTGGCACGGGTAGAACGAAGGGCTTCCGTGGCCAGGAGCGAGCGGCTCTGCGCACCCTTGACTGCTCTTGCAGAGCTGCCGCAAAGCTATCTTGTGTTTCAGGTTTTTGTCTCCTAAAGGCTGGGCCTTCAGCTGTGGTCCTGTTTGTCCCTAGCTCTGACTGGTCCTTATGCCAGTCAGAGCCAGTCACGTCTGGGCTCCAAGACATACAATATAGCTTAGGGGTGGGGGAGAGGCCTTGTTCCAAACACACGTTTCTCTCCTGTCCCGCAGATGTCTGCACAGGGCACTCAGGAGCCTGCATGTTAGCCCAGGCAATTTGGACGTTGATAGTTCTGGGGTGAATATTAGCTTAATGGGGGTCTGCACACTGGCAACTGGCCAACTCCCGCCTGCCAGCGGAGAGTGGCCTCTATATTTTTAAAGGCTTCTTTAAAACTACAACCAGGCCATTCCTGGTGGTACAACAAGTTAGGACACAGCAGTGCAAGCGGGCTGTATCCACTTCAGTGTGCGTTCGATCCCCAGCCCCGGAGGTGACCCACATGGTGCAGCAGACCCCTCCTGTCTCCCCGCTGCTCCCCCCAGCAGCATGTTTCAGTAGATCTGCCTGTCCTTTTCCCCACACTCTCTCTGCATCTCTCTCACTGCCCTTGTACCTCTGGCCTGCACCCAGGTCTGTATGCATAAATAAATAAAGCTTTTTAAAAACTAAAATAAAAAACAACAAAAGGAGACTATAAACAGCATATGGACTAAATGCAACAGAGACCATAAAGCAGTCTTTACTGTCTGGCCCGCACTTGAGTTAGGTCCTGCCTGACCCTTCACGTGCTGGTCAGCGCCAGCTGCTGTTTGGGTGCCAAGGGAGCAGTCAGGAGTCAGCCAGGTAGAGTGCCTGGTGCTGCCCATGCATTTTACAGCCTGGCTTCAGATGAGAAACTTCTCCTGTAGCCCTCAGGGACTTGCACATAGTCAGCTTCTGCTATGTTTGTTGGGTGCAATCTCATCGTGTTGTTTTTATTTCTAGGTGCTGTTGAGTTAGAAAATTTGCCTTTAAAGAAAGATGCCTTGAAAGAACTGGAATTACCATTTGAAGTCAAAGCTGGTATGTGGATTAAAGGAGGAGACGGTTTTGAGCCTCAAATGGGTTGGGATACGAACCGTGGTCTGTTTGGCCAGCAGAGGCGGGCATGGAAGCAGAGTGTACTCTGTGAAGTGTGGGTTCTAGGCAGCTGTCATTAAGGACGATCTGGGAGGGGAGGTCAGGTGGCCCCAGACCAATGGATTAGGATCTCCAAGGGAGCACCACTTAACTCACATTTAAATAAGCACCCCAGGTAATTCCAAAGTTTATTGAAGTGTGAGAACTTCTGTTCTACATATACAGGGTTTAGGTGTCCTGAGAATTCATTTGTGAATATTACTGGGAGGCAGCTTACTCCGTGAGAGGTAGGCTCTGGGATAGGATGCTTATCTGCCATCTTGGTCACGTGACCCAGGAGAGGTGTCCTAACCATTTTGTGCCTCCTTGGTTAGGCCGGGGTGCCAGTCGTATCCACGTTATGGCTGTCGAGAGGAATACATGCGACAACACGTTACAGTGACTCAGAACAAAACCCGTGGGCCCTATAGGAGGAGCCCTCTAGTTGCTAGGTTGGTAAGGAAACGAGTCGTAGGGACTAAAACCACTTAAGGTACACTTACAAAATTAGTCCCTACTTAGAGATCCCTTATTCGACAATAGCCTGTGGAGGTAAATCAGTCTTTCCCTTATTTTAGGGTGCTTATATTACCATAAAATGCAAACACTATGGAAATCACTTGCTGGGTGAAGTAGAATAGCAATCTTGCTAAAGATTGGACTTTCTTGAAGTCAGTTCAAGTATTGGGTTGAACTGCCACAATCACATGCAAAGGTATTGACAAATGAGAATTTGGAAGAAACTTCAGAGGTGTGGCACACTGTAGGTACTGCCAAAAGAGGGTGACTTAATAGCAAAGGATCAAGGGAGGCTCTGGGGGAAAACAGGAAGTTTTAAAATATTTTTGCAAAGTGACCCTTCTCATGCTTGTTCTGCAAAAGTTAAAAGAAGCACAACATTATATTTTGTTGTCGCTAACTATCACATATTAGGCATCCCGTCTCAGTTAACTTAGGTTATAGTTACAGCTGTGCACTCGATGAAATTCTGCGCTGTGGAAATTGGCACACAGTTTTAGTTTTAAGTAAAACTTAAAAAAATGTGTTTCCATTTTTCTGGATCAAATCCAAATTAAAACTTTTTTTATTATTTGCTGTGAAATTTCTTTATTTGTTATAAAATTTGTTGTGGAAGTTTGTTATTGGATCACACAGTCTCTCACTTGGTATTGTCACAAAACATACCACTGTTAATAACATCATTATCTTAAACAGAACAGATCAGCCCCACTTGAGTGTACCCCTTTGGGGTAATGATCATCCTCCTGACAGCAGCACTGTGCTCAGCCCTGTCGGCGGTGAGAGACCCACTCGGGCAGTTTGAGTGCCTTATGCATTGGACATGGTCACTTAGGCCTTGTCAATTGAAGGAGGTTGGTTAGAAGTGGTAGAACTTGGGAAATAAGTGTCACAGCTGGGCTGGGCTCTCTAGTGTTCCCATCAGCTTTGGTTCCCTTGAAGCCTTTGAATTCTTCATTAATAGAGCGACACCAAAATGTTATGAAGGTTTCAGTTGATGTGTTCAAAATAGAACATATTGTAAACTCCCAACAAATACTTACCAACTGGCCAGTTGATTCATAATGAACCAGAAATGTGTTTTGTGCCCTCTGACTTTTGCCAGTGTCTTGGGTAGAAAGACACCCCAAGGAAGTTTCAGGTGTTGCCCAGCTGGGTGGAGGTGGTTTCCAGAGGAGAGAGAGATGTTGCATTTGATTTGGTAAAGTACACTGAACTTGTTCCAGCTTCTGACTTATATGCTTCATCTTACAGGTCTCAGCCCACCAACCTTTATTTACCATGTACAAGAAACTACTGCCTTTTTTCTTAAGTTAAAAAATAAATGGTAAAAGTAACCGTGCTCCTTAAAAAAAAAAAAAAAAACCAGGATACTACAAGAAAAATGGGAAAACTAGAAAATAGGCTTTAACAAGACTTGCTGTCTCCTCTCAGGCCTAATTGGGAAGGTAACCCTGCAGGTTCCCTTCTATCGCCCCCATGTGGACCCTTGGGTGATCTCCATCTCCAGCCTTCACTTAATTGGAGCTCCTGAAAAAATACAGGATTTCAACGATGAAAAGGAGAAGCTGTGGGAAAGAGAGCGCAAGAAAGCTCTGCTTCAAGCCCTGGAGGAGAAATGGAAGGCAAGGCAGAAATCCCTTTATCCGTTGGAGCAGTGGTGGTGAGACTCGTGAAATGCACAGCTGACTCATCTGCTCACTGGCTCCTTCCTTTCTAGAGTGAACGCCAGCAGAAAGGGGAATCCTATTGGTATTCAGTGACTGCCTCGGTGGTTACAAGAATTGTGGAGAATATCGAAGTAAGTCCCATTGACTGTTGCAAAGCACAGGCTTCCCTGTGTCTCATGTCAGAGCTGCTGGTGTCTCATGATTGAGCGGATGCAGGGTGTGCACACGGCTGACTGCTCAGCCGTGCCCATTCGGAGGCCCTGCCGATGAAACCTGAAAAGCAAGTCCCATGCTTGGGACAGACATGGGCTTCTTTTGCTTCAGCTCGTCGAGTAGGAGTTTTCCTGTTGCTTCCATTTCATTTCCTGTACTTTGCTTTTGCTTGCTGGAATCCCAGTCACTAAAGGATTTCTCTCAGAAAGTGGACCATCTAGACCTGAAGACTGCTTTGCTTGAGAGCAGGTCACTAAACCTCATCCGTCTGCTGCTTTTTTGGTAAAACTTGACGGGTTGGACAAGAGTTGACGGCACTGGAGTTGACGACACTGCATGCAGCATCTCATCTGCTCTTGTGGTGGCAGTTAGATGGGCTGTAGTGTGAGGGCTGTTGGCTGCATTTTCTGCTATCATTTCGAAATGCAAGAACTAGATTAGGCTTCTTACTAATTTTCACGAACGCAAGCTGACCCCTGCTGACACTTCAGGGTAACGCATTCAAGGTGCATCAGTGCAGTGTGAGCTTGCTGGTTTCATCACTTGATAATGTTGGCAGAGACCTTGGTACACTGGAGGGGACTGCTTTGAATTCTGTTTCAGGCAGTTATTTTTTTAGCCATCACTGATTTAAAGAAAAAATTACCAGCATTACTTTTTTTATCTTTGACAGTAATTGTATTGAGATTTAGTCCCCAGATCATAAAATTAACTCTTTAAAGTATATAACCCAGCGGTCTTTTGCGCTTATTTACAGAATTGTGCATTGACTGTGACTAATTCCAAAACACTTTCGTAAACCCCAGAGGAAGCCCTGTTTCCATCTTGGTCACTCTCCGTTTCCCTCTCCTAGGACTCCTGCAACTACTAGTCTCACTTTCTTTAAGGATTTGCCTTTTGGAAATCACACACGGTGTGGGCATTTTTTGTTGAAATATGCTTGACATACAACTTTGTGTTAGTTTCAGGTATGTAACATAATGGCTAGACATTTGAAATGATTGCCACAGTAAGTCTGCTTCTCATCTATTCTTAACAGTTTTCAAACGGCAGCACATTATTATTGCCTGTAGACTCTCTGCTGTCTATGATGGATTGTTTTATGACTGGAGAATTACATTTTTGGTCCCTTTCACCATAATGCCCACCCCGAGGCCCCTCCTCTCTAACCACCAATCTGGTCTCTGTGAGTTTTATTCCTTTTCTTTTTTAAATTCTACGTAAAAGTGGAGTCATGGTATTTGTCTTCCTCTGACTTATTTCACTTGATACTTTCAGGGTCCATCCATGTTGTTGCAAATGGCAGATTTCATCTTTTTGTGATATCTTTTGTGTGACTGAGTAATAGTCCTGTGTGTGTGTGTGTGTGTAAGTATATCACATCTTTCTCGATTAGACACTAAAATTGTTTCTGTATCTTGACTTCAGTAAATATTGCTACATCAACCGAAGGCTACATTTATTTTCTTGATTTAGCTTTTCATCTTTTCAAGATAAATTCCCAGGAATAGATTGCTGGATCATATGGTAGTTCTATTTTTAATTTCTTGAGGACCCTCCATACTGTTTTCCATCAGGACTATACCAGTGGGATTCCTGTTTCTACACCCTCATCAACACTTACTTTTTTCCCCTCTTGACTGCCATTCTTACCACTGTGGGTTGTTCGCTCACTTTGGTTTTGATTTGCACTTCCCTCATTAGTGAACTTCTGGGTGCCCTTTTGCACCAAGCTTCTTTTCCTTGGTATAATGTTTTCACGTTCGTCCAGGTAGTATCCTGTATCAACACTTCATTCCATTTTATGACTGACTAATACATTTCCTTCCAGATTTTCAGGGATGAAAAAGCCAGACAGCACATTACTTAAAGCGGTGAAACAGACTTTGCTCAGTAGCTGCTTCTGACAGTAGGGCAAAGAGCAGAGCTCATTCCAGCTTGCACAGAGGTGACGGGCGGGCTTTCAGAGGGAGGATGTGGGTGTTGACGGAGGCTGTTCCTAGGTGAATAGTTACAAAGGTCTGTGCACTGTGAATCTGATAAGGGCATAGCGAAGGCGCTGCCAGCTAGCTGGGCTGTTCTCACAGGCTGAGACACGAGCCCTGTCCTTCCTGGTGATTACATGTCAGAGAGTGACTTTCAGGTCCTTTGGTTGCAGGACATGCGTCTCACAGGGACAGAAAGGATTTACAGTTGTGAACCCTTTGTAGTAGATGCTCTAAGAAGGGGGCCTGTTGTCATTTGTTGGTTAGAACCAACATCTCTGAGCTTTTCTGGGTGAGCTGGTCCTTGGACACAGGCTCAGGCCGCTGGAACCTTCCCACATGGTCAGGCTGCTTAGTGCAAAGGTTTGCTTGAGCGTGCTCAGGTGGGGAGTTCAGGCAGCTGTCAGGATAGGCTACATTTTGTTTATTCCTTCATCAGTTGGTGGCATCTTGCTTGTTTGCACTCTGGTGTTATGAATAATGCCGCTGCCAAATTCATGTCAGGCTTTACGTGAGATTTGCAGTACTCTTGAGTATACGTCGGAGTGGACTTTTGAGTCATCTGGTAATTAATGTTCAATTTTTTGAGGAACTGTCAAACTGCATTCTAGAGAGGCAACATTATCTGAATTTTACCAGTAATGTATGTATATTTCAGTTTCTCCATATCCTCAACAACTCTGGCTGTTGTCTGTTTTCTGGTGACAGCTGAGTCAGTGTGTATGTAGTGATGTCTCACTGGCAGCCTCGCACGCACCTCCTTCGGGGCCGATGGTGTAGAGCATCTTCTATACTCAGTGGCTATTTTTGCATCCAGTTTTAGAAGCTGTCCAAACTTTTGCCCGTTAAAAAAAAATTTTTTTTATTGTTAGATTGTAAGGGCTCTTTGTGTATTCTAGATTCTCGTCGCTTACTGGATAGATAATGTGAAAATATTTCCATGCATTGTCTTTTTAATTTCTACTGTGATTTTTTAATTCACTGAGAGAGAGTACCTCTTCTGTAACTACTGTGGGAGCAATGGGAAATAAATAAGTACAAGGGTCCTTGCCTCGCCCCCAGGGGTGGCGATACAATGTCAAGATTGGCAAGTCATAGGAGGTGGAAGAGCAGCTCCCTGGACACAGGGGCTTGACTGTCTTTTAGTGTCAAGTGAAACGAGTTAGTGAAAGTATTGTAACTCTTCTCTAGATAGCACCGATTGTGCAACTGGTTATGGCTCTTGGCAGGTGGCGCGTACCTGATGGCAGCGTTAGCGTAAAGTGCCCACAAGGGCCTGGTGCCCTTGCCTGCTCTGTGGCAGCTGTCTCAGCACACGTTTCTCTTTCTCTCCCGGCAGCTAAAAATTCAAGATGTTCACCTGCGCTTTGAAGATGGCATCACCAACCCTTCCCACCCCTTTGCATTTGGCATCTGCATTAAGAATGTCTCCATGCAAAATGCTGTGAACGTGCCTGTGAGTATGAATGGGACTGCAGGGAAAAAGCGGTGGCTTCAGGGCATCTGTCCTCTGCTTTGGTCCTTTCTGTCGTGTAAATGAATCGCATTCTTTCCCGGCATGGTTCTTTGGAGGGTGTGTATGAACGTTCCTCTCTGAAATAAGGAATCCGTTTATTGTCTCTGACCTTTTGCAGTTTCACCCATCCATTAGATGTTGGCCAGTCCCTTTCATTTAAACACGAGAAAATCTGGGCGCAGGGTCGTCTTTGATTTCCTTCCCCTCTGTGTGCTCTCCCTGGGAAAAGTCACAGTTCCATTGTGACTTTATTTGTGGATGACTCCACGTCTTCACGCCATCCTCCACGCTCTTTCGCTTTCATAGTTAGGGCCTTATCACTGCTGTGGGACACCACACACAACCAAAATGACCCCGTTAAGTTCCGTCTGCCCCCCTTCATTCACTGAAACCTACTTCCCTTGTATTCTCTAACTTGTTGCTAAATATTGAAGAAAACAAACAAAGACTCACCTTTTTGGAACCCTCATATGTGTCAGGCCTGCTCTTTGCACTACGGGATTCCGCTTTCACTGCAATTACTACCTCATGTTACAGCTGAGGCTCCTAAGCTGGAGCGATGCAGTGAACAGTGGGGCCTGGTCTTGAACCCACGTGCACCAGGCTGTAGAGTAAGGGCTGGCAAACTCTGTCTTGGGGGCCAAAATCGACCCTCCACCTGTCTTTGTATATAAAAATGTATTGGGTCACTGCCACACCCAGAGTTCATACGCTTTCCGGTGCTTTGTATGACAGTGGCAGTTAAGTAATTACAACAGGGAGTAGATATTTGCCGTGTGGCCCTTCACAGAGAAGTTTGCTGTCTCTGTTCTCAGCGGGACATGACTCTCTGGAAGCCTGTACTTGTCCTTTCACGTCTTACTCGACTTCCACGTCTGTTTAGTCACAGCATCCTGACAATTTTTTCTGTAAAATGTCTCAGATTGACTCTGTTCATCCTCACTCTGTCTGAGGGCAGGATCTTGCCATCTTTTGCCTGCTGGTAAAAGACCCTGTCTGGAACCTCTTTGCTCCCACCCTGCGCCTGTGATTCACTCCATGCCAGTGTTTTCTGTGTCGCAGCGCACATAGGACAGAGCTAGCATTGTACAGGGCCCTGAGCAGCAGGGCATGCCGCCTGGAGCTGAGGGTAGCCTCAGCTTGGTGACTAACCCAGCATCTCTGAAATGCAGCTTGTTCCTACGGACTTGCTCATTACCTTGGCACAGTCATGGTCATTTTCTCCGGCACCAGGTTGGGCAGCACTACTTGGCACTATTCCAGAATTTTGTTTCTGAGTCACCTGCTCCAGCACACGCCCACATCAGCACTCTTAGCAGCGCATGCCCCTCAGTGTAGGAAGTCCAGGCTGTCAGTGGCATGGACTTCTGTCCAAGTGTGTCCATCTCAAACTACCATAAACCAGCTGGCTCAAAGCACCAGAAGTTCATTCTCTCTATTTCGAGGCCAGAAGTTCAGAATTGAGGTGCTGACAGGTGGTTCTTTCCTGAGGCCCCACCCCGTGCCCCTTTCTCTGCTCCTGTGGTTGCTTTGGCACTCCCGGCCTGTGGGGGCGTTGCTCCTGTCTCTTCACAGCCTTCTCCCCTGTGTTTCGTCTTACCAGGACACCATGATTGGATTAGGACCCATCCCAGTCCGGTATGATCTCATTTAATGTGATTGTATCTGCAAAGATCTGTTTCCAAAGAAGGTCCTGTTCACATGTCTGGGTGGACATGAATTATTTTTCTGGGAAACTGTTATGCTCAAGACATCTAGTAATGTTGCAAGCTATTTTTTCAATCCTTAACTGACTCTACCCCAAGTGTGTGTTCACACACACAGCAGCGCTGCCCTCTGCAGCACGGGTCTGGGGTTCAGTCAGACAGGGGCAGTCACTGTTCCCAGGAGCCCTGGGCCTTTGGTATCACAGAGCCTACACTCTGCCCAACTTAGACATCTTTTGATACTTGTCTGCCCAGTGCTATTTTTTCCTCTGTTCACATCATCTTGCATGTTCTGCTTAATGAAAATTGTTTGCCTATTCGTCTTCCATGTGGCTAGATTTCAAGCTCCTCAAACAATACCATGGTTTAAGTTAGTTTTGTTTCCCCAACACCTCGAAAAATGCCTGATATTGATTCTTCAAATTGTTTGTTGAGTGAATAAATACATTCATGAATAGAGAGTCATCTTGCTCCTTTCCCTGTCTTTTTACCTCAGGTACAGAAATTAATGCGGAAAAAGCAATTAGATGTGGCAGAGTTTAGCATCTATTGGGATGTCGATTGCACTTTATTGGGGGACTTGCCTCAAATGGAGTTACAGGTATGACTGACAGAGGGCTTGTGAAGACACATGGTCTGTTTTCTGTGTGTTTCCCGTTCCTCTCTTCCGCCACAGGTGTCCTGAAGGTTGTATACTTGAGGTACCTGCCGTGGCTATAACATGGATTAATCGTTTCACACTTTATTCTTTTAGGGATTTCTTTTTTCCTTCACTTAAGGCTAAGATATACATAATTACTCGCTTCTGACTACTGCATGATACTTCACACTTTTTTGTTTTATAAAGTTATCTATAGTTATCTGTTTGCAGCTAACGTTTTCTAGTTATCTGTTCTCTTAGCCACTGTGGACTAGGGATACAGATTTTAGGTGAACGAAGTGCCAGATCTGATTCTTAACGTTTAGTCGAAACTTTGCCTTTGGTGTCACTCCTTTAAAAAGTGCTTAGAAACTCATTATAAATCTTTGGATATAAAATGTGACTGTGAAGGAGAAAAGAAATCTCAGTTTAATATTTCTGTAAAGGAATTGTTGGTGTTTAGATAAAATGGAGAAAGCGGTCTCATTTCAACCCCCGCCCCGTGACTAGCATGCTACGTATGTATGCTTTTTGTGTTGCTGACTTGATTAAATAAGGCCTTGTATCACATAGCACAGTAGCAGACATAACATAAAAGCAGAGGTCTTGGAGATGAGCATACAGTAGTCTGTCTGATACAGTGCTAGGTTTAAAACACGACGGTAGAGTTAGCTATTTATATAAGTACAGTTAAAAGCCCACAAAAAATTACAGGTATGCTTGAACCTGTACAGAACGCCTTCGGTAGAATACCAGTCAGGAACTCGTTGCTTCTGGGAAGAAGAATTGGGTGGCCGGAGGGTGAGAGTAGGAAGGAGATGTTTCACTGTAATTTACCTTTCAAATTTAAATTATGTGAATGTTACCCAATAAAAAAAGAAAAATATTTCAGAATCCTTGGGAGCTTCAGGTTCCCAGTTATACTCTGTGTTTGGATTCTGATGTAATATGAATATAGATTATATCTATACAGAGTTGTGACTGGACCCTGAGAGCATTTGCGATGGTGACAGATTTCTTGTGACACCAGGAGGCCATGGGCACGAGCATGGAGAGTCGCGACCACCACTACATCCTGGAGCCCGTGTGTGCGTCTGCTCTCCTGACGAGAAACTGCTCCAAAGAGCCGCTGCGGTCCCGGCACTCGCCCCGTATTGAATGTGATATTCAGCTGGAGACCATTCCCTTGAAGCTCTCCCAGGTACCGCCTCCTCCGGGGCTGGCCCCCAGGGTGAGGGGCAGTGTGGGCCGAAGGGCATCACCGTGGCCTCAGGGGAAGGGAGGAAGAAGAGTGGCCCTGAGATCAGACAGTGGGGTTGGATTGACCTCAGGTTAGTTGGGGTTTGGTGTTTTGAAGTGCTGAGCAAAGAGTAAAAGAGATAAAGTAAAAATATTGAGGGTTCAGAGAGGCCCTGGCTGCTGAGATGGCGTCTCTCATGTTGTGCTGGGTTTCAAGTCTGCACTTAACTAACGTGACTTCTCTTAGACTCTGTCTTTACTGAGTAAGAGAAGCCCATCAGTTCTAACCTGTCTCTCTTAACCTCTGATAAAAAGCTGCAGTACCGACAAATCATGGAATTCCTCAAGGAGCTGGAGCGAAAGGAGAGGCAGGTGAAGTTCCGAAAATGGAAACCCAAAGTGGCCGTGTCCGAGAAGTAAGGGCTGCTGAGTCATCTTACATGTGAAGTGCATGTCATGGCCTGTCCTGCTTTGGCGCATAGATCAGAAACAGGCTTCCCTGTCTTTTACATGTGGCTGGAGATAAAAGTGCAGTTGGTTTTTCTGCCCTTTCAAATGCTATGCTGTTGTGTGTTGTTGGGTGTTGCAGGCTTGCGTTTCAGGTTGTTGGGGCTCAAGAAGTGCCTCTCAGCCCTGTTAAGCTGCTGGGCTAACACTTTGTCTGGTGGAATGGAGCGTAGCTGCACTGCACACTTTGCAGCGTATATGTCTCCTATGGCAAAGAGGTGTCTTTCCATGGAGCAGTGGTAACGCCTTTTTAGACCCCATGTATTTCTGAAACATTCCGTTTAAAATCTTTTAGATGCTACCTGATAGTCACCATGTAGTAAAGGCATGTGCCCGAGGCCAGGGCTGACCGTGCGTAGCTGTGGAAACCACAGACAGCGAAGCCGCCGGCAGAGGGAAGCACTGCCCTGCAGTGATGTGAATTACCCACAGTATCAGCTCCTGCCACTGACAAAAAAATCAAATGGTGCTATCAGGTAGCATCTCAAAGATTTTAAATGGAATGTTTCAGAAATACATGGGGCCTCAAAAGGCGTTCCTATAATGGCCTGGTCAGATTTACCACCACTCCATGGAAAGACACCTGTTTGCCACAGGAGATATATTCAGCAAAGTGTGCAGTGCAGCTACGCTTACTCCACCAGACCAGCCGTTAGCCCAGTGGCTTAATGGGGCTGAGAGGCACTTCTTGAGTCCCCACATGGTGTATTGCTATAACTGCTGCCCTTGTTACTAGTTGTTAATCTCTTACTGTGCCTAACTTTATCATAATCAGCGTGTGGAGAAAACAGTTGGTGCAGGGTTCAATACTATTAGCAGCTGCAGGCCTCTGCAGGGGTCTTGGAATGTATCCCCAGAGGAGGGGTGGTTACTGTGATATATTGATATAGAAGGTAGGATCTGTTACTTGATGTTCTTGGTCAGATGATTTACTTTCTCCACATGAGCCGAGGCATAAACTGATAGCTGACAGGAGAGAAGGTGTCTCAGAAGAGGAGTAGTGTTATTCCAGTTGCTTTTATTCTAAGAAGCAAGCACTTGTTATGAACTATTTCAGCTGCCGAGAATGGTGGTACTTTGCTTTGAACGCCAACCTGAATGAGATCAGGGAGCAGCGGAAATGCTGTACCTGGGACTTCCTGTTGCACCGCGCCCGAGATGCCGTGTCTTACACGGATAAGTACTTCAGCAAGTTGAAAGGAGGCTTGCTGTCTGCAGATGACAAGGTGAGGGGACTGTTGTCTGGGGTTTCTTGTCCTTCAGAGGAAGAGAATGCTCTCTCAGCATCTGAAGGATTTGGGATCTGTGTTTCACAAGCATTAGCTTAGGTCAGCAAAGTGGGTAGACTCTTACTTTTCCCAATCCAGCTGAGAAAACTGAGGACCAGATTCACACAGTGAGAGTGTGGCCCTCAGCCCCCTTATGTCTCATATGGGACATTTCCACTTGGGCTTTGCTGCCCGTCCCAACAGCCCCATCCAGGAAACCAGGACTGAAGGTACTACGGAGCCCACTGCCACCTCTGGGTTCCGGGTCTGTGGGAGTCTCCTGCAGAATAGAATTGACGCTCTTGTGGGTCCTGTTGTTACCAAGTGCTGTTTACTTGGGTGGTATGGAGAAGGACTTTATGCCAGAAGCTTGGCAGCCAGGGCCCCGCATTTCTTCAGTGGAAATGCTGTACTTTCCCAGTAATTGTAGAGGTTTGGGTGAGTGTCCCGTTTCCCCGGTGTGATGATACATGGTTTTCCCCCACCCAAACAGGAGGAAATGCATCGGATTGAAGAGGAACAGAGCTTTGAGGAACTGAAGATTTTGCGTGAACTGGTTCATGAGAGATTTCACAAGCAGGAAGAACTAGCTGAGGTAGGAGATCCCGGGAGAAGACGTGTTCAGAGCCAGCATGCTCTGAGCTCCTCAGTTTTGATGTGTCTGTGCTTCTGGGGGCACAGAGAGTTGTCAGTGGCACATGTAACTGTCTTGTCTTTGGGGGCTCATTTGCGTGCTTTTTTGCTTGCTGCAGAGTCTGCGAGAGCCCCAGCTGGATTCTCCGGGAGACTCTCCTGCAGGTCCGGAACCCGGGGGAGGCAGCGGGCTGCTGCAGTACCTTCAGTCCTGGTTTCCTGGCTGGGGCGGCTGGGACGGGCAGCAGACCCCAGAAGGCAGCGCCGTGGCGGGTCTGCCTGGGGAGCAGCACGAGCAGTGGACTCCTGAGGAGGTTTTGGGTAAGGCGGGAGCTGACTTCCTGCTTCTCTGCTGAGAAATTGGCTTCTTTGTGAATAGCCTATGGTATTTTTCAGATAATAAAAAATTAGAAAGTTGTCCACAATTTGTCTTATGTTGATAGAGGTGTAGAGAGAATGATTTGAGAGACTCAGCATTTGCAATTTTGTTACTAAATTAGGATATTAGTTCAGCTTTAGGCAGATCTGAGTGATAGTGATTGTAAAAGAACTAAATATGAGGAAATTCAAAAGATTGAGTCTCTGGAGCTTGCAGGCCAAACAGAGTTACTCTTTAGATCCGAGCTGTCCAGGATGGCACCCACAGGCACCAATAACTGTTGAAGTTTAAGTTGATAAAAATTAGAAACCAAAATTCACTTCCTCACTGGTATCAGCCATGTCAGCCACATGTGCCCCAAGTGCTCACACACGGTTAGTGGCCACGTGCCGGCCACAGCAATGGTGGGACCTTCCATCATGTATACAGTGCTGCTTTCCTCTCACGGTCTCACAACTCCTGACATCTCCCTGGCTTGATGATGAGCTGGCTCATCAGGCTCTTGTAAAGCAGATGGGCCATTTTACTTTAGTGAATTAGTGCATGAGTTTGTTTTGAATAGGAAAGGCTCACTCAAGAAAGTCATCGTGACTTTAGCTAGTAGGTGTGGTGTGCTTTTTAAATGTCCCACTTTTTTCTTAAAGTCTCTTCTCCTCACATTTAGGCACGGAAGAATTTTTTGACCCCACTGCAGACGCCTCATGTATGAACACGTATACAAAGCGGGATCATGTCTTCGCCAAATTGAACCTGCAGTTGCAGCGAGGAACCGTGACTCTGCTGCACCAGGAGCCGGGGACGCCGCCCACTGGCGAAAGTGCTTTCATGCAGCTCGAGTTTTCAGGTGCGCCCTGGCAAACACCTGACGCTGTTTTTTCTCTCAAGAGGCATGTCCCTGCAAATGGCATTATTTGGTGATAACTTCTAGAAAGTCGTTGTAAGCACTGAATAACTGAACACTGAAATCATGGCCCCGGGAAGTCATGGGTAGATAGATGCCTGTAAGCCTCTGGTCATGACTGTCATCAGCTGACCAGTACCAAATTTCTTTGGATGTGTGATTGTGTTTAAAGACACTATTATTAGTAGTAGTATTTATTATTATAGTTTATTTTTATATCATTTTGTGCCTTTTCCCATTTCAGTTGTAATCCCCATGGGCTTCCCATCCACCAAATCACCTGTGTGCCATCACCATAGTCCAGTGCACTCTACTCCCCCCTCACCCCCACTCTATCCCTGTAAAATATCTCTGGTATATGGCTGTTCATTATTATAATTATTTTTTCCCCTGGTCCTTTATGCTCCTGCTGAGTAAAACCATCTGGTATTTTTCTTTTTCTTTCTAGCTTATTTCACTGAGCATGATCTCTTCCAGCTCCATCCATGTTGCTGCAGAAGGCATGAGTTTATCTTTTTTGATTGCTGAGTAGTATTCCATTGTGTACATGGACTGCATCTTTTAAATCTAGGCACCTACTTTAAAGACACCTTATTTACTATAGGATGTCAGTTCATTAATAAGAAACTCACAGCCAGTGACACTAGAGCTCATGTCTGAGTAAAGCTCATTTAATACATATTATTTTCTTAGCACATCTACAGAATGGTTACTTACCTGAGCTCCCTGAGCAATTTGAAGGCAAATCACCAAAAAAAAAAAGTCAGTTTGGCTGACTTTGTAATCCTGAGAGCTGAGTGAGCATAAAGTCAGTGTCAACTGGCGGAGTGTCTGAGCTTTGTGAAGTGCTCTATTGAAAATTTGTAATACCCCTATGTGTTTCATGTAGGTAGTACCCATAGGTAGTAGACCTTTGGTTATAGAGATAGGTTTTTTAAAAAAATTGTTTCTAATTTCAAGGAAACATGGTTCATGATATTTAATAGTCCTCTATAAAACATGGTTTTACAGCACATCATGCTATAGCAAGAATCCTCTTATTTTTTGTAGATGTAAAGCTTCTGGCAGAATCTCTTCCTCGAAGACATTCTTCCTTGCTTTTAGTCCGGTTGGGTGGACTGTTCCTTCGGGACTTGGCCACAGAAGGAACTATCTTTCCCCTCCTGGTCTTCCCGAATCCAGTACGTACTACAGCGGGATGCTAATCTGTCTGGGGTGGTGGAGAGTTGGGCCCTGTTTTTGAGGCAAGTGGTAAGTGATACCGAGTGCTCCACTCTGGCATTCAGTCACCCTCAGACACATGGGCCGTTTAGGATAGGCTGGAGCTGAAAAGGTTCCGAATTGACTGGAGGCTAGAGGGAATATTGGTAAGGTGTGAGGTGGTGCCTCCTGCCTTTCCTGCTGTCACCACCATGAGACAGTTTGCTCCAATTTGGGAGAAAATGCCATAAGCACCTTTGTTTTCTTGGTCGATGCTTGAGTTTGCTCTGGGCTTCATCTGCTCGGAGTTAAGGACTGCCTTGCTTTCTCTCTGTACTTAATTTTTTATATGAGATATGCGTTATTAATTTGAGATTTTGACTTTATCAGTTTGGCAAAGATATGGTCAGGTTAACTGATGACTTAGCCACTTTGTAATTTTTGGGGGCATTGTGTTGTGGCGTGGGTGGAGGGCAGAGCAAGAGTCTGAGAAGCCCGACGTAGCACTTGTTAGAGGTGCCAGCTACAGAGCAGCTGTGAGGACTATCGGGGAAGGCTCATGCTGGGGGCTCAACTGTAAGTCCGCCTGACCTGAGGTCAGCTGAGGTTTGATTTGAGTGTGCCCGTAGCAGATGACCTTTATGCCTTTTCTGTGTGTCCCATAGCAAAAAGAAGTTGGCAGAGTCTCACAGTCCTTTGGCCTCCAGTCACCGTCAGCAGAGAGACATGATCATTTTGCTGGTAATTTGTCCTCATCAATTTCCTGGTGGTATGTTTTTAAAATGAAACTCAAAAAACATGGTGATCACTAGCCGAGGCCGTGGCTGTGGTCCAGCAGGGAGTATGTTCCGTGGCATGCCCAGCAGATTGCCATGCAGTGCCCGTCTCACCCAGAGATGGCCCTGCACACTCCCTGCATCTGCGTGCAGCAGGGGCGGGCCTTGCAGGGTCTGGCGCCTGAGGTCCCTGTGACGAGTATGGACACGGCACCCCCATGTTGAAGATTCCTCTGGTAATTCGCAAGTCTGTAAATTGTTAGGTTCTCTATTTTATAAACTGCATACATGTGAACTAGTTGGAAAATAACTTAGAAAATGTCCTTTTTTTCTAGAATTTCTCACAGATTATTAAAAGCAACTTGTTCTTCTCCATTTTCCCCTCTGTGTCTTCCCTGTAGCTGCTGACCTGGATGAGCCCGTGTTCGAAATGTTGTATGAGAGGAACCCTGCGCACAGCCACTTTGAGAGGCGGCTGGACGCCAGCACCAGGCCCTTGAACATCATCTATAACCCCCAGGCTATTAAAAAAGTGGCTGACTTTTTCTACAAGGGAAAGGTTCATACCTCAGGTTAACTTTTTAGTTTGTTTGATCTTATGTTACTTTTCAAAGCTGTCTTTCTTGTCATTCCTGGTGCTTCCGGACTAGGGCTGCTAGCTCTTCAGTCTTATATAGAGGACTGTAGTGTAACTGGGTGTGGGGGTTTTCTTTAGTTATTAAGACAAAGCAGGTGACTTGGAAAGTCACTCTTCCAAGAAGAATCAATATCCTTACTTTCGCTTTACTTTCCTCCATTTAGCATACATTTTAAAATACTTCTCATTGCATTGGAATAGTGGTTTCTTGGGTACTCTGGATATTTTAGGTCGGTGCATTGAGGAGGAATGTTTAAGAATTTCCTTGCCTGTGATCAGATCAATGGCCTCTTTTACTTACTTGTGCAGTGTCAGATATGGCAAAGCTCACCACCACACTCTCTGTATCACTATTGATTTGTTCATGTCCCTCTTTTTTCCCAAAATAGAGTGAGGCAGTCATGAAGAAAAAGCACTTTCATTGACAGGGAAATGGATCAAACAGTAGTACTTTCCTAAATGTATCTCTCCTACCCCTCCTCTAACAGTGAAGCTATTTCAGGTTTTGAGTCTTTTCATGTAAATAGTAGCCACAAATGTTTGGGTTTCATTGAGCTGTCGCTGATAGGTTCTGGAAAGCATTTCCTTCTAAATTCTATTTTCTCTTCTGATATAAAGCCATACTTTCAAAGATTCTGAACTATAATCATTTGGAATCCTTTAGAAAATGGCCAGAAAATTCTAGTGACTTGGGTCCCTCCCTTTGGGTGCTGCTTTTGTCCCCAGGACTGTCCCTCAGCTGGTCTCTGTCTCTGGTTGAGACCTGCATGCACACAGTGCATGTTGGGTAGGAGGAGGAGCTATTTTGCAACTGTACTTCAGCTTTGGTGGAGACACTTAGTGAGAATAGACCTTGTGATGTTTTTCTTAGCCATTTGAAAATCTTGACACTTCTGTAAATGTCCAATCTTGCAGGTTTTGGTTATCAGTCTGAACTTGAGTTGAGAGTTGCTGAAGCTGCCCGAAGACAATATAACAAACTGAAGATGCAGACGAAGGCAGAGATCCGACAAACCCTCGATCGTTTGCTAGTGGGTGATTTCATTGTAAGTGGCGTCCACCAGCAGTCCTTGCGGGGTGGGGGGTCGGCAGTGGGGGAATAGGAGTTCTTTCTGTTAAGTTCTTTACCTGCTGTAGATAGGCCTGCTTGTGTCAGTTGCACTGACTCGGTTTAAGGGGTAAAAACAAACTTGGGGTAGACGTGCTTCCTCCTGATACTGGCAGGGAGCACTCTCAAGACTCGTCTTTGTTCCGTTTTCTAGACCTGCTCATTTGTAAATGTTTCAGTCGTCCTCTTTTCACTCATCAGAAGGGAGACAACTGGAATGACATCCCAGTTGTGATGGGGGGGAGGGGGGTCACAGTCACTTTGTGATGCTAAGTGGCCAGCCAAGGGGAGGCAAAACCAGGGAACCAGGAACCAGAACAGTCCAGGGAGTTGGGTTGCTGCTGGGCTGCAGCAGGGGAGGGAGCAGCTGAGTCGGCTGGGCAGGGCCCTTGGAGAGGGGCATGTGACACGGTCAGTTCATGTTTTGCAGCTCAAGCATTGAGGGGCATGTAATAGGAGGTAGAGAACTAGTCCTGGGGCCTTGTCTGTTTCAACTCAAATAACAACAATTAGTACTCTTTTGTTACCTTAGAAAAAGATTTCTTTTTGATCACACGTACATGCATTACACACGTACATGTATCAGTTTTTACTAAATGCATTTAGTTGAGTCTCATTGCAGTTGTCAGGAAGGACAACTAACACATCGTGGGTTACTGTGCTTTTTATTTCAAATGTCAAAGCTTATGATTTTCACTAAGATGTTTTGGTATAAAAGTTCATAGTTACCAAAGTCCGTGAACAAATACAAATATTTGGATTTCTACATTTGTTTGAACTCTAATTCAGTGCTTTAAAAGATTTAAGTCCTGTCCATTTGGAAGGTCTTTCCTAAACTATGGATCATTTCATCCAAAGCATAGACAGCCCCAACCAGTGATGAGCTGTCTGTGCCTCTGCCCTTCCCACTTCTGACATTGGCCCGTACAGTGTCCCAGGCCCCCAGGTCTGCTTCTGTTTAAACTTAGTGCTCCAGACCGTTAAGTTGCTCCACAGAGTAGCTTTCAGAAAGGCTTGAGCCCAGCTGATGAAGCTGTTGGCAGCTGCAATGAAATGTCATTTAATTGTAGTTTGTTTTTCCAGGAGGAAAGTAAGCGATGGACTGTGCGACTAGATATTTCTGCCCCTCAAATGATCTTTCCAGATGACTTCAAGTTCAAGAATCCTGTGTTAGTTGTTGTGGATCTAGGAAGAATGTTGTTGACAAACACCCAAGGTATGGTGGGAATGTGAAGTAATGAAAATGTCTCTTGGTGGTTTGTTTTCCTTTTTTTAAGGATATATTTATGCATACAAAACTGGGATACAGGCCAGAGATGCAGGGATGTTGAGAAGATTCACGAGAGACAGAGTAGGGAGCAGAACAGGCCGAATGGCATGGCTGTACATTGCTGAGGGGAGCAGCGGGCGGGTCAGGGGAGGCCTGCTGTGCCATATGGGTCACCTCCGGGCAGGGATCGAACTCATGCTGAAGTGGCTTTAGCTTCTTGGTGCTGCGCTTTAACCCACTGTCCACCAGGGAGGGCCTGTTATACTTTTTAAAGAAGATTTTATTTTTGCATAGAAAAACGGGTGCAGTCAGGGTGATGGAAGGGTAAGAAGATTCAGCAGAGACAGAGTGGCAAGCAGAACAGGCAGATCCACTGAAACATGCTGCTGAGGGGGACAGCAGGTGAGACTGAGAGGTCTGCTGCGCCCTGTGTGTCAGCTCCCTGGCCGGGGATCGAACTCAAACTATTGTGGTGGTCGAGCTGAGCCTAAGCCCCTAGGCCACCAGAGAGGCCCCACCCTCAACATGTTTTACATTTTGAGGTACCCTCAGGTTGTTTTCCAAAATGGTAACATTTGACCATCTTACTTGAAGTTCATGAAGGTTCTCAGCATCCTCAGCAACACTTGCCATTTGTTAGTAGCTATTTTAATGTATATAAAATAGTTTCTCATGGTTTTAATTTGCATTTCTCATATATCATTTTGTAATTTAATAGATATTGTTTTTCAGTACTTTCAGGAATAGAGATGTAATCTATCCAGGGGTACTGGGAACATATATAAAAAGAGACTCCTGAAAGGTGATTTCATTGCTGCTGATAGTTTAAAAAAATACTCACTGTTTTACCTTGAGCTGGGAGGGAAGGAAGGGAGTGTTCATGGAGTAAAGAGATTGAGGAAGTTTGTTAAATGATTTCAACCTTCCCGGAGGAGATTCAAAAGCAAAAAGGGCAGAGCAGGAGTGGAGAAGTTTGGTGCTGACTGGAACATGAAGGGACACTAGGTTGGAGAAAGCACCCACGCAGCCACCACAGGCACCTCCTTGAGTTACTACAGCATACGCTGGAGCAGCGACCAGGGACAGCGCCCGCAAGTTGGTTTTGAGGTTGTCTCAGTGGCACAGGAATGCGAGCGCCGGCCTGGAACAGGACAGGTTGAGCAGCTGCTGCTGGCCAGGCGGTGTGTTGGGCACTCGGTGTCAGCCGGAAGAATAGGCGAGGCTTCTTTTCTCTTGGAGTATTCTATTCTAGTGTGGGCAGTGCCGTGAACACTTAGGCAAACACAGCAGAAAGTACTGCTCAGAATAAAGTTTAGTTTTTAAATTGGGGCTTGTTGAATCTGTTTTGTTTGTGGTCACTGATTTAAAATGATGCTCTAATTATTACACTAAGGAGGCAGGAAGAGCAGATTCCTGCTTTGAGTCTTCTCTTTTGAACTGCAGATGCCTCCAAGAGGAAAAGCGGGAATGGGTCCACATCTGAAGAGAATCAGTTTAGTGATGATGAATACAAGACACCCCTGGCTACACCTCCTAACACCCCACCTCCCGAATCAAGCAGCAGTCATGGGGAGAAAACACCTCCATTTTCTGGTGTTGAATTCAGTGAAGAGCAGCTTCAGGCACATTTAATGAGCACCAAGATGTACGAGCGGTACTCTCTGTCATTCATGGACCTCCAGATCATGGTTGGGCGGGTGAAGGACAACTGGAAGCACGTCCAGGATATTGATGTAGGGCCAACCCACGTGGTTGAGAAGTTCAATGTGCACCTGCAGTTAGAACGTCGCCTGATCTATACCTCAGATCCCAAGTATCCTGGAGCTGTTCTCTCAGGCAACTTGCCAGATTTAAAAATCCACATCAATGAAGATAAAATATCTGCTCTCAAGAATTGCTTTGCACTCTTGACCACCCCAGAAATGAAGACTCCTGACACTCAGATTAAAGAGAAGATTTTCCCTCAGGAGGAAGAAGGGGGAAGTTTGCAAGACTCAGTGATGAACTTGACCCAGAGTATTGTGATGCTGGAGCAGCATACCCGGGAGGTGCTGGTGGAGTCGCAACTCCTCCTGGCTGAGTTCAAGGTCAACTGTATGCAGCTGGGTGTGGAGAGCAATGGCCGCTACATTTCTGTGCTCAAAGTATTCGGTACCAACGCTCACTTTGTGAAGAGGCCGTATGATGCTGAGGTTTCTCTGACTGTACACGGTTTGCTCCTGGTAGACACCATGCAGACATACGGTGCTGATTTTGACCTGTTGATGGCCTCACACAAGAACCTGAGCTTTGATATCCCCACAGGAAGCCTCCGTGATAGCAGGGCCCAGTCTCCTGTGTCAAGCTCTGTCGTGGCCCCCTTTACTGATGCTGCCACTCTGAACCACCGGTCAGCCGCCAGTGTTTCTCTTGACAGGATCCTCACCAAGGAGCAAGAATCCCTTATCAAATTGGAATATCAGTTCGTGAGCTCAGAGTGCCCATCGATGAATCTGGACAGCACTCTTCAGGTGATTTCACTGCAGGTGAATAATCTGGACATTATCCTAAATCCAGAGACCATTGTGGAACTGATTGGTTTTCTTCAAAAATCATTTCCCAAGGAAAAAGATGATCTGAGTCCTCAACCTCTGATGACTGATCATGAGAGGAACTGTAGGGAACAAGGAACTTATCAGTCTACATATGAACAAAACACCGAGGTGGCGGTGGAAATCCACAGACTTAACCTGTTGCTCCTTCGGACGGTGGGGATGGCGAACGGAGAGAAATGTGGCAGGAAGATTGCCACTGCGAGTGTAGGCGGCACCAAAGTCAACGTCTCCATGGGCAGCGCATTTGACATCAATGGTTCTCTTGGCTGCTTGCAGCTGATGGATCTCACTCAAGATAACACTAAGAACCAGTACGTCGTCAGCATTGGGAATTCTGTCGGCTACGAGAACATCATCAGTGATATTGGCTACTTTGAATCTGTATTTGTCAGAATGGAAGATGCGGCCCTCAGCGAAGCTTTGAGTTTCACCTTCGTGGAGAAATCTAAGCAGGAGTGTTTTCTCAACCTCAAGATGGCTTCCTTGCATTATAACCACTCTGCAAAGTTTTTAAAGGAATTGACACTGTCCATGGATGAACTGGAAGAAAATTTTCGAAGCATGCTGAAAAGCGCAGCCACCAAAGTGACCACAGTGCTTGCCACAAAAACAGCCGAGTACAGTGAGATGGTGTCACTCTTTGAAATGCCAAGGAAGGCCCGGGAGCCCTTTCCCTTAGAAGAAAATGAAATACATGGGTTTGATTTAGTGGCCCCTCATTCAGACACGGTGAAGCTGCTTCTGAACATAAACATCGAGTCGCCAGTTGTGTCTGTCCCTCGGCAGCCTGGGAGTCCAGAGTTGCTGGTGGGACACTTGGGGCAGATATCCATCCAGAATTTTGTGGCCGGAGATGACGAATCTAGAAGTGACCGCCTGCAGGTAGAAATCAAAGACATTAAATTATATTCTTTGAATTGCACCCAGCTGGTAGGCAGAGAGGGTGCTGGGCCTGAAGTGGGCCAGGCATTTTGCCCCCCGTCTGGCTCTGCCAGTGCCAACAGCCAGGAGGAAGCTCAGTTCACGCGACATGATTTCTTCGCATCTTTGCACAGAGGTCAAGGTGAGGAGCCTTTATCTTTGGTCTCGTGTCGTTGAAAGATTTCACACCTGGCTCATGTAAAACGTAGCTTGAACAACCTTTGCTTTTAAAGCCATCCCCACTTAATATTTAAGAATGCTGCATGGATTTTTAATAGAATGTTTCTGACTAGGTTGGTCTGTTTTCTACTTTCTCCATTGAAAACTTTATTTGGCAAAATAAGAATTGTATTTTTAAGTGATGCCCTTTGAAATTGGGTGAGTACTCATAGGGGTGCTTTGGGAGATGGATTCTGTTTAGAATATCACTTAACTCTAGTCAAATACATGTTTCCACCCCCAGTTAAATATTGTGGACCAAGACATTGGACAAGTAGAACATGAAGTTCAGGCTGTTGGTGCTCTATTCTCCTTTTAGTATTCTGCTATCTGTTGTGGGTTGGCCCAGGGTTTAGGAATAAAATATTTATATTTGTATTCTGGGTCTAATCAACTAAACCCAAAGAGTTTAATAGATTATGTCTGCAGGGGTCAGGTAAGCTCAAGAGCATGGCTTCATTTATTGGCGAAGAACTTAATGCTTCTGAAAATAGTGTCTGTGATTCTCAGGGATTGATTCACCAGCTCATTTACATACTTACCCAAAGATTGCATTCTTGCTTGGGATAGAAGTCTTTATCTAGCTGTATCTGAAAACTGGGTGAAGGTGGACACTTTGGGGTTAGGAAAACCCCAGCCTGGGAGGGTAAGGGGAGCGCCTACAGTCATGTTTTGAAACCACCAAATGGAGCATGTCATGAAAATAGGACTTCCTGTTTTCTGTAGATTTATCTTGTTCCTCTCTTTGTGCCTACTGTTGGTCTGGGGACACCCATTGAAGTTTGTGACCCGTCGTAGGCCAGCCTGGTACTTCTGGGCTAAGGGTAACTTACAGGCTGTTTTATAGTTGACGGTAATGAACTGTAGCACAGTAAGGGTGGGTATGGTTTCGACTTGTCGTTGACTTCTCCTCTTATGCCAGCTTTTCACATCCTGAACAACACCACCATTCAGTTTAAACTGGAGAAGATTCCTGTAGAGAGAGAATCGGAATTGACTTTCTCGCTTAGCCCTGATGACCTGGATACGGCTAGCATCATGAAGATTGAGGGGAAGTTTGTTAATCCAGTTCAGGTAACACTTTATTGGTTCTTATGTCACCAGAATCGAAGTCATACATGTTTATAGTTATAAAACTATATTTAAGTTGTATTGTATATTTGTCTTTGTAAAATGTTGGAAGGAGAATATATAAATTAAGAGATAGCCTTTATACATATTGTTGTTGATACCTAATCCAGTAGACATGGAATCCTTTTATCATGTGTTTTTATCACTGGGAAGTCAGTCTTTAGAGCTTTCTTCATGTGGAGAAAGCTTATATAGAAAGAAGACAAGCTCTTAATTTCATTGCCATTCAAAACTGTGGTAAAAGCCAGTCTCTCTCTTCCAGGAGGATATAATTCTTGTCATACTTTTTTACAAAGTAACCCAGGCTAGAAAACAATCTGGTTATCTGAAGTGTCCACAGATTCTGTCAGCGAAAATTAGCCTTCCCCTCTGGGAAACAAAATGGGCCATGATAGGAGTTTGTGTGTGTGTGTGTGTGTGTGTGTGTGTGTGTACACATGTCATCCTTTGTCTTTCAAATGGTCAGTTTTCCTGCTTTCACTGGGACAAGAACAAAGAGCATTACCTGGGAAGGCAACCAGGACAGGCAGGACGACCAGAGGCAGTGGCCCTGGTCTTGGACACTGAGAACAGTCACACTTGCAGTCATTGTCTGTCCGGCAGCCGCTCTGGGGGAGCCCACGAGTGCTACTGGGACTCTCCAGTTCACGGGACACGTGCGCTTGACCGCCGAGGTGCCTGGAGGTCTTTTGGGTGAGAGGACTTTCCCCACAGCTTTCCCTGCTCAGCTAAGCTTTTGCCTCATCAGTAGGGGCCAGTAGGATGAAGTTTTCACCTTCAGTCTATTTCATGGTGTGAGTTCTGTTGACATAACATTTTAGTGTTCTTATTGACTTACTGTTGTTACTGATGAAAATCTTCAAAAAATTAAATTAATTTTCTAAATTACTATTGAATAATTAATATTCACTGAATTATTTAATTTAGTAACTTACATGTTAAAAAATACTTTACTATGGAAATTTTTAAGCATGCACAAAAGTAGGAGTGTGTAATAGACTTTATGTACCCATCACTCAGGTTGAACTCTTAACCTGCATCTCACCATTATCTTCTCTCTGTTATTACTTCCTTTTGCTCTATTTTGCCTCCTGTTTTACCCTTATATATTTGAAATGTTTCACTTCTAATGCTGCATTTTCTTATATAACTACAAAGGTGTTACCATGCCCTACAGAGTCCTTGGCAAGATTGAAATTTTTAGCCATTTGAATGTCAGAGACCCTTTCAGTTTGTTTGGCTCAGAACCTGAACAAGGTCCACACACTTAGTGTTGTGTCCAGCAGGTCTCTGTGAGTGTAGAGTTCCTCCCACATATTACTTTGTTGCAGGAACTAGGTTATTTATTCCCACACACTGAGCCACATTTTGGATTTGGCTGTTTGCTGGTGGTGTTACTAGCTTGCTCTCCCTCAATTCCTGTAATTTAACTCTACAGCTTTAACAGGGCTTGGGCTTGTGTTTTGGTTCTTTGTGTTGTCTGTTTGGCTAGAGCGCTGGGCTGCTTCTGTGTGCTCACGCTGTACTCAGCCGGTGCCTACTGGTACCCTCTCAGAGGCTACGTGTTCAGGGACAAGGTTCTGATCTCTTACTGTGAATTCCCTGTCAGTCATTCACATATATTTATCCCACCGATGAGCTTTGGGGGAAGAAGTTATTGATGAAAGCTGTCATTTTTTGATAATTACTTTCACATTTCTGTCATTTTGATAGCTATTGGTTGGAATTCCTCTGTTAATAAAACTGTCCTTAATAAAAATATTTGCCTGAAAATATCTTTAATAATAAATTATAAGTTGAACAAAAGGAGAAAGGAAACAAGCATTCATGAATCTTCATTATTATTAAAAAGTTCCATCTGTTTGCTAGCTGTGCCAGATTGTGCACTGAGGTGATGCTCAGCCTGATAGAAAGCTGAGTTCTGACGTTCAGTCTTCTACCGGATCCATAATAGAATTTTGGCCGTGTTCCCTTCAACTTCACAGGTTTTTTGGGGGGGATTAGAAAGAGGGACTTAGCCAATTTAGGCATATGTTCATCAGTGTTTCTCAAACATTTATTGCGAGTAGATTACTCTGTGTTGTACTGTTGGGAGAGCACCTAGAGAGTAGAGGGTGAGGCCAGAAGAGAAACAACAGAGGCAATTGGATTCTCAAGTAATTAATCACCCTTGGGACAACCATAAAAATCAACTCAGGACATTCATGGGCAGTGCCTCTAAATGCAATGTACAATAGTAGTGAACTAACTGAATTTTTCTCTTTGAATACAGGTGGTGCTAGCAAAGCATGTATATGAGCAGGTGTTACAGACGCTGGACAATCTAGTGTATAGTGAAGATCTGAATAAGTTTCCAGCCAGTGCCACCTCCTCACCTTGCCCTAACTCTCCTCTGCCTTCCCTCGGTGCCTGTGGAGAACCTCCCACTGAACGGAAGGAGAATGGATTGTTCAGCCACTCCAGCCTCTCTAACTCTTCTCAGAAGTCCTTGTCCATAAAAGAGGTCAAGTCCTTCACCCAGATTCAGGCCAACTTTTGTATATCAGAGCTTCAAGTTCAGCTAAGTGGAGATCTGACTTTGGGGGCCCAGGGCCTCGTGAGCTTAAAGTTTCAGGACTTTGAGGTGGAATTCAATAAAGACCATCCCCAGACGTTATCCATTCAGATTGCTCTGCGCTCTCTGTTGATGGAAGACTTACTGGAGAAAAACCCAGATTCCAAGTATAAGAACCTGATGGTCTCTCGGGGAGCCCCTAAGCCATCTAGCTTGACACAAAAAGAGTATCTGTCTCAGTCTTGCCCTTCAGTATCCAATGTGGAATACCCGGATATGCCTCGGTCTCTCCCTTCCCACATGGAGGAAGCACCTAATGTCTTTCAGCTCTATCAGAGACCTACCTCGGCATCCCGGAAGAAGCAGAAGGAAGTCCAAGACAAGGACTGCCCCTTGACTCCGCCCCCTTCTCCATCGGTAGACGAGCCCAAGATAATTGCTGGGAAGAGTAAATTTGATGATTCCTTGGTCCATATCAATATATTCTTGGTGGATAAGAAACATCCGGAATTCTCTTCCAGTTATAATCGAGTTAACCGGAGTATTGATGTAGATTTTAACTGTCTGGATGTGCTCATCACACTGCAAACTTGGGTCGTGATTCTAGATTTTTTCGGTATTGGCTCCACTGCAGACAACCATGCAATGAAGGTGCCACCCGAGGACCCGCTGCAAACCATCAAGTCAGAGTCAAGTGCTCTGCTTGAGTCTGAACTTCAGGACCCCGTCAACACCAGGCTGGATCTCAAGGTATCACCACCTTGGCTCCTTGAAGTGAATTCGGGTTTAAGTGCTGTCATTGAACATTTACTCCAGTGAATGGGTTTTGTCTTCAGGGAGCTATAGATTTTTCTTTATTTGTCAATATGCACACACCTTAAAACATTCAAATTTAAGGCTGTTCTGCTCTGTGTGCTAGGACAGTAAGATGTGTAAGTGTTTACATTCTGCTGGCCATTCAGGGATACCTAGCCTACTGTAATGAGCCCTGCTCTGGAGCCCGGGGTCCTGCAGTGGCTCTTCATACTGGGGTGCCCCAAGGAGGAAGTTCTGTCTCAGTTGCCATTTTTACTTCTTAGCTGGCAATAAGCTTTCTTGTCCTAGAAATGGAAGAGAGGGTTGGGCAAGGACCAGTTTCACTCTGTCGCTTGGGGACTGAACCCTCTGCAGCACTTTGAGGCCTTTTGTTTAGCAAGATGAATAGACTCTGAGAGGCTCTTGTTCTTCTTTGGGCTTCTTGTACCATGTGCCTTAGCTTCTCTTCATGTTCTAGGTTCATTCGCTCTCTCTCGTGCTGAACAAGACCACCAGTGAGCTTGCTAAAGCGAACGTGTCCAAATTAATGGCACATATGGAAATGATTGGTGAGTAGTAAAAGTCAAACTTGCGAAGCCTGGTAAGAATTGGAACATCCTGCCCAGAAAGCTAGTTGTCCTCACGTGCCGCATCAGGTAATGTGGATTAGTGACTTGGTTCGTGGTATTGGCCTGGGCATGATTTCCGGTAGCAGTTTCCCAATACTGTGCATGGAGCAGAATTATCTGGATAACTTGTTAAAAATGCAGGTGTCTGACCCACCTCCTTTGCAAGAATCATAAGAATCTGAGCTTGTAGTTTGGGATGGAGGCCGGTATCTAGCTCTGCTTTCAGCAGATTTCTTTGCCAGAATTGGAACTTTTTGAGAGTGAAGAGGGGACATCATTAATGATTACACTTAGGAAACAGCCTGTGTCAGGGCTGCCTCTGGAGGCCTGTGGATCACCATAAGTGGAGGCTACCAGGGCGCATGGTCTCAGGTAGGGATGTCAGCACAGTTGGCACTCTTTCCAGTGGTCTCTGTGCTTTGAAACTCCTGGTAAAACTCAAGTGATTTCAAAGCTTAAATGTTGACTCTAGTTGAAAAACAAACAAACAACAAAAAAAAACCCTGTCTTTTGGGGGAAGGAATGAACTAAAATTGAGGATTTGTGCCTGATGTAAATGAATTTATACACGCTTCTAGAGGAGTCAGTTTCCCCAGTTACCATGGGGAGAAGCGTGGGTATTACATCAGAGGACATTAAAGGTCAAAAATAACAAGTGTCTTCAGTGGACTGGGAGCGTAACTAACGTGCCAAGTATGTACCCTTTAGTTGTTTTGTAATGCTAATCATGATGATAAAATTTGGTCTATAGAAGCAACAGTTAGGAATATCCATTTTTAATACCCACATCGTGTTAATACTGGTATACATTTTCAACACTGCCTTTGTTCTTTCAGCCTTCCAGGGGTTCACTCATGTGATATCAGAGTTTCCATCTATGTCTCCAGTGTCTATCTCATAAATTTCACTTTTATTAAGTCACACTAAAATCTAGTTAATGTTGTTGAAAACTTGACATATCTCTGACACGTCCTCCTTCATTCTTTTATCCATAGTACAAATAAATAGACCTAATGACATTTTACTAATTCTAATTAGTGATTTAATTTCAGAAGGGAGTCAGGTTTCCATCTATATATATATATATATATATATATTTTTTTTTTTTTAAAGTTTTATTTATTCGTACAGAACTGGGGCATAGGCCAGAGGGGCAGAGGGTGAGAGGACTCACGAGAGAATTGGGGTACAGCACAGGCAGATCGAAGAAGTACACTGCTGAGGGGAGCAATGGGCGGGTCAGGAGAGGTCTGCCTCGCCATGTGGATCTCCTCCGGGGCAGGCAGGGATCGAACTCATGCGGAAGTGGCTTTAGTTTCTTTGTGTTGTGCTTTAACCCGCTGCGCCACCAGGGAGGGCCCTCCATCTATATTTTCAAATACCTTATTTATAAATTGTGTATGTATTTAATTTCATGTCTTTCCCCTTGTTAATGTTAAATTGTCTATTCAATCCCCTTTGGACTTCTACATTGAGACTATTGGAAATATTGCATACAACACTTTTCTGGGTGTATTGAATGTAAAAATTAACTTTTGACATATAGTTTGATTATAGTCAAGCATCTGTGACATGGAAAGACTGTATCTTTGGAATTTGATCTGAATGCAGGTTCAACAGATTTTTTGTTTCAGAGATACCAAAGGTATATGACAAAAAAAAAGTGAGAATGTGTTCTGATTTTTACTCCCTCAGAGGGAGACCTGGCCTTGCAAGGAAGCATTGGAAGCCTGTCTCTGAGTGACCTCACATCCCACGGAGAGTTCTACAGAGAACGTTTCACGACAAGTGGGGAAGAAGCTCTCATCTTCCAGACTTTTAAGTAAAAATACTCATCTTTTCTCACTTAGCATTTTGCCGTAATTGCTTGCTGTTTCCAATTCTCATTGGCTAAACAACAAAGAAAAGCTTTTTAAAATTGTATCTTATGTAAAATTGATATGATCTAGTTGTGAGGAATTTTGACTTACATTAAAATGGATCTACATTTAAGTGAAGTAGTGCTTGATCTGGTGTCATGAACAGATGGGGTATGGCTGAAATAACAAAGGCCTGTGTGCTTACAACCTTAACTTGTTAAGGGACTTAGGCAAGTCACTTTATCACTACATATATCAACTTTTCTATCTAAATATTGGGGGAACTAAGTTAGGTCAGTTTCCACCTCACTCTGAAAGTTCTGAAATGATTTCAGTCTGAGAAAGTTATTGGAGATAATGGATGCTAAAATACATTGTGTGTTTTGTCCCTATATAAACAGATTCTGTGGAAACATTTCAATTTTAAATTGTAAATAGCATGTCTAGACTGATCTAGCTATTAAACAATAGTTTTCTTATTAGACTGAGAATTTGAAAGATGGCCATCAACCTGCTTGGGAATTACTGAAAAGGAGACATATCCAGCTTGGCTCCAGTGCTCTGGTCTGGGGGAGCACTCATGCAGTAGGCCAGTGTTAAAAACGCATGAAGGGAAAACCGCCTTAGAAGATGTCTGAGGACTTTTGCTTTCGCTCTGCAGAACGTGGCATACTCTGCTGAGAATTGTGACAGATTTGCTTATCATACACCTTGGTGGTGTGGGTTTATAATAAATAATTCATATAAAATTCTTAACTAGCACAGGATAAGTGCCCAGCAATTTTAAGTTCCTTTTTCCATTGTCTCTGTGTGGCATAAAAAAATTATTATTCTAATATTGTTTCCATCAATTTCAAAACCATTGGTAGAAACTTTCAATTTCTCTGTGAATATAGATGCTTAAACTCTTTGGCCTATATTTCACTAGAGTAAAAAGACTTCTTTCTGCTTCTAGCAGACAGATTTTCCCAGAAACATTGGTTTTCTTGTTTAGTTTTCTTTAATAATTCTTTATCTTAGTTTTGTTACTGTTCAAGCCCATCTTGTCAAAAATTACAGTAGGAAAGAGTGATTTTCCGTAAAGGTAGAATCGAAAGCCCAGGTGACAGGTCTGAGCCACAGGCGCCTTCTGCGTAGAATCAAGAATGAGTTCAGTACCCTTTGTTCACGGCCGGGGCGGCCACCCCAGAGCCTTACGTATTGTCTTCAATATGTTGCTAAAGCTTAGAAAGGGCATAGTGACTGGAATTTGCTTTCTAGAATCTGATTGTGGATTTCTGTTTTAATAATTAAAGCTGTTTTCAACCAGGTTTTTTTGAAATCCAACTTCTATCTTGCTGCTGAGTCCCTTTCTGCCCTAATTCCCAGGTATGGACGCCCCGACCCGCTGCTCCGTAGAGAGCACGACGTCCGCGTGAGTCTGCAGATGGCCTCTGTGCAGTACGTGCACACCCAGCGCTTCCAGGCCGAGGTCGTGGCCTTCATCCAGCACTTCACACAGCTGCAGGATGTGTTGGGGCGCCAGCGCGCTGCCATTGAGGGGCAGACGGTAGGCAGTCTCCTTGCTGCCCCCCACCCCCCTTTTCCAGTTTGACCGATCAGTAGAATTGATTAGCTAAATCCAGAAAATCTCACCGACAGAAAATAAAGGAAGGTAGCTCTGTGCTCACGGATGCCCTTTGTGGTGCCGATCAGCTGCAGACATTTTTCTGTAATTGGGGTGCTTATATTCCTTGTTCACTAGATTGTGTTTTAGTTTCCTTTAGCTTTTTCTAGGAAAGATAAGTGAAATTTATGGACAGTGCTTAAAACTCTGGTCCCCTTTAGGACTTCAGTGGAGATTCCTTCCGGAAATGGTTCCCAAGACCATGTCTGTTATATAAAGAAGGCTTTTCCCAAACACACTAGATGTCTCCAGACTTCTTAATTCATGGCTCCCTTAATGTCTTGGAAGTTTTTTCACAGCTCTTCTCGGGCCAAAAGAAATACCTACTGGTCTTTTCCATTTACAGGGTAATTAAGTCTAAACTTGATAAATAGTCATGTCCTAACAGGTGTTTGAAAAAATAGGAATGTGTAAGGGAAAGAATAATATTTTCATTTCATTCTTAAATCACTATAACTACTGACCAGCAGGATGTATGTGCCTCTTGGGCACTGAATAAATTCTCCAGCTTGGAATCAGGTTAGATACCATAGCCCTCATTTCCTGTTCTGCCTCTATCTTCTCGTGGTACTTGCTTTGTGTCACAGCAGCTGCTTTGCTTTGCAAAGACCTGACATCCTGAAGGGAGTGAAGCATGATCTCGCGTTGACGGGAGCTCAGGCTAATGGCTGCACACAGTGCACAGCCAGTGATGCTCGCTCAGGAACTGGGACTGGCCCGGCTGTGTACCTATGAGGTGTGGCAGCATCCTGTGGGGTCTTGGCACACATTTGGGGATCATAGAGAGCAATTACAAATGTATTTGCTTGGAGACTTGTTACTTACTTTATTAGGTAGAATATTATCATTTTAGAAATAGATACTGTCTTCTTGGAGCAACATTTAAAAATTTTGCTTTCCTTTAAAGTTTTGATTACATTATTATATGTTCAGGTAATACAGAATCAGAGTAAAGAAGGATCTTTGGAGACAAGTCTTCTCAATTACTTGTCCTCAGCTAACTTGTTTTTCTTACTGGAACAGACCAGTGTTTACTGGTTCCGGTGCATCTTCCAGGAAATGTAGACTTTAAGTATAAACATTGTAAAGTGAAATCACAGGGAATTTGGGAGAAAGAATCGGCCTTACTTATCTCCAGTACTGTTGGTCTGTTTTACTGTCTGTTTTTCTCCCTCTATAAACATGGCGTATGGTATCCCCTCTTTTCTCCTTTTAGAAACTTAAAAAATTAGTATTTGACACATATGAAGGAATGTCTGTACCAAGTATGTGATTTATAAAGTATGATGATAACAAAATCTCCATAAAGCCACCACCAGAATAACAATGAGAACATTACGAACTGCCCCCTTGGGCCTCCCTGCCTCCTCGTGCTGTCAGCATTCAGCTGGCCGTTCTCTTGACTTTTACTAGTCCCTGTAAAATTAAAACCGAAAAGGTGCTGTGCACTGCCTTCTGTTTTGTTTTGACCTTTACAAGATGGTTTGAACTGGGTTTAAAATTCTGTGACTTGGGTTGTTTTCACTTAGTGTGTTAATAGGGTTCATTCAGGTTGGTATATGTGATTGCATTTCATGAATTGTCACCATGTGTGACATAGCTGTTTTGTCCATTTTCCTGTCGTATGTTTGGGTTGTTTTCAGTGTTTGTTGTAGGCTGCATCTCCTAGTGTATACGTGTGAGAGTTTCCCTCAGACACTTGGGAGTGGAGTGATGGATGACAGGCTGTGCATGTGGTTGTCTACAAGAAAGTGCCAGATTGTTTTCCAAGTGGTTGTCTCAGTGATACACACCCATGGGCAGTCTAGTATAGTATAGAATGACTTTTAATTCATTTGCTTCCCAACACTAGTCAGCCTTCTTATTTGGGGCCAACTGCTGGCCCAATGGGTATAAAATGGTAGGTGTTCCGGTTATGGTCCACGTATACGTCAAGAGAAAACTCAAGTTGATGAAACAGCACACACAGTAGTCTGGCTAATTTACACATGGGGAGCCAGCTCCTTTTCTTACCCTGTGTAATTCTTCTCCATCTTGCTTTGCATTTTTCATAGCTATCCTATTTAATAGCTCTATAATCCATCAAGTTCGTTTACTTAACCATTTCCTTATTTTTTAACATTTAAATCACTTCCAGATTTTCATCCTTATGAGTAATGCTCCTATGAATATCATTGTGCATAAGACTTTTTCAGCTTTTAGAATTATTTTTTTAGGATTGAATCCTGTTAATGGTATTATTTGATCAAAACTATGGACGTTTTATGACTCAGTACAGCTTCACTAAAGTGTTGGTCTGTTGGAATTGTTATCTATATTTAAAGCAATTACATTCTATGTGTTTAGGCAGTTGTGAGTATAACTGAAGAATCATTTGGGTTAGGAAGTGAGAACACTGCAGTACTGAGTAACTGGGATTCACTTCTTGGGGTAAGCAGAAGTTAAAAAGATAGCTCTTAAGATTTGCTTTATCAAATTGCATAAAACAAGTAGAAGGTTAAAGGAATGTTTTTGATTTGAATAGGGCTGAATATGTGGGCTTTGAAAAAAAGCTGAACTTGGGGCTCCTTATCCCTAGCTGTTTGATGTACTAGATTTACAGCAAGAGCTAAAGACCTGCTTTTATTTACTGATAAGAGGAGATTATTTTGTTTGAAAATTGAATTCCTTTCTTCTAATAGCATACAGGTGATAGACAAAGGTATTGTCCACCTTTGACCAGCAACTGAAGTTTTCTTCCTACCATTTTAGAAATGATGATCTGATCCAATGGAACTTTAAAATTCTTTTTATTCTTGATGTTTGAAATTAGAAGAACCTCATAGACCTAATTTGATTGGACCAACTATAAATCATCCATTTTTTACCCTAGAAGTATGATGTGGTTTTCCTTTGTCTGCACTTTACATTCAGCCTCTTATGTGAAAACTCTTTGTCCACTGGGCACCTGGGAGCATAGATTTTTGCTGGAGCTAAGATGTGCAGTTTAGAAATCCCAGGATAAGGGTCTGAAGTCTGGGTGTTGCTACTGTAAGCCACGTGACCAGTGGCGTGTTTCTCCCCCAACAACCCCCCCCCCTTTTTTTTTTATTTATAGGAGAAAGGAAAATGGAGTTAGGGAGAATAAGTGCTGTCATTCAGCTAAAAATTGTTTGTATCGATGCTTTGGAGCTTTCAAAGTGCTTTCACATTTGTTTCTTAGGACAGCCTTGTTTATCCATTTCTTCATCATTTAGTAAATGTTTACTGAGGAATGACGTGTCATATAGTCTGAATTCTGAGAACATAATGGAAAACGAGAAAGACAAAGTGATTGCTCTCATGGAGCCTTTAGTGGGAAAATATAAACAAGGAGAAAACGGTGATGATGATGGTACTTAATGAGGTAGTAGGCATGTATTTAGGTTCCTAACTTCTCTCAGCATTTTTTAGTTTTGAGTATACTGGTATAAGTATAGATATACAGCGTTTTATATACAAATACATTTGTAAGTATATATTAACATACCTTATGGAGTTGATCCCTTGATATTTCATATTTTGATGTTATTATAAATAATGCTAATTTTTAAAATATCAATTTCCAATTCCTGGTCAATTGAACATAGAAATAGAGTTTATTTTTGGGAATTAGTTGAGCCTCTGAGTCAATATTTCTTCTTCTTTAGGTGAGAGATCAAGCCCAGCGCTGTTCACGGGTTCTCCTGGATATTGAGGCTGGTGCTCCTGTTCTCCTAATCCCAGAAAGTTCCAGATCAAATCATCTGATTGTCGCAAATTTGGGGAAGTTGAAAGTCAAGAACAAGTTTCTCTTTGCAGGGTTTCCTGGAACCTTTTCCTTACAAGATAAGGTGAGCAACATGTGTCCCCCTTTCAAGCTCAACCTTGAAAAATTCACATCATTGAAACATTCATGTTGTCATAAGAAAATCCCCACTATGGTTAACTTTTGTAATATATGTAGTCTGAAGAATCTCTCTGTGACATGTTATTGACATTTCAGTAATAGGAATAAATCATATCCCTTCCCAACGGTACATGGTAACTTTGCAAGAAACCAGCAGGACTGTCTTCCATTTCTATAATGCTGTCCTGGCAGGCTGACCTTACAGTAATCAGCTTCTTACACTACCTGGCGTGCTTTGGGGGTTGGGGTTTGGCCTTTGCTAAATGAAGCCATGTGACAATATCGTCATAATAAGATCTTACCCAGTGTATTTCTTTATAGTTTAAAAATACTTTAGTGCTTATTTATTACAAAAGTTTTTGGAGGTGATTGGAATGAGGCTTATGGTTATTTTCACTTACTTTTGTAAAATTAGGACTTTTTGCATACACAGTGATAATGGGAACACCTAGGAAACCACAGACTTAGCACTGAGGAGACCTTGGAGGCGGGCTGATTAGCCCCCTCCTGCCCATTTTGCAGTTGAGGAGACTGAACGACATTGCTGGAACTAGAGACGAGGTCTTGGTCTCATGGTGAGTTTTAATGAAACCTTGCTGGTTTCTGTTGCAGCTTTCCAGTCTATCTGCTTGTTTAGTACATTTTAGCTTGTCAGAAAAGCATGTAGAGAAACTCTCAGTGAGCTGTGCTCATTGGCCTAACAGCTAATACATAAGGAGAGAGCGTGCCTTTGAAGATTGAATATATGATCTCATACGACTGATGATAATGACAGCAAGTGGCTGATGTATGTTATGTCTGTCGTACACCAGCTCATGCTGAGCTCTTTCCATCTGCTCCTCCTCTTCTCATCAGGAAGTGGGGAGTTGTCTAGATGATCAACAACATATCAAACAACCCCAGAGTATGCATTCTTTTCAAGTGCACACACACCTAAGCGTATTCTGGCCATAGTACAGATCTCAGTAAGTTGGCTAGTTGGCTGTTTTCATTAAATTGTGTTAACATTGGTTCACAGTGTGGCTTGTGATTTTAGAAGTATAGGCAATGACACTCCAGGTGTTGTTCTGGGGCATTTAGGTTGTTTCTGTATCTTGGCTGTTGCAAATTGCACAATTGCAGTAAACAGAAGAGTGCAGGTTTCCATTCAAACTAGTTCTTCTATGCAGAAATAAATAAATCTTAAAATAAAATTAGAAATGGTAAGTCATTTCTTTTGTATTATTTAGCTAGGGAGTAGAGAGTCAACCACAGACTTTGATGTTTGTGCCGACCATGCTCGGTGCTCTTAACTCAAAATGTGTTTACCTCCCAGGGTCAGGTTTATATGGGGGCAGTGAACTGGCAAGGCTGCTCCTGCTGTGTGTCCTGCTGGCCCTTCCCTGAACCTCTGTAGCTCTTCTGAATTTTCCAAAGGATATGGCAGTGAATCATTAAATGACAAAGATGGTAGTACTCCAGAGGTTATTACAGCATACATTTGAGCAGTTATTTGCCTCTCTAGATACAGAGAGAACAGGTGAGGAGAGAAGGATGCAGGTGGTAGTCCTCACCAGAACTTTGCTAGGGCTCAGAAAGGCATGGGCCGTGGCAATGCTTCAGCTCAAATACTCATTTCAAAGTACTGTCACTACAGTGTCTTCATTTGTCCCTTATTTGCTCTCATCTGTTTGCTCACCATGACTGACTTAAACATCTGAACTGAAAATTTTTGATTCAGTGAATGGGAATGGGTAGGGTGAGGAGGAAAGTAAAGACAAGATGGTGAGAGTCACAGGAACCTTGGGGTCAGGCCCAGCGTGGGGTGTCAGGATGACAGCCTGAGAAGGCAGGCTTCCAGTGCCACTCAGGGCTGTTCTGGCACAGTGAATCTGTTTAGGATCAGAGCAGAGGCGAAGCCAAGGAGCAGTGTTTAGCAAGAGGCGGCACTTCCAGTGTGCGTGTCTCATCGACCTGTTTTTAAGACTGAAGCTGGTGGCCGAGAGTCCACTTGTTTCCCTTGTGAAAAAGCCCATCTGTTAGAGTATCTGGCCCCAGAGCTTTCCCTGGGAGAAACAGGCTTCTGCCTGAGTCTGTTTTTTTAGAACAGTACAAGTGAAATCAGTCTACCTTGGTCTTAGGATGAAAATCTGTTTTCATAGTTGACACATTTTGCTGGTCCCTGACCAGAGTCTTAAAGAACCTGAAAGTAAGATCCATTCTCAGAGAGAGGGATTAGTAACAACTTCTAATTTCCTTGTTCACTTTTCCCAAGTCTGAGATATTTTTGATGAACCTGACTGATAATCAACAGTGTGTCAGGGTTTGTGTTTGCATTTTAAGATGCAGTGTCTGTGTTCACTTCTGTGGTGACGGGGTGGGGGTGGGGGGGCGGCGGGCATTGGATCCCTCCACTGAACTAAGATACTCACTGTGGTAAGATGCTTGGATGTGTTCGTTTATGGTGAAGCTTTGTTTTGAGGCCTGCAATTTTAAGGACAAGATGGATGATCAAGTTCAATAATTTTTGTTTCCCTGCCCTTCTTAAAAAGCTAAAGGACTGCTTTTCTGTGTCAGGTATATCTATATTTGGGCTCATGAGTTGACTGTGGAGTTTGCCTCTAAAGGAAAATTGGCAAATTATTTCAAGCCATTTTTGCAAAAAAAATTTATTAAGCAAGCCAAATGACAGCACATAGTTTGTAGTGTTTTAATAAAAAAATTTCCCTCTGTTTGTTTTTGAGGATTTGGTTTTAAGTGGCAGTCCATCCAAGGATCGCTTTTTCTTCAAGGTATAACAGTGTTTTTACCTCCTGGTTATTTTGAAACATCTTATGGGATTCCACAGTTGGTTCACACTGACATGCTTTAAAAAGGGAAAACTGACCCTCTGTAATATTTCATTAGTGGGAAAGCCCACTTTTTTTTTTTTTTCCTTCTGGTAAATCACTTCCCTTGTGCATAGAGAAATCCTTCTTAAAGACCATTAAAAACAATTTAAAAAATTTTAGCTTCTAGGTAGTATTTCTTGGCAAACTTCTTTCCTTAAATCCTGGAAACACTTTACCTTGTTACATACTGGTGATAGTTCTGTAGAATTCCATAAGGGCTGCTTGGAGTGTGTCAGGTGATAAAGTGATAACCAGAGAGACGTATCTGTGAAGCTTACCTCTTCACAGGTACAGTGAGCTTAACTGGTGTAGGCCTATGTGAAGTGAACAGTTACTTTCTTCACCAAAAATTACTTTGCATTTAGTTTGCCCTTCCGTACCTACTTGCATGTGTGAGACTGTCTAGTGTGCGTTCCAGTGGTGAGAGGACAGGAAGGAGCCCTGAAACCAAAGCTTGTGAGGGGCTGTTTGCTTTAGAGGGCTACGGCTCCTGTGTGCCCAGAGTGCTTTATGTAAACCCACACTGTAATGAGCATGGGTTTGAACTTTTTACATATGCTTTTCTTTTCATTTTTCTCAACCATAGTTTGTGCTTAAACCATAATTTCCCTGTCAGTCTTTTAAAAAGCTTTGAGTTAATCTTCTCAAGCCACTGATTTACTTAAACCAGTTATAGAGAGATTGTAGAGATGAATCAAATGAAAGAGCAATAAATGTGCTCAGGAGTTTAAATAAACTAAGCAAGAGGGAAGTATTTAAATAATAGCATCTGCTCAGTAATTAACCTTGCCCTTCACCCTCCCGACCAAAAACTGCAATATGGTAGAGCTTCACTGTTTCCTTCACTGTTAATGTAATTACTACCCAAAATCACTGTGGAGAGCAGTATCATCTCCTTTTCAAATTCTGAGAGGAATAAACATAGAAGGCAGTACTGGAGGAAACCATTTCCCTCCGCCCAACTTGCTCATAAGCATTTGTGGGTGAGAAGAATCTGATGGTGTCAGGTTCGATGGTGCCAGGTCCGATCAGGGATGCCGGAGTGAAGCTGTATTCAAGTTAGTTACTGAGTCATTCTCCTGAAGAAGACTGACCCTTGTAAACTTGAAGTAATTAAGTATGTAACGGAGTGTACAATGTTTTCTATAGAATCACAGAATTAATTTCACTCTGTACTTTTCAGAGGCCCTTGAACAGATAGGTAATAGGAAGGCCAGCTCCTGTGTTTTCCATTTCGTTGTTGTTTACACAGGTTTTGAGAGATGAAAATGTAAACCCTGAAGTGAGATTGCTAGAAAGCACATGTGGTCATGGTTTACTTCCATTCCGACCATGTTGCCATTAGAAAATTTTCTTAGAACAGTAAACACTCCCTTGCAACAAAGCAAAAATATATCATGGTATGGCTGAAAGATTTGCTTGTGTTGCATTTGACCTCATTAACTGCTGCCAATGAGCGTCTTGACATTTGCTCTTCAGCCGAGATATTATCTCCTGCAACATTGCTCAAGTTTTTGCAGATCGTGAACTACATGTCAAACCTGCAGATAATTCCATGTGGCAGTAAGCATCATGACTCCCTTACCCTTTGCTCAGGGGATCTGGGCGGCCTAGGAAGTGCCGAGTGTTAGTATGGAAGAACCCGGGGCCCAGGAGGGCAGAGACAGCCATCCCTCACCTGGCGTCCTCGTGTTGTTTTGTTTCTTCCCAGGAATCGGTGCCCTCAGCTTCCCCAGCGGGCACACCCAAGCACAGTGCGAGGAAAATGCCAAGTGCAGAGGAGCCCAAGGGCGCCCACTTTGAGGGGCTCTTCATGGTGCCTCCTGCTGGAGTGAGTGCAGGCAGCCTGAAGAATGAGCTGGCGCCAAATGCCTCGAGCAAACAGCAAGTGCACCAGACCACACCTGCTGTCGACCAGGTTTCCAAAAGCCCAGGTAAAAGGGGGAGCAGAGAGTTGCATAGCGAAGGCGGGGGCATTCACCAGGCCATCTTGGGAACCTGGGGGGGCGCGTGTTGTATAAAGATGGCTACAACGTACAGCATTTGCTTGGCGGTGACCTGAGTTTGATGTTGCTTTAGGAAGTTTACGGGTGTGAGCTAGCACGATGTGACTCTGCTGGACACGGTGTGGTGATGAGACTTACATTGCCTACTGCTGCTGTCTTTATAAGCCAAGGTAGTTGGCAGTGTAGTTGGCACAATCCCTGTGTCCCCAGACACTATCCTTGTTCATATATTATTGTATTTAATGCTAAAAAATTCTGAAAAAATAAAAAAAAATAAAAACTCTGAAAATTGACATTAGTGTGAATCAGTTCACAGCAGAGATACTCCAGCAGTTTTCAAAGCCATGAGCTATTCAGCTGTTGGTGCTCTTCTCTGAGATTTAAGAATCAGTCAGCCCAGACAAGAACCTAATTTGACCTTTCTGTGTTTAAATGCATTCCTTGTGGGTGATCATTCACAGGCGGGAGGTGCAGCTTTGGGCGGCTGGAGAGGGAATTAGAATATGACGAGGCCCCCAAATCTAGAGAGAGGTGGGACACTAGGGAGAGAGGCTGAATGTCTTGTTTGGGTGAGGGCAAGTTAACTCCCTGCAGTCCCTTGTGGGCCTAGAGGTGACGGGAAGGAGACGGAGTGACTTGTGGTTCAGGGGCTGATGGCAGGGACTCGTGATTGCCTGTGTGTCCTGCTGTTGGACCACTTCATGTGAATTACTGCATCCCAACCTCATAGCCCCGATCTCACTTTCATCCCCGTTTTGAAAATGGGACAAAGACATTAAATAGTTTAGCTTGCCAGTGACTATGGAGACAGTGACCGGTCGAGTTGCACTATGAGTTGCACTATAGGCAGACACATGTCAGAGCCTCACTTCTTCCCGGGCTGATCGGTCCTGCCAGGCTGTACACATAACACAGGCGGGCACATGTGCATGTGGTGTACTCAAGAAATGTGTGCTTCTGTTGTGTGGTTCACACTACTGATTGGGACTAAGGCCAGCCTACGTACAGGTGTATTCCAGAAAGATTTCTCCAACTGAAGTTGAAGTGGGAGGGTGACACCACTAGGCAAAGTCTGTCTTGCCAGCTAAGAACTTGGCATTTTTTGGGAAAGGAAAGTCAGTGAGGCCAATGCTTCATGAACAGGCAGAAGAATGGCTTAGACGAGGTTGGAAAGTAGACAGAGAGTTTATACAGGTCTTCAAGCAATTTGGAGATGTTTTACAGAAAGAACTTCAGGTTAAATATAACTAGTAGAGTATATGTACAAAGAGAATGTTAGGGTTTTAAATGGTGCTCAGGTTATTTGTGGGTAGAGTGTTTTTGCTCGCTGTAGTGGAGGGGAGTTCATGGTGGGCTGGACAGTGACTTGGATCAATCAGTGGCTATGGAATTGACTGCCTCAGCTGTTTCTTTGAACAAGGAGTTTTGCTGCTAGGCAGTTTGGTAGCATCTCTGCATGAGACCCCAGCTGGATGTCCTAGAGGGTGCAAGTTAAGTCGCTTTAGTCCCAGAGCCTCAGCCAGTGTATAAGGAATGTGGCCACTGAAGGAATGTGGCTTTATCTCTGCGTGGTGTGGAGCGGATAGGGCAGAGTGTCCCACACATGGGACATTGTGTAGGAAGTGTGGGGGCCAGAGTGGAGACTTAGCGACAGCCAGTTTCCTGAGACAGGCAGTGTAAGCATTTCCGCAGACAGAATGAGCTGTGCATGGCATTCTAGCTTTGGTCAGCGCCTGCCCGGCCTGAGTTCCATTTTTCTCATTCTCTCTTTTGCCTCATATCCTTGTAGAAGACCATATCTGCCTGTTGGATTGCATCGAGGTGGATCTCCAAGACATGGACATCTTTGCTGCAGAGAGACGCCCTCGAGAGTATTGTGAGGCCTCAGAGGACAACAGTGGTGATCTGCTCTTCCCTTCCTATCTTGTGCGACAGATGGGAGGGAGCCTCCTAACTGAGCCCTGTCGGCTGAAGCTGCAGGTGGAAAGGAATTTGGACAGGTGAGTGTTTCAAGCGGAATGACTGTCTGCCTAAGACTCATAGGAACGTGGAGACCAGTGCTGTGAAGTTAAGTCTGGAAGATGAAGGCACTTATTTCTTTCTTCCTCACTGTCACGCACGTCCCTCCTGTGCGCTACTGTGGTAAAGGAAAAGGCTTGTGTCCTCAAGGTGCCTGCATTTTGTTGAGGGAAACAGGAAGGTAAGTAGATGATTCTAACTTAGTGTTTACTTAGGTATTATTACCGAGGCCCTGGAAACAAAGAGAAAGGGATGATTTTATTAGCCCAAATTTCAGTGATAACAAGGTGGAAGAGATGGCAAGGAAAGTATTTTGGAAGAGGTGACATTTGGACTAAGTGTTCCCAAAATAGTAGGTCGTGGACCTGCTGCTGTTTTTTATCCGGCCTGTTTCCTCACGGTGACCGCTGACCTGTCATTCTGCCCATTTCACTCTGTTAAGCTCCAAATAGTCAGAAAGACGAATGAACTCTGCCTTACCTTTCAAACTGGCCTCAAAACCCAGGATGCTTATTTCTGGAACTTTGTTTCAGTTGTCATTAGCTCTCCATCTGGTTGGGAAACTTCTAGAAAGTAAGCATTTCCAGACCCTGGCTGAGACCACCGGCATCTGACTCGGGGCTGAGCCTCGGCATCATTAGCGTGGTCCTCTGAGGCACCGGTGTTTGCCGGCCCGTGCCTGTGCGACTGGGTGCTGCTGTCAGAGCGGCGTCGTTCCCTGGGGCCTTCCTTTCAGAGGAAGAGACAACAATTGCACCTTGGCTCCGGGAGAGACGAGATGTGCCTGTGAAGTGATGCAAGGCTGTGGCGTTTTGGGGAACGGCCTCATTACTTCAGAGATTGGGGTTTCTCCCTTTGCACTCTCAGGCTTGGCCAAGTTTAATTTTGCTTTTTTCATTTCTCTCTGGATTCAAGACACAGTTTAGCTGCTCTCGTGGACTTTTGCCTTTCATTCTTACTTGTTAGTCAAGTGCTTCCTGGCTGATGTCCAGTTATGGTTGGCATGGGCTATATTTGGTTTTACTGCTTAGCAGTCTTAAGATGAGCTTTGTTATTTAGAAATTGAACCCTTTGTTTTCTTTTCAAGTAATGCTCTCCAAAAAAAAGTGCTGTGCCGCTCTGCTTATCTAAACTTTACCCACTTTTGTCAGTGTGTATGTGATAATGATATGGATACGGGCAGCCCCAGTGCAAGGTGATAACTGAACACAGGCCTCCTGTTGGCCTCTCCCAGCACAGAGCCAGGGCCCATGACTGCGCTCAGTGACCCTCCCAGGTCTTCCCTGTTGATGGCGTCCCTGCCCTTTTTTAACTATTCTATGGACAAAGTGATATTTTATATTCTTCTTCCATTTTAAATCCTCCTCCTAGCCCTCTGCTTTATACATTCAGAGTGCTATATCTGCAGGGATCCCTACATCTCCCTGGAGGGTAGCAAACAAGCTCCTGAATATCGGGGTGAAGTTTATACTTCTGTCCCAGCACCTACAGCTTTACTCCTACCCGTTGCAGCTGAGACAGAAATTGGCTCAGATTTTCCGTGTGGACACACCATGAAGCCTGGTGTGCTTTAGTTCGTGCTAAATCCAAGGAGCCAAATACAGAGCCTGGCATCTTTCTTTTATTGCTTTCCCAGCTGTACTTTATTTAAGCTTTTTCTGAGTCCTGCAAGATTTTTTCCACATTAATACATTACTCAGTTAACCCAGATCTGGCACCTTTCTGAATGAATATTTTGCAAGAAAAAGGGCTGAACAATTAGTCAGACTAACTGGTTTCATTGAGGCTACATGAAATTTTTGTCTTTGGAAGTTAGAAATTAACTGGATGATTGTGGTTGGGTGCATTCTAACACTTAGATTTGGGTGTAAGCTCTGTCGGTGTTAAGTTAGTGACTTGCTTGTAAAAGTGACCTTTTTTCTTTTCATAGAGAAATAAGTCATACTGTGCCAGATATATCTATCCACGGTAATCTCTCCTCTGTCCACTGCTCCCTGGATCTGTCCAAATACAAGCTGATCCGTGGTTTGTTAGAGAACAACCTTGGCGAGCCCATTGAGGAGTTCATGCGGCCTTACGATTTGCAAGATCCAAGAATTCATGTGAGACTTTATGTTCGTTGTTACTGTCATCTCAGCAGATGGTCACCCCCAAGTCTGTAGTCCTCAATTTCACCTGGGAATGAAGATGGAGTGAAAGCATATTAGATTTCTTGCCATGTTAGCCCCCCTTGTAGGTTGCATAATCAGCTGTGGGTTGACCAGCCTTCTCTCTTGCAGACCATCCTGAGCGGAGAGGTGTACACGTGCATGTGCTTCCTTGTTGACATGGTGAATGTCAGTCTGGAGCTGAAAGATCCCAAAGGAAAAGAAGGTTCTGGGTCCCTCGCCAGGTGTGGCTTTAATTCCATTATTCAGTTATTAGTAGTGGTATGCAGATAATTATTAGTAAGAGCAATGCAAATTGGACACGAGTAGCACAGAGCCGAGGCTGCAGCCTGGTGCCCCCTGCTGGGTGTGTTCTGCAGTGCACTTTTTAAATGTTCGGATTTGTTATTGTCTCACGCCAGAGAGCATAAGCTCTGCTGGAGCGACAGACCTGAGAGCCGGGAAACAGGGAAATTATTTTTCCTCCTAGTGCTGGGTGTCCACTGTGGGTCTCTAGCTGCTCTGTGCATGACCATCACTCTGGCCCACAGAACAGCTGACCTCATGTTCAGAGAGCTCTGGTATGGTTGAACTTCAGGGGCCAACTCATGGTGCTGGAATGTGGTCCCATGTAGAGGAGTCAGGAAGTCCAGTCTCATGTGTGTCTGCAGAGGGGAGAAGGGGAGGCTGCAACTCTGTGACGAACAGCACAGTGACTGTTGTCACCACCAACACTTCAGAATTGAGAGCGTCCACACAGGCGGGTTGGATGTGAACTTCTTTTCAAATGAAAGTGTTGGTAGTACTGGGCCTTTGTTCTGCTTGGAAGCACCTGGAAGCCAAGGAGCAACTTGGCTGCCTTTAGCTAGGGCATGGCTTACCTAGCGATTTACTTATTTCGCTCACTTGTTTGGTCTTGGTAGACCTATAATTTGTGCTGACTGGGATGGGACTTTTCAAGGTGTACTGTATTTTCTTTCTTTTTTTTGGTAAAGATTTATTTATGTTTGCATACAGAACTGGGGTATAGGACCGAGGTGCAGGGGTGGTGAGAGGCTTCACCAGAGACAGAATGGGAGCAGATCAGGCCGATTGATGGAGTACACTGCTGAGGGGAGCAGAGGGCAGGGCAGGAGAGGTCTGCCTCGCCATGTGGGTCACCTCTGGGGTAGGCGGAGATCGAACTCATGCGGAAGTGGCTTTAGCTTCTTAGTGCTGTGCCTTAACCTGCTGTGCCACTGGGGAGAGCCCTGTACTGTATTTTCACACTAAAAACCAGTTATGCGTGGGTAAATGTTACTCCTGTTTTATACAGGTAAAGTTTGTATTTGATCATATGGCTGGTAGAGTGGTTAAGATTTGAAAGGTGGACTTCAAGGTTAGTCATTTCCCCACTGAAGCACATGGTCTGCTATTTTGTCTTTCTCTTGCAAATTCTGCCCTGCCCTGAACCTAACCCAGTGAGTGAGAACGTGGTGTAGTGAGGCAGGTCCTAGGCCAGTGGTCTGTGAGCCAGCGATTTTTTCTGATGAGTGACTATGTCCTTGTTTTTTTCTAATGTAGAGTAATTCTGTATGTGTGTGATGCTGAATAATTAGGAATAGCTGATTGCTGCTACCCCTGGTAAAAATTTTTTAAAATCCCTAATGCATTTCCTGTTGTTGGATCAGTCACATTATTTCTCTTTATGAAAATACGATTTATACAAGTTTTCTCAGTAAGCTATAAGCAGTCTTGTATACAAATTTGGTAGACTATGAAGAAATAATTCAGTAGACTCACAGGTAGGTTGAAAAGGGATTCTTTGTGCACTAGGGACTTACTACAAGTATATAGTCTTCTGAGACTTAAAGTGAGAAACGAGAATGCTAATGAGCCAATAATAGATCACATACACCAATATCTGGTGTGATTTCTCATGACGTTCCTGTGAACAAGATCGTCTCTGGAAAATAGATACTGGGTTCAACATCACTGAATCCACTTGGGCGGTCTGTTCACAAGACCAGAGAAAGATCTCAGAATCAGTTATTGTCCTTCATAGAACTTAGGCATGTTGTTATTTGGTTTTGTTGTCTTGAACGTACATAATTTTCGAGAACAGAAGAGTTTCATACCTTGTCTGTTGTTTCCCTTTTCAGATTTGACTTCAAGAAATGTAAACTGCTTTATGAGAGTTTTTCAAATCAAACCAAGTCCATTAACTTGGTTTCCCATTCCATGATGGCCTTTGATACTCGCTATGTCGGGCAGAAGACCAGCCCGGGTCTGACAAACGTGTTCAACTGTATCTTTCAGCCCTCCAAGAGCAGCAGCACCACCCAAGGGTCTATTCAGATTGAGCTGCATCTCAGGTAGTAGACTCGGCCTTTCTTTGTTACTGTGGTTTGTTGACAGACTGCGTAATCACTGAAAAGATAAATAGGTAGTGGCTATTTGTGCACCATACTGAATGTTCTTAATGTTCCTGAAACTTTACAATTTCATTCATTGACCAGAAGATGTCTCTGTTGCCTTAAAAAAAAAAAAAAGAAAGAAATAGTTCAGAAATAAACCATATCCTTAAACATCAACCTCCCTGTAATGTGTAGACTGTTTCAGTATAGAAAGTGACTTGGGGAAGGGAGAAGTTTGACTTATTTAATGGGGAAAGGACTGTATAAAGCTGGCTTTTACTGTCTTGTTGGCTCACTTCTCTGTAAAAATAGCTTTAGTTTTATAGACTGTGGATTTCTTCTGTCTAGCTCTGTGTCCTCGCACAAGCTGTTTAACCTTTTGAGCTGCAGATTCCTCTTGTACAAAATAAAAAAGAATGACTGTGCCACCTCATACTTTGGAGATAATAAACAATAATTCAGGCATGCTGTGTGGTACAGATGGTGGCTATTACTATTTCTGATGTAGCTTGTGTGGTTTTTTTTTTAAGATTTATTTATTTGTGCATACAGAACTGGGGTACAGGCCAGAGGTGCAGGGGCAGCGAGAGGATTCACCAGAGACAGAGTGGGGAGCAGAACAGGCAGATCAATGAAGTAAACTGCTGAAGGGAGCAGCGGGTGAGACAGGAGAGGTCTGCTGTGCCATGTGGGTCACCTCCGGGGTGAGGAGGCCGTGGCTAGCTTGCAGTGCTGCGTCTTAACTCGTTGTGCCGCCAGAGAGGGCCTTAGCCTTTGGAACCGATGTCACTTTCACTCTGTTAATGCTTGCTGTCATTAGGTATGTTGTAAATAGAAACCAGTAGGTAAAAAATCTGGGAAAGATTTCTTGGATAGGCAAAGAAAGAAAAGAAAGTCATCGAAATTATTCTTGTATTTATGTTTAAATATACCTGACATTTCAATCTGCTGTTCAGTGAATTCCTCAGGGTTGAACTTTCCTTTAGGGAGAAGTCATGGTCTCTCGCCATATATCTTTAGGAAATCTAGCAAAATAGACATTTAAACCTTTACATGAACTTTCTAAAAGTTCAGGAATAAATGCTTGTTGCTGCTTATCGATCCCTGCTCTGCACTGGTTCCCACTGGTCTGCCAAGTGGTTGACTTCTTCCCCATTTAACAGATGCAGATATAGATGCTTGGAGAGGTGAAGTAACCCTTCTGGGGTCACACAGCTCGTGAGTGAAGAAGTCTGAACTCAAACCTGGGCCTCGGATTTCAAAGTTCATGTTCTGGCCAAAAGTCTTCAGGCCACCGTGGTTCTAGTGTCCAGGCTGATTGAAGTCAGCGATAAGCTGACTGTGCCCTCCGGTCCCTTTGTCTGGGGTGATGTTTATTTGAACAGGAGGCTTGCATATATTTGGTCCATCTGTAGAAACAATTTCAGAATCTTTTTACTAGTGCTGGTCTGACTTCCTGAACAATCAGCTAGTGTGGCACGCATGATATTGTTAATATGCAAGAAGCCTTGAAATACTGTTTTATACTGAGTAGACTGACTAATGGTACATAATTTCTTGGAGTCAAATAATAAAGTCTTACCTTGGCTTTTGCTAACAGAAATCCCATTGTCAATGGGAGGGTTAAAATGTTGCCTCAGTTGGAACTTTTGAACACTTTCTGTGCCTCTAGAAGAATTACTCTTCTGTTGGGATTTTGTGTGTCAAATGTAAATCACTTCACTGTACTTAAAGGCTTGAAATATTTTCCAGAAAAGAAATCAGACACACTTTGACTTTCTAGTTAGTGCTTAGCTCTGATGATCTATGTTCAAAATGGGTGGAAAATTTTATTGAGGGCAACATTTTTTCTCTATTACAAAAGGGTAAAGTGTTTCTGTGAAAAATGCTGTGTCTGTATGAGGCAGACATACATCGTTATGCCCTTTTTTTAGAGGCAGCGTGCCAGGTCTAGGAGAAACAGACTAGAGAAGCCAGCCTCACACACAGCTCCCGATCTGCCTTTCCTGAACAGAAGCCCCGACCAGGCAGGGAACTAGCCAGAGTTGGCCAGAGTCCCAAAGTTGATCCTGTGCTCAAAGAGCAGAGGCTCACCCCCAAATGCTGTGGATTTGCTTCTCCCCATCTTTGCCCACTCACACATATTCAGGAACGGGTTAGCCCCTGACCACCCCTGGTTGGAGGACAGGCCTGAGAGTCCTCCCTGAATTTTCACCTCAAATACAGAATTTGGAGAAATGGACAACAAAACTAATACTCTCTTTCCATTCTCTCAATGCCAACTCCGTGGGGGTGCTTATGGACATAGTCACAGTAATGACATCTTCCTGGTCTTCCTCAGCAGGCTGGAAGGTCTGGGCTCTCAGGTCAGTTCAGGGACTACTGTGTAAATTTGGTGTCAGAAAGAAATGATCCTAGTGATGAAAGATGAGCACCTCATTGACCCTTCTTGAAATAGCCTGTCAGGAAGGGAGCTGCTGTGTAGCCACCTCCTGTCCTGGGCCTGGCACCTGAGGGCCCCCTCACTTGATAATAGAGGACACAGGCTCCGAGAAGCTGGGTGAATCACTGGACCAGGGGACTGGCCTAGACCTGTGTGCGTGACACAGCAGGATCCCTCAGCCTCCCTGTTGACTCTGGGTCAGATGATCTTGTTGTGAGGGCTTCCCTGTGCACTGTGGCTGCTAGCAGCCCCCTGGCTTCTCCTCACTAGAACCAGCAGCAGCACCTAGTTGTGACCATCGAAGATGTCTCCAGACATCAGCAAATGTTTCTGGGGCCGAGATCACACTGGACTGCTCCCTGTGCTTTCTCAGGGCGTGTTCCTTCTTACTGAACAACACCACGAACTTTTGAAGACACACACTGAATGTACCAAACCTGTGTCCAGAGACAGTTGAGGCTCAAAGCTGTCACTTACCACCTGCCAAAACTGAGCAATCCATTTGCAAGTCAACGAATTATCCTATTTTTCCTTTCCTATGTTTTGATCTTCTTGTAGATCAACAAAGGATTCCTCCTGCTTCACAGTAGTTCTCAACAATCTCCGAGTGTTTCTCATATTTGACTGGCTGCTGTTAGTTCATGATTTTCTCCACACTCCCAGTGATGTTAAGAAACAAACAAACGTTACTCCTTCTCGCCACCGTAACTCTAGCAGCGAATCTGCTGTGGTTCCTAAAACCGTGAAAAGTGGAGTGGTCACCAAGCGGTCTTCCCTTCCTGTATCCACGGAAAGGCACTTGGAGGTCAAGGTCAACGTGACAGGTGAGTTGATGCAGGTTTGGATGTTAGGCACTGCGCTTCCCCCAGCTTGACCTCTGCACTGCTTCCAATTTTGCTGCGAACATGTACACGTGTGCATCTCTCAGACCACTGAGGCTGGCAGTTCCTGATTTCTCTTTTCAGAAGTGAACAACATGGCTCACACGAGGGCTGTGGGGTCCCTCGTCTGCCCCCTAATGTGCTTGCCTGTCCTCAGCACCCACCTGCTAGGCAGTGGCCTTCTCTCCCCCCACCTTGTTAAGTCTGGCTCAGTTTAGTGTTTGCTCTTCAGGGCCATCTGATGGGCCTTGCCCAGTGAAGAGAAATTGGGTATTTAAAAATCTCAGAAGGCAAGTGAAGATTGTTCCTCTGTTTACAAAATGATTATTTTTCTTTGCCAATCCAATTAGTATGGCTTTCGTTAGCTAGTGCGTTCCTCTGGTATCTGTACTGGCTTTGCTTGCCATGAGGTTCCCTATCTACTACTCAGTGACATGTAAGCTGCTCGCATTTCGAAATGGTTTTAGTTTCCAAAGATTAATCTATCCATGGTTTTTAATGAAAACGCAGTGCGTAGAACAAAATGAATTTGTTGTGTACAAATAAATGACTAGGAAGCTGCCTGTACTAATTAAAAAAAACACCCCTACATTAAATTGGCCTGCTTTGTTGGTAAACAATTTGAACAGCTATGTGGGTGACAGAGTGCCTTATGCTGTCCAACATTTGTATCCGAATCTGCTTCCTGGGATTCTAAAGCTGGTCACTGCTTGGAGAAGGGATGATTTCTTGAGCTTCTGGAGATCTCGTAGGCCTCCCAGCAGACCGAGCTTGAAAGCATATTCTAAAGAGAGGAAGTACACTCGTGTCTCTGCCCAGGCAGTGTTCTGCTGTCTTTGCCTGGCCAGATCCGGGAGATTGGATTGGGAGGACAGTGCAGTACATGTGGACAGACATTGCGGAGAACCTGTCCTGGGTAGTGTGCCGTCTGGTTGCAGAAGCTGCGACTTCCTAGCTCCCCAGCTTTGGCTTATTTAATGACGCTGTCCTTTCCAGGCACGGAGTTCGTGGTCGTGGAAGATGTCTCCTGCTTTGACACCAACGCCATCATTCTCAAAGGCACCACTGTGCTCACCTATAAGCCCCGATTTGTCGATCGGCCCTTTTCAGGAAGTTTGTTTGGCATCGAGGTGAGAAATCTAAGTGTCCATTGAAATGCTCAAGAGAAATGCACCTAGAAGGAAATTTCTGCTCTTAAACTTCCTTTAGGGGAAACAATGAGTGGAGCTGAGAGACCCCTGCTCCCCTCTTTTTGTTTTCTCCCCAAAGTGAGCAGCTTGTTCTAATGTGACTTCAGTGTCCCCCACTGGGCAGTAAACATGAGGGAGAACATTACTGCTATCTCTTAGCCCTTCCCCCACCCCCCATGAAGTTCAAGGCGGCCTCCAGGGCTGCGAGGCTGCTGCTATTTCTCCATTGCTGTGCAGAGCCCAGAGGTTGTGGGCACTGGTTTATGAAAGGGCTGAGGATTCATACTTATCTGTTCGAGAGTGTCTTAGCTGTCAGGGTGAGGGGATCCTTTCCAGTGTGCCCTGGGCTCTGGTTTGATGTTGGAGGAGATGGCTTGCAGAGGAGCAGCGTCTCTAGCCTGACAGTGGCATCAGACAATATTTAGCAAAACCTGCTCTGCCTCTTTTAAAGCAGGGGTTGGGGAGAGAGAAGGAAATGAGACAGATTATTCTCTTGTTAAAATGATGGAGATTATTCACTGGTCCCAGCTAGCATTCCTCCTGTTAGCATGCATGGTTAGGGTCACTCACCGTTTCCTTTCTCCATATGACCTCTGCATGCCCTACTCTTTCCGTTGGGATTGTTCTGAGGCTGAATGAACAAAATTCATTTTCGCCCTTAGCAGCATATGGTCCTTATTTTTTTTCCTGGTCAGATATAACTGAATAAAAAAGAAATTTCACTTCTTGACTACTTGTTTCTCTCTCAAAACCTCAGTTTGAGAGAAAGGATGCTGGTGAGTTGATCATAAAATGGCAATTCATCTGCTTCCTGAGCCACCATATTGCCAGCTTTGAAGGAAATCTTGGTGATGGATGAATGAACTGTCAAGTACAAATGGGTTTTGTGTAGGAGAAACCCCTACAGAAAAAAGGAAAATGAAACTTTCCTGCTCCACAGTCCTAGAAGTAACTAGATGGCAAAGGATTTGAGACTCTTGGGAGCTCCTCTCAGTCTGTTGTGGAGGCAGCACAGTTGAGTCTGGTATTTCATCTGAAAACCCTTTGATGGGTGGAGAATTATAATGAAAGCCAAACGAGTTCATTTTGAATATAGCAAAGGACCTTGGTTTGCGTGTTTTTCAACAGTGCTAGAAAAATTGGGGAAGGGCAAGGCAGATGGAAATGAATCACTTTCTTTCTTGTATGCTCTTTCTGAACTCTCAAAATAATTTGTTCCTGGAATGGAAGTCCTCCCTCCCTCCTCTCTCCCCAGACATGTATTTATTTTTAAATTTTTATTAGCGAACTTTCTAAACACATATAATATAAACAGTATGTTCCCATCTGTGCTTGCCAACCAGTTTCAGTAATGTTCTTATTCCCAATTATGAACGTGACCACTGTGGTGCATAAAATAGGGGGAGTGGCTGTCACCTCCCTCACAGTACGTAATCTCTTTTGACGTTTTGATGTTTCTTTCTTTAAAGTCATGACAGTATTATTTTGATTGGGCCACTTTTCACATCATTTATGTTGTAACTGTCTTCTTACATCACTTGTGGTCTTCTAAACATCACTTTTAAATGTTTATGAAATACCCCACTGAGGAGAGGTGCTATAACCTTTGTTGCTCTAAAATTGGTCCGTGTTGAATATTGGGTCAGTGAATTTTTCTGTGGTTTGCATCATTTCCTAGAAAGAGATAAGGTTATTGGATCAAAGGGTATGAAGCTTTTTCAGCCTTTGGATGTCACTCACGGCCCGTGAGGGCCCGTGTGTGTGTGCTCGTCGCACCGGCATTCCCTCACAGCCCTTGGGCTCGCGCCGCACAGGACAGACTGCTTCCTAGCTTGTCCTTTTCCTGCGGTGGTTGGGTGATTCCTTGCCCTCTTGTGTTCTGCTCCCTAGGTGTTCTCATGCCGACTGGGGAGTGAGCAGGACACAGCCCTGTCAATTGTTGATCCGGTACAAATTCAGGTAGAGCTGGTGGGGAATTCTTCTTACCAGAATAGCTCAGGACTGATGGATGCGTTCAACAGTGAAGATTTCCCGCCCATATTGGAGGTAAGGAGGGAACCAGCACGTGCAACCCCCAGCAGCATTTTAGGTAACGTCGCACCACCTGTGCAGCACACTGTCTCTGTGCTAGCAGATCTCGGGCCCGTGGAGGGTGAAAGACCTTTTAATTATCCCCTGTAATCTTGAAGTTCTGTAAAAGTTTTCAAAAGCAGAACTCAGGAAGGGCAGAAATATTGATGTGAGTAGGTTGTAAGGGAGAGCTTGCCACTTTAGGAAACAGGAAATAGAGCAGAACTGGCCAACAAATGAGAATGAGAGAAAGGTCTGTGGAAGTTTGTACGGGAATGAGGCTGCGAGGTGAAGCATTGGCCGGGAAGCCAGGAAGGAAGGCTCAGAATTAGGGCTTTATTTCTTTGGTAGAGAGGGCTACCCATCTAGACCGTCGGAGGCTGAAAGAGGGAGAAAAACTGTTTTGATTTTTGCTCTGGAAAAACAATAATAAATCAGGAAAACAGAGCACCACCCCCAGATATTCAGTCATCCCAGAATCGCCATTTTGATGTGGCCTAGTGATGGTGTCTGCACTGCTTTCTTAACCAGTGCTAGTCACGTTGCCAGTCTCTGGGGAAGACCAGATTTTCCAGAATATTAGTGTGGAACGTGACACATTTAAGAAGAGAGTGATTTTGTCAGTCAGTTTGTTTCAGACATTTAAGCAGTTAAGTAGCTCAAAGTCGAATGGATTAGCACGGTGGCCAACAGGCAACCCTGCGTCCTGCAGAGGCATCTCTGACCTTGAGCTTTAATGGGTAATATGCTTTAGTGGGTAATTTAGTGTGGTGTCTGTGGGACTTCTAGGATTTGAGTTAAGAATTATACCTGCAAGAGGTGCTGATGCCAAAGCAAATGCAATATTAAAACTGCCACTTTAAAATTTTGTTAGATTCAGTTGCAAGCCCTGGATATCAGACTCTCCTACAACGATGTCCAGCTGTTTCTTGCAATCGCAAAGTCCATCCCCGAGCAAGCGAATGCTGCGGTGCCTGAACCTGCGGCCTCAGCGGGCAGCTCTGTCAGCGGTCACCTTCTGGGTGCCTCTCGTGTTGGGGAGGAAATCAGAGAAGGGACCAGACACACCTTGGATCCTGTATTGGGTACATATCTAACTTGACAGCCCACCAGCCTTCCTGATAACTCTTTTTCTCTTTTAAAGAAAGATTTTCTTTTGCACAATTAAATTGTTCAGTGTAATTGTATGTTACTAAGTGTATTTGTAAGGCACAAATATAACCTAATTTTTTAAATTTAAGAACAAACAAAATACCACAAGCTAACTACTGTGCCTTCTAGCCTCGCCTGTTTGCTCTTTTTTGCATTTTCTACTAGAGTAGGGATAAGATTAAGATTTCATTTTAAACTTGGAGGTGTCACCTAAAGTATGTGACAATACTAAATTTCAGTTTTAAACTTTTAAAAGTGGTCAATATAGGGAAAAGACTTAGAGTTTTCAGGGTACACTGAAAAGTCTTCAATTAGGAGTCCATTTTTGCTGAGGAGTTTTAATCCATAGTTTCTGAATCTTTCTTTTTTCTTAAATTTATCTGTAAGTTAATTTACATAAATTATTTATTTAAAATAAAAATACCACTTTCTCTCCCTAGAGTTACAGCTGGCAAGACTGCAGGAGCTGGGGTTCAGCATAGAAGACTGTCGTAAGGCCCTTTTAGTCTGTCAAGGTAATTTGAGTAAGGATTCCCGTTATTGTTACCGTTACGATGCTTCCTTCCTTCCACCCCCCCCCCCCAAGGTGACCTCGAGATCTGGCGTGTGTGCGTTCAGAAGATTCACCAGCCTCTGCGGGCCCACTCTGCTCTTGGCGTGGTGACACTGGCTGCAGTGTGCACAGCAGTCTTGAGTATGGGTCCCACAGCAAGTGCCCGGCTTTACAGCTCCTTCCCGGCCACTTATCAGCAATTTGGGTCGATGACGTCACCACTTTGTGCCAGCCCTGCTTTATCTGTAAAGGAGGTGGAAGGCTTCCCTCCTGTGAGTCAGGCATCGCCGCAAACCCTGTAGGGAAGTGCCTGTTCAGCGGTGTGAGCACTGTAGCTTAGCACCATTGCCCTGTGCGGAGGATGGAACATTGACCGGGAGGGTCTAATTTATCTGACCATTCTTGTTTTTCACTCAGCGTTATATACAATTCTTTAAATATATTTTGGTATGAGCTTTTGTCTGCATCTTTGAAATATTTCCTTGGTACAGTGACCAGCTTTATAAATACCAGATCATGGAGCACAGTTATATTTTTTAGACTCTTTACTTGAACTGATATATCTTTTTCTAGAAAGATTATACCAGGTTGTACTCTGACTAGATGTGGAAACACTTGTGTGTACACTATTCTTCTGTCTGAAAACCACATAGGTGAGCCTGGTTGTCATCACTTTTTGGTTTTATTAGCTTTATGTCCTTTATCATTTCCTATTCTTTGTACTCTTTCTTTAACAAATCAAACACATTTAAAAAGTTCCTAAAGTCTTGGATTTTTACCAATTTTTATTTCTTCAGTAAGTAGGGCGTAATTCCACCAATGATAAAGCTGGGACTTGCCAGGCCGGTCCATAGAACCCTTGTCACCGCCGGGCTCTGCCCTGTGCTTCTTTGTCTTCTCCATGCGCCAGTTCTGGCAGTGGTGCTGTGGGCGCAGAGCGATCAAGTATCTTACCGAAGATCTTGCATCTAGTGAGTGCCAAGATCTGAAGCCAGACCGTCTTGTTCCCAAGCCCATGCCCTTAACCACTGACCACTGTTCCAAGCACTGACCTTCGGTAATTTCCAGATAGAGTTGCTTTGCTTTTCTTTCCTCTGTTTTTCTTTAGCTTTGGCAGTTGTGAACAGGGACCCACCCTCCAACAGTTGCGTTTTACCCAAGTGCAGTGCTCATTGCTCTCCATTCTCAAGGAACTTGTGATGGATCAAGGAGACAAAGGAAGACAGTTAGAAATAATTGCAAGCTAGCTTATCAGTACATGCAAAACTACACAGGGGAGAATAAGCACTTGAGTGCCAAGTGGCAACTAGACTATGGAGCCTTGCCTTTCTTCTTTACCTCTCTCCTTCCACAGATGTCATAGGAGACGAGGGGTGACTTCCTGCAGGCTTTTGAGCCTGATCATGAAAGGTGTGGTAGCCCTGAGTGGGCGTGCACAACAAAGACCGCCTTGTTCTGCCTGCTTAAAGCTGAATCCCCATTATTATGCTAGGTTTTGGTGTTTTTTGTTTTTTTTTTTTTTTTCTCTCTCTCTCTCTTTTTAGTCTAAGAACACATCAAGGTTCTTCTGGGCTGTGCAGTAGGTCCCTATTAACTTTATTTCTCCATTTCCTCTCAGTTGCTTGAGTAACTGTGGGAACAGGTTGAACTGATCACCTTTTAATTTCTTTGAAGGCCAATTAAAAAAGGCAGCAAGTTGGTTGTTTAAGAATGCTGAACCTCTGAAGTCTCTTTCACTGGCCTCTCACAGCCGAGAGGGCCAGGGGCCTGTGCCAGCACAGTTCATCTCTGGAGTGGAGATCAAAGCTGAGAGCGTGTGCATCTGTTTCATCGACGACTGCATGGACTGCGACGTCCCTCTTGCTGAGCTCACCTTTTCCCGTGAGTGTCTTCCCGACTTTCAGGTTCATCTGGAATACTTTCAGTGATTACCAAGTCAGTTGGGGCTTGTCCCTTTATTTATTTTGTTATTCATGCTCTCTGCTTAGCAGTTTGGGCAAAATTTGGATAACGATTTTACATATGTTTTTCATTATTTGTATTTTAAAGAGATGTGCATTTATTTGCCATATGTGGCCTTCAGCCTATAGTTGGGGAATAATAGAAGTTGTCGTTGACAAAATTTGTTACATTAACAGATTTGACTAAAATAATTCCTGATCTCTTCCTTTTGCTTTTCTTTTTGTGTCTAAAAATTGTCACATGTTCTATTATTAAGGATATGTAAAGATAAAGTCAGAAAATAATGTTTCTACCTTACTTTTGAAAATACAAAACCCAGGATCTTATTTGAAAGTTCACCTCAGAGTCTCTTCAGAGGCCATATAAGAGGTAAAACACAGTTGATCTGAGAGCTGTCTTCAGAAGGGCAGGCTTAGGGTGGAAGTACTTTATCCTAAATCGCATCACTGCCAGCAGTGTTAGAGGCTTCTGAGGAGATTAAATAAAATCTCACTGCCATGTTTACTTTTAATTTTTCATTATTTTGATCTTGCCAGCCTCTTCTGCCTTCAAGTAACTGGTTCTGGGGATTTAAATTGACCTTTTACACATGGCAGTTTTCATTTTCCCTGTACTTTTGGGCACCACAGGGCCTCTTGATTTGAAAAAAAAAAAAAAGTAACAGCTAAAAATTCCTACAGTTTTCTCAAGTATCCTTTGTGCAGAAAATAGATTATTTTTGCATGATCATCTTGAAATTTTAAACATAATATTTACCATGGCATGGCCACTCCTATCACTGTCTTTTCATGTATTTTATGTTACCACAGGCTTCAGATAGACATGGGAGTTGGCGTGGGGAGTGGGGACAGGCAAAGGAGGCAGTGGCCTCTGGCATGACATTTAAAGTGGTGTTCCAAAACTCGATAATTTTGAGAAGTAACATTTCAGTGCACTGTTTTTAAAAATCAGAATTCATGCAAAGCAACTCACTAGAAGAACAGAACAGTATTGTGTGTGCTTTCCTGTGAGGTGATCCACGTTAGCTGGACCTGGCAGCTCTCTCTCATTTGTCTGCCAAAGAAAGTCCTGGTGGTTTTCGCCCCTCCCTCCCCCACAGCAATAAGGTTGGCTTCCTTTGCAGGTCTGAATTTTCTTCAGCGTGTGAGGACTAGTCCTGAAGGCTATGCCCACTTCACCCTTTCTGGAGACTACTATAACCGTGCGCTCTCTGGTAAGTGTAAGTATATACTACTGTGGGATTTCAGAATACACTTAAATACCTGCCTGGGCTATTGTCTGCTTAAGTTTTACATGAAGGAAAAGGGGTGAGGGAGGACGGAGAGCCATTAAAAACAAGTAACTACATACATAAGCATAACAGATACAGAGTTTCCATTTGTCTAAAAATATATCTGATATGTTGCAACTGAGTTATTCACAAAGTTTTCATAGTTGGTTGTTTTTGATTCTGGAGTTTGGCTTATGCCAGAACATGAAATTGCTCACCAGTGAACGGTGGTTTGTCTGGTCCTGCTAGCAGCTAACTTTCCAGGGAGATGCGGGCCCATAGCTTTTTAAACCTCGAGCCTCCTCACTCCCCTTGGACTTGTTTGTTTTGTCAGAAGAGTGCTGAGTCAGCGATAATGTAGCCACTGCCCGGGTACTTAATAAAGCAAAAGCAGTTGAGCAGAGCAAGCTATTCTTTTGGAGACATAAAACCTGATAAACTGCAAGGCATTTTCAGGCATACTTCCTTCTAGTGGGAAGATGAAGGGAAGCACTTGACAGCCAGGGCCATCATGCCTCCAGGCAAGCAGGCCGCACTGTGAAGTTCTTTTCTGTCGAGGGCTTTCAGGAGGTGTGGACAAAGTAAACCAAGTAGTTCATGCAATCTAAGGCTTAGGTCTGAGAGTGATTGCTCTCTTTGATCTCAATGGAAAATTAAGCCTCAATTTGTTTTGCTGCTGATGATTGTTCTAGAGTTCACGTCACATTTAATTTTATACATTAGTTAACATTTTCCATCTCTGTTCTGGATCCATTTAAAGGTGGTAACATTCTTCTTTCCTAATTGTTCAAAATTGTTTAGCTTCAGAATAGTGGCCTGAGTCTTGCTAGTCAAGAGAAACTCATATGGCGTATGGTAGCTATTTTTCTGAGAAACATTTATTTTCTCAAAGCATATTTTGCTTACTTTTAAAGTTATGTGAACACATTCAGGTTTCTAAGTGCTAACTGGTGTCAGAAGACTGATCTACTTCCTTTATGATGCATACTGGATTGGATTTGTATTGGTGAATCACCTGATGACTGATGAGTTGTTTGGCAAACTTAAAAATTAACTGGCCTTGAAAAGTCAAGTCTTTAAGACAACAATCAGATACGGTTTTCTCCCCTGTGGACCTGCAAAACTTGTGACTCTACTATGTATTGGTGAAGATATCAGCCCTAAAACTCTTACTGCCTGATAGAATTGTCAGTCAGCACAAACACTTTGAAAAAACAATTTTACGTAACCTACTAAAGTTCACCTCTCTGCTACCCAGCAATATACTTTTCAGTGTTCTTGGGAGCATCTCACACCTAATGTGGACCAGGAAGCATATTCAAGCCTACTTATAGCAGTATTTTTTCCTAATGGTAATAAAACTGAAATCAAGTAAAAGCCTCTCAACAGAGGGATGGATGAATAATTATGTATTCAATAGTGGATTACAGTTCAGAAGTGAAATAAATGAACCATACCACATGACTTTGCTCTGAGTGAATACAGAAACTTGCAGAAGGGTACATACTACTGGATCTTGTTTTTGTAGAGATCCCTAACACAGACAAACTAATCAATATGCTCTTAAGATCTGTGTGCATATGTGATAAAACTCTAAAGGAGAGCAGGAGCATGGTTAAAAATTGAAGCTAACAGTGGGAGAGAACTGATGAGAAGGGGAAAGTGGGAGGGAAGTGACACTTCACAGGAACTTGTAATTTTCTTTTTCTGAAGCTGAAGGGTGGGTATGTGAATATTTGCAATAGGCATGTTGGTTCCATGCCTTAGGTATGGCATATTCTCGGATAAAAACATTGAAGGACTTAAGGTAATGATTTTGCAAGTTTTTTTGTTTATTCAGCCAGTGGGCTCTTCTCGACCTGGGCTCTAGAGTGGGCATCCCATATTAGTGCCCAGCGGTCAGAGAGAAGCTTAGTCTATGTGGGAGACAGAAACTCTTACTACTTTTTAACCCGGGACATCTGTAGGACAACCTGTAGCTAAAGAGGGTGCCTTCACTGTGAAATCAAATCAGAATGAGAAAGCTGCTCAGCTAGGGCTTCTCCTGTGCTTGTGAACAGTGTTCCCCCATAAACTTGGTATCTGCTGAACAGATGCCTTACTTCCTGTGTTGCAGGCTGGGAACCATTTATCGAGCCATGGCCGTGCTCTGTGTCTTGGCAACAGCAGTCAGCTGGCCGCCTCCATCCTCCTCGCCTGAAGCTGGAAGCCAAGGCCAAATTCCGTTTGGATATCAACATTACTTCTGTGCTAATTGGTGGGTAGAAAGTTGTCTCTCTCTTCTGTTGAAGTCACATTGCATGATATGATTATGTAGATTTCAGATGTGCTTCATGGAAAATTTCCATGTGTATATGCTCCGTTACATTCACCTCTAAAAGCAGAGAGTTGTCTTTTGAAGATTGGTTCCTTTAGGACAGAAGTCTATTGCCTGGGAGATCATTAGCTCCAGTGTAGTAGGCCTTGGACCTGTACCAAATGTCACTCACTCATCAGGGCTGCTCTCCGGTAAACCCTGACCTAGGCTCCCTATTCTTTTCGACCCTGGGCTCCAGAGTGGGCATTCAGCAAAGAGGAGCTTGGTCTATGTGGGAAACAAGTGCTTCCCATGAGCTTTCTCCCCACAGCGCTTGGTCACTAGGACTTGTTAAATGGCCTGGAAGTGAAGTTAGAGTTGTTCACGAAGTAATTCTTAAGAGGTTTCATTTTGACTTGTCTTGTAGCAGGACGACTTGTCTGTCCTTTCCCATCCAGTATCACATTGAGCACCCTCTGCACATCCCTGGGCTAAAGGGATGCCACCCTGGTGGTGTGTGTTCCGAAAGTCGACAGACCGAATGGCTTCCTGGCTTTCCTCTTGCGTCGCAGCCACGTATGCTGTTCCTTACTTGTGTAAAAAAGAGCCACAGCACACACTCAGGTCGTGCACCTTCACTGTGAAGACTCCCACTTACTGAACAGGTTACCCACAGTCTCTGGTTACCTGAGTGAAACATACACTGTCGCACACTGTAATGTGTGCGTGTTGGATTGAGACTCGTGGACGGCCCTTGCCTTGTTCCATGTTAGAGCAAGATGAACAGTGGAGCATAAGCTACTGACCTCCAGATTTAAAATCCACTGCTTTGTGGTATCAGATTTTGTTTATTCATTTGCCTGCAGAGAGGTGTCATCTGAGCAATAGTAGACCTGTCTCGTGAGCCTTCTATAGTATGCCATCTGGACTTCCATGTCATTTCTTCTATAACCTATCCACCTGGAGGTTGAGATGACGTTTGGAACGGAGCTTTGAAAAGCAACAATAAGCAAAAGCCTACCTCCAGCAGCAGTTGTGTCAGTTCTTCTGATGAGCAGAAGTGGGTTTTAGAAAGTTATTAATGAACTTACCTAATGGAACTTACCTAATGGAAGCGTCATTGAGACGCGGCATTATTCTAGCTTCAGATGCTCACAGTATTTGGCATTGGCCTGCGACGCACAGTGACCATCACAACACTGACTGTATCTCCATCGCCCTCACTTGCTGTATGCCTCTCATTCTCCTTCCCCCATTTTACCCACTCCGCTTTGAAGTTTCGATTGCTTATTCCTGGTACTGTGTCAACACCCGGAAGCATTGCTGTGTAAGTGCCTCTCATTGCATATTGGATCGTGATGAAAATCAAAATCCAGTAATTGTAAAGTGTCCTGTCATTTTTAGTAGTCAAGGTCTTATCCAGGTGTGGGTCATCATAATGATTTCCACCCATTGTTTCCATTATACTTCTCTCAAAAGAGTAAACCCACTCCAGCTGACCGCAGCCTCCTGAATTGGGTTGTCTTTCACAGCCTCTCTTTTTTTTTTTTTTTTTAAAGACATATTTATTTATACATAAAGAACTGGAGTATAGCCCAGAGGTACAGGGACAGTGAGAGGATTCACCAGAGGCAGATTGGGGAGCAGAACACGCAGATCGATGAAGTGCACTGCTGAGGGGAGCAGGGAGCAGGTCAGGAGAGGTCTGCTGCCACCATGTGGATCACTCCCTGGCTGGGGATCGAACTTGCACTGAAGTGGCTGCGTCCCAACCTTCTATGCCACCAGGGAGGGCCCTCACAGCCTCTTAACGATCTTTCTGACTCCAAGGCCTTGGCGTGGCACACGTGCTCTCCACAGGCTGAGTCACCTCTCTTCTAGACTTCCCTGGTGTCCGGCCCCAGTAAGTAGTGGCAAAGTCATACCAACATAGTCTGTGTGCCCAGTGGTGCCCCGCACTGTCCTGCCTTACAAAACCTAGCACCTGCTTTCTTTCTGCTTGGGATGTCCCTCGACCCATAAGCTACATTCTACTCAACCTTTGACACACAGAACGAAGGTTCCACATCTGAAGATTCCTGTGGATTTGTGCACACTGCCCTGCTCCTGCCCCAGCAGAATAAACCTTCCCCTGTTCTGTGCTCTAGTAGAATTTTATTTATATCTTTGTTTTCGTTTCTGTCCTATTGTGGCATAGTTTTGTGGTGATGGTTGTTTTGTTAACATCTCTTCCAGTGGAGTATGAGGTTTCTCCAGAGGATAAACTCTCAGAATCGAGCCTAGTATGTTGTGAGGTATTCAGTAAAGCTTGTTTTGATGAATTGAAATTAGTTGACTTGAATTCTCAGATGCTTCTTTTCCTGTTCTTAATATCTTTGGGGAATTCTTTTTAGATCAATATGTCAGTACCAAGGAATCGTGGATGGCAGATTATTGTAAGCAGGACACAGAAATTGACTCATCTGTTTCAGAAGACTGGATGGGCTCTTCAGTGGATCCTCCGTGTTTTGGACAAAGTAAGATTTTCTCTACAAATGTCTGACTAAATCATTCCTGACCGGCAGGCCCTGTTTTAGTGAGAATCCAAATATAACCATCATTTCCTTTGGGAAAAACTTTACAGGAGATTCGGCCTGTCTTCTTTGGTTCTCTCTCACTCTTTGCAAGTGACATTTTCCTGGCACAAACAGTTGAACTTTTAATCTGCGTTCTAATTCCATCGTTATGACCTAGAAAGCGCCTGCAGTGTGCAATTCCTAAGGCCCGGTGACAATGCATATGACCTGCTCACTTGCCAGCATGCCAGGGTCAGCCCCTGGGCCTTTGTTTCACTCCACACAACGTTGGTTTTCCAATTGATTGGATTTTTGATGTTTAAAAAAAAATCTTTGCAGCCTTCTAATTCTAGAGATTAAAAAAAAAAAAACTAGCAATAATAGATTTGGGTATATTCTTAAAGAGGAGGGTAGGGGCCCATGTGGAAAAAAAATTGTTAAAAGGTGCCGTGTATTGTTTATAAAGTATAAAAGAATTGAATTCCCAGCCCCTTGAAAGAAGGGGGAGTCAGTTTGTTTTCTGTTAATGATGTTTCTTCCTTTATTTAATGCTTCTCCATGGAGCTCTGATTTCCTCAGAGCTGGGAGATTGTGATGGCCAACAGCGTGGTCCTCACTTGTTCCACAAGACATTGTCATCCAAATTCAACTCAGCCCCAACTCTTCGAGTGTGGTTTCTTTGGGGAGTCTTGGCTGGACTTCACATAGCTCATGAATACTGACATATTCCATCTGTTCTGCAAACGTGTCATGGGAAGATGGATCTTCTTAGTGTGTGAAGTATTTGAACTGCTCGTCTCTCCTCAGGGTGTATAAGTGGGCTTTCAGCCTTGTACTTCTAGACAGAGAGACAAGGAAATGGCAGCAGTGTTTGCTCGCTGTGTTTCCAGGCTGTTGTTTAGGAGGCTCGAGGTCATTGCTCAGGAGCCAAGGCTCTTCGGATATCATCAGCCTCAATTCTGGCTGTGCCTCAGACCTTCCCAGTGTGTGTGTCAAGAGGACGTAACATAGTTTACCCAGAAGACTCTAAAAAATCTTTATAATATATGAGTCCTCGAGAGTTTGTTTCTAAAAATATGGTTCTTAAGGGGAGATCTTAAGTCCTGAATCTGTACAAATGCTAGAAGGCCTCACCTTCAGGGTCCAGGCACAGGGCTCTCTTTTGTTCCCTGCCTCTCCTTGAAAAAGTTTTCCTCTCTCTCTTTATAGTTAATAAACTGCATTATCTATGTTCAATGCCAGTGCTAAACTAAAGCTGGGTTTTTATTTTTATGGTTTCTTAGGTTTATAAAGATGTAATGTACCTTTTAATTAGACTTGAGCGAATATAACTGGATTTCCAAACCTCTTTTTTTACTGAAAATTCCTGGGTGGTAGTAGAGCAACTGGGATTGCATTCTTTTAATAGACCTAGTAAAATGATTGTTGGGCATTTGTTTTGAAAGTCAGTAGGTTTGAACCTTGTTGAACTAACCACGGAGTTTCAGTTCTTATTCAAGAACATTCACTCACATTCCCCCACAAGTTGTATTTTTATTCAGGCAAGCTTCAAAGTGAACCCTTGACATAGAATTTCTTAAGAAACAAAATTCTAAGGGAGCTGCTGATTTCTTACTGTTTCTTTAGCAGGGGAAAGAAAATAATGGCCTCATTTTGACATAATTATTGGCTTTGTTCAGTAAGGGCTGAGATTCTGCAGGTAAACCTGGATGGCATGGCACCTTATTGAATTAATTTTATATTCCAAGGACATTTTATGGAAACAGCAAATATAAAATTCTAAAAGCATCCATGTTTAATTTTTAACAATAAATGGTACACGAGATAACTCCTTAATGGAGATTGTTTAAACTGATTGTGCAGACTGGCTCTTTCATGGGCCTCCAAGACCAGCCACTGGCTTTCTGCTGCTGCTGCCTGTTGCAGTTGGAACGGAGCAGCTCTCACTAAAGCCTGAGTTGACTCGTCTTGGTGACTTTTCCCTGCCACCTAAGAACCTACTTACTTTAAAAATTTTGAAAAGACTTGTCAGCCTATTCAAGAGAATGTCGAATAAATTTTCTTTCCCCCATTGAAAAAAAGAGGTGCATGCACTGTTGACACAGCCCCCACAAAGCGAGCACCGCTGCCTCGCTGCCTCGTGTCTTTAGGGCCTCGCTCAGCGCTTGGCAGTCACGGAAGGGATGACCCGCATGGTGCTTGCTGCTGTGGTATTCTCTGTTTGTGCTTGTTTCAGGGTGTCTCTTACTCTGTTTGTTCTTTTCCTCTAACTTTGTCTCTCCTGTCTACCAGGCCTCCCCCTTGCCTACCTTAGAACTAGGAGTACAGCCAGTCTGACTAACCTAGAGCACCAGATCTATGCTAGAGGTACAGTACAGCCAAGAGAGGGCTGCTTTCTTTTCCTGTTTGAAGAACTGCCTTGTATGTCAATTTTCCGTGATGGGGTGTCATGAGGGAGGGGGGCTCACCTAGCGTTCAGTCCTTTGCTGAAAGTCTCAAGAAAGAACACTTTCAACTCATGAGCAGGCTAGCACCTCATGTCGAAGGAAGTGGTGCGGCAATTCTTACGTAGGTTCTTCCATCTGCCTTAACCTGCCATGGAAATGGAATCAATTCCGCATTATGTGGCACAGAAATCGCCAGTGTCCGAGGCGAGAGACATGGAAGAAAACCACCTTTGTTGATAGGACATCAGTGACCCTTTTATTCCTCTGGTAGTGCAAGGCGCTGTCCAGAACAGATGCTGGCAGGGGTGGGGCCCTAGCTAGGAGAACATTTCTCAGTAATTGTTCAGACACAACTCTTGATTATTGTTGGTGTGAATTGAGGTTCTCAGGAGATAGAATAGAAGCTATTACTTATTTCTCTGACCTTTTAAGCTTCCTTGAGATTTTGGCTGGAAGTAAATATGATAGAAAACACCATAAACTTCAAGGAATTGGATTCTCAAGATGTTCATTTCTTCATTTGCTTGAAAGAATGTGATTTAATCTGAATGGCTTATGTTTTTAGTTGGCTCACACCAGATCCCGAGCCGTGATATGTTTTGTGAAACAGACCACAGGAACTTTCTCTGGGAGGAATTCAGAACAAGGATATTACTACATGGGGGCAGTTTTGGGGGCTATTTTGGGGAAAGTTTTATTCAAAATCACTTTTGGGGGAGGGCTCATGAAGAAAACCCATGATTACAACTTGATTTACTCACGGGTTCATACTTCTCAGGTTTTCAGTTACTTAGAAATCTTCCAGGCAATGTGCTGAGTACTCTTTCTTTTCAGCAGATGAGGACAGAGAGCCTCTGAGAGACAAATAATTTGCCTTCATTGACATAACCAGCCAGTCACAGTCCTGGGGCTTTGATCTGTCCTAATGATTTGCAGACCAGGTCTTTCTGATAGAAGGGTGCCTGTTCCATGAGAACTACGCTGTCAGGCCAAGTTCACGTGACCGCTGTAAAGCCAGTGGTCTCTGAGTAGCTGGTTCTTCAGCCAGAGAGAGCCACTTGATGCTAGACCTGGCTATGAAGAGCTTTCGGTTCTCCTAGCCCATGGAGGTAACAGGTCTGATCCTGAGAGGAGGTTTCCTGAGGCTCCCAGGGAGCCCCAGTGTCTGAGACGCACTGGGCATCTTGTTCTCTGGTGCAGAGGTAGGTTGAGTCCATGCTTGATTTGGAGCCCTCAAGGCAGGAGATGACAGATTTGTTCTTGGGTGTTGAGTTTGGGCTTATGGGCGTGCCATGCATGCATTTTACTCTTGGGGACTTGGGGGAAGCATTTTACCCTCAGGGATGGAGTCGAATGGGGGCATCTGGTATCTGATCAACAGGAGCAGCGGCATGGACACCACAGCAGCATGCCTACTTGGGCAGTTTCATCCTGAAGCAACCGACTTCCCAGCACTTCTCTCCACGTTACAGCCTGGTTAAAGGCACTTGCCACCTTTTCTTTTTAAATCTTATTTGTAAATGGAAATATCTAGTCCTGCTCACAGTGTTGATATGAAGCACATCTGGCTTCTTTTCCTCCAGGGTCCTTTATCTCATGTAGTAATGTAGCTCTCTCACTAGCTTATGGAGAGAGGGGCACAGTAAGTTCTGCTTCCCCTGCAGACAGCTGTCACAGTTCTCACTCCCCCTCTGCTCTCCTCAGCAGCCGCTCCTCAGTTTTCAACTTGATGAATACTTTTTTTTAAAGTCAGCCTTAGTGAGACCATGAGATGAAAAATGGGTATATTCAAGTGGAGATCACTGTAGAAGCACTTGGGGGTGTCTTGAACCTGACCATGAAATCATGGGAATGGCCTGGGGGCCACTCAGGTGGCATTTCGGCCTCACCCGAGCCTTGTCCTTCCAGGGAGAACCTGCCTTAACCCCACATTGCTTGCTCACAATGTTTCAGGTACTGAATTCTGAAAATTTTGTAGTCTATGGAGGGCAGGAAAGAAAGCCTGGCCCTTTCCAAGGCAGTGGTGATTTCTCACACGATGATAGTGCCCGTGCTGCGCCCGGAGGTAGCAGGGCCATGCTCTGCACTTCACCTTCTGGGTTTTGCTGGCGGGATGCCCTTGGTCCCTGAAGGTGATCTTCAGTTCACGCTGGCATACCAGTCAGCAGTGGGAGTCGCTTTCTTGATAGCATTTTCTCGCCAGCTGCAGCCCATGTGAGTCCTCTCAGGAGGTCATGCACTTCCAAGCTGCGGGCAGGTTCAGGCCCAACTTCCTCCTACTTGTCTGTAGCAGCCCCCAGCTGTGCGCTGGTCTTGTGGCCTTGAAGAGGCAGGTCACTGCTGAAGGAGCCAGGAAACTCCTCTAAGTCCCCCACCCCACTCCTGCCAGGCCACACAGCAGGTCAGTGCCAGACCCTGAGGCAGCTGGGCACCCGAAAAGCTGGGCTCAGGCTGTTTCTGGCCACCTGGTTTCTCGCTTCTCTGATTTCCTAGTGGTTATAGTCAGGTTGGCCCGCTCTGGAACTCGATCACTTACTGTACTACATTGGTCAGTGTTTCCTTCTGCTCTGCCTGACTTGAAGCACTTTTAGGAAAGTTACTCTATTTTAATGTTCCTTTCTTAGTTTCCATTATACCTGCCTTTGAGCAGAGGGTGGTGATTTCCAAGTAAAAAGAAGTGAGCTAGCAATGTCATTTAAAAAGCTCTGGAATAGTGTACTGGCCTTACAGGGAGGAAAATAAAACAGCTGTAGTGCCAGAGGACGGGAAAGAATGCCTTGATTGTTTTGTTATCATATGTATAGCATTGACTATGGGGAATTGTGTATAAAGGGGGCTTTGTTAGTGCACAGGACAGAGTTTAAACAAGTGTGAGATATCTTGGTTACCTATTTGGAACATATTTCTTGGGAGAAATGGTGTTAATTTCTCTTTCTTTCTTGATTCCAACCAAGTCAGATCCAAAGCCTGCCTTCCTCTGAGATAAATCCCACAGTAATTGCGAGTGGCTTGGGGCTGGGATAGTCCCATAGCATAGCCAGTTGTGGGGGAGGGGGCCATCATCCCAGAGGAGGCAGCCCCTGTCTGTCTACACACCGCCTTTCCTCTTCCCTCCGCTTTAGCCCCATTGCATAAGGGACAGTTTTGTCTGCAGGTACTGGGGCAGGCGGGTGTCTGCACACAGAGGGATATGCTAACAGGTGCCTTCTCCTTGTCCGTAGCAGAGGTGAAAACCCCCAAGCGTCGGCAGCCGTTTGTTCCCTTCGCTCTGAGAAACCACACAGGGTGCACCCTGTGGTTCGCCACCTTGACCACCACGCCTACCAGGTAAGAGACACTGGTGCCTGCGCTGTCCAGGCTGCAAAGCTCCAGTGTACCAGCCGAGCAGGGCAGCGTGCACCCCCTTCAGATGTTGTATTGCAGTCAGTCGCCCACTGTCTTGCTCAGAGTGCTAGTTCTGGGTAAGCCTGAGGTCAGAGAGGGAGATTCTGAGTCTGAACTATGCAGAAGACCACCATGTGCCTGGTGTGTGCCACACTGAACGTAGACGTCAAGTGAGTCCAGGTGCGCGTAGGGCATGTGAATGCAGTCGCCACATCCCTGCCCTCAGTCCCCATCTCTGTCTTTTCAAAAGAAGCTGTATATTGCTATTAAACTGAACATTTTGCATTTTCCATCCAAAACTAACTTTGTAAATGCCTTCCATCTTCCCCTTCACCCTACCCCCACCCCCCAAATTTCCTTCCAAACCAGAACACACTTCAACCCAGATGGGCTTGGGTGGAGTTTGGAGAACAACTGTGAGTTTACCTGAGCCAAGCGAGAGCGCTCACTGGCAACTTTCTGCCTGTTTAGGACTTGGCTTAGCTTTCCATGTACAAGCTGATCTTTCCAGTTTAGGTAATGAAGTACGTTTAATGAGTAACAGAATCAGTTGACTTGAGATCACATTTCTCCTGCTTCCACCAAGTATGATAATGGTCTTGAGAGGATTCTTTGTAAAGCAGTTCGGGTTGGTTTGATTCTAGAAAGTCACTTAAAATACCACTTTACAAAGTCATGAAGTACTTGGTATAACACCTTCATGCCAGACTCTCTCGTGCGGGCTCAGACTGTATGTTACGTGTCCTGTGGGTGGGTGTGCCAATAAGCTGTGATTGATGGTTACCTCCGCTTTAGCGGCTGGCCCTGGAAGTCTTGCTTTGTAGCTGACTCCTGCAGCCTTATCGCTGTGAATCCAGTCCCAGTGGGTTTCTGCTCCCAACACCAGCGCTAGGTGGTGCCTCTGATCTGGTTCCAGGGCTGCGCTGTCTCACAGTGGGAGTCCAGGGCTGCTTCCGGAGACTGATGGCACGTTTCTCGATGACACGCACAATGTCAGTGAGTGGCGGGAAGTCCTCACAGGCGAAGAGATTCCCTTCGAATTTGAAGCAAGAGGGAAGTTAAGACACAGGTGAAGTGTGGATTTCCTTTTCTCAAAAAAAAAGTGTGTGTGTTCTATATGTATATGATTGGCCCTAGTGTTTTGCCCATTTCACTTTCCTTTATTGACGATTTTAATGTTTTATGTTTAAAACAATATTTTGAAAAATCAGTGTTGTCTTTAAGAAATGGGATAACTGTTTTTGCTGTCTTGGAAATAAATTCTCCTCTCTCTCAGTTTTTCCTTCATTTAACATGTGCGGTCCTCACCTGTGCCTCGCATAATTGGGTAGATGCTCACGGCCCTGAAGGTCATTGTGCTGTGTTGTGAGCCAGTGATGACTTCTAAGGTTGCCACAGATTGCTGATGGCAATGTTGAGGTGTGTAGGTGCCACCAGTTAGGAAACACATCCACAGATGATAAGATATTTTGGCTCTAAGGAAGATAAAAGTAACTCATCTAGGAGAGCTCACCAACACATTCTAGAAATCGTGAACTGAGGGAGTGGAGTAAGTGTGTTTCTGGTTACTGAAACATAGAAAGTGTTTAATAAAGTCTTATTTGCAAATGGTTTAAAATGGCAGCACTATGCAGTGGATTGGGAATAGGCTGATATTTTAGCATTTGAACCTCCTATTTGTTTTCAAACTGAGCAGAAACTTGAGAGTGACTTCAACCATGCTTGTGTGCAAACCTGTCCCTGAGGCAAACTCTTCTTCCGTTTGCATACATTTGTGCTAGTGTACAAACTCCTTAATTACAAGAGTCCTGAACCTGGGACCCCCAGTCATTTTACTACCTAAAAGTACAGTTAAGAAAGCTACCCCTATGCGGGGCACACATACCTTGAGATGTTAGAATTTTCAGGAATGAGTGGTAAGTATTTTCTTGTTCGACAAAGTTCCTGGAGAAGCTGATTGCAGAGCAGTGATTATATTTTTTAATAATCATTGCCTCTGTTATATCAGAAGGGGTTTGACCTCTTTGCCATTTCCGTTTCAGAGTCCATGTTCTGTAACCCATTTCAAATCCCACTGTTCTGCTTGAATTCGTCAAAATAAATGCCTTTTCTGGTTTTCCCCCTTTGGCACATTGTACGGTGCCCCCCTCCCCGCCCCCCTTCCTGTCAGCCTCAAATTTAGTTCCCCATTTCAGGCTTCTGGCTTGAATTAGGCAAAATCTAAAATAGAATTAAATGTGCAATTTCCTCCTGTTCCTCCTGTTCTGCCCACTGCCTTCTGCTCCGATTACAGCTGAATGCTCAACCCTGAGCCCTGAGCTCCGTCTCTTGTGACCTGGCTGTCGTCACGTAGGGCCCAAGAGCAGCGGGCTGGTCAGCCAAAGAGCCAAGAAGAGAACGTTAGCATGGGCATCTCCACATATCTGGCTATAGGGTGGTTACGGGGTTACATTGCCAGTGCCACATTTTCACTAGCTCTCTAAAATGATTTTCCCTGGTGTCATTATTTATAAAAGCTGAGGTGTAGGGTATGGTGGGGTAGAATACGGGCTAGTGTCGGGGTCTACAATTCCTTATAGGAATTGTCAAATTGGGGGGCAGGAAAGAGAGTAAGTGCCACTTTTGCTGATGCTTTACAAATCTTACAGTTTTTTCCTCTAACTTTTCTCCTTAACCTAACAGAATATTATGTTCAGTGTCCAGATGGTCGTGTTTATTTTACATATTTCTGGAATTTTTTTTGTTTTGTGTATGTCAATACTCTTATGTGGAACATAAACATTATTAGTCATATTTATTGTGAGCTTTAACTTTCAAAATATAGATTTTCCATATTGTTTATTCCCTGCCTTCTCCCTTTGGTGTTTCCCAAATAATGTCTCTGCCCATCATCCTATTACATTGCTTTTGTTATACTATTTGAGTTCACAGGCAAATCTTACAGTTTTTTTTTTTTTTTCAAATCTTACAGTTTTAAGTATAAAACCCGGTTAAAATATTCTCTGGATTTCCCTTACATTAGATGATCACCAAAAGACTTAGCCAACTGGGTTTTCATGTTAACAGTAAATCACAATTGAGTCTTTGTGTTTCCTTTTCTTCCCTTTGTATTTTCTTCCCTTTTTAATATTGTGCTTATTAACACGTCTCTCCACACCCTGCCCACAGACACACCCATGACCTCCGGATCCATCAGCTGCAAGTGAGAGTGAACGGCTGGGAGCAAGTGAGCCCCGTGTCTGTGGACAAAGTCGGGACCTTTTTCCGATATGCGGCACCAGACAAAAATTCATCTTGCTCGACGGTGTGTGGCTGTAGAATGCATGGGTGTTCTCTGGCATGTCAGGGCCCTGGTCACAGCCCCTTCAAGCTAGGTGGCCAGATAGATAAGCCAAACTAGCCTTGCTCTGGTGAAAATGTTTTGCTCTTTATTTCTACCGGTTCTGAGAAAAAGACGTCAGGTTATTTTGGGTCAGTCATAGGCATTGGTGTCAGTATGTATTGGGAGATAACCACCAGTGTTCATGTAGTGGAACAGTAAGCTCCAGGATTGGCATGAGCACAGATTACCTCCTCTGTGCCAGTTCAATTCCTACTCAGGCTGGCTTGTTTGGCCAGGTTTGCCAAACATAATACTATTTCACATTTGTTATGCTTCCTTTAAATACTGTCTTCTACAGTGTTCTTTCTTGCTCTTTCTGCCCCTCTACCCCAGTCCCCATCTCTGGCATAGGGATAGATGTCCGCGTATGCTTATTTTCTGATCACACATCTCACTCCCCAGCCTGTAGCTCTGAGGGTTGAGGGCCAGCCTGGGACAAGGACCCTGACTAGCGTGTGCAGGCAGAGGCTGGCGTATGTTTGCTGCAGCACTACATGGTGCTTATAGATCGGGTCATTTCTGGGACTCTAGGGATGAGTGGGGAAGTACAGTCCTGCGGAGATGTGCTGACTTTCCCCACTCTGTTTTCTTCATGGAAATGTTTTTGGAGAACACTCTTCTTTCTGCGCTTCCTCTCTGGTGCCCCAGCTTTCTTAGAAAGAGAAACTTTCAAGATTGCTTTTTTGGTCTAAATCCATTCTGGTCATAAATGGACTAACTTCCCCAGAGACACCGACCCCTGTCGTGTCACTGGCCCTGCAGAGCTGGAGAATGAACCTTGCTTTTCCCAGGTCTTCTAAGCCCAAGTGTTGTTTCTTCACAGCACACCATACTTTAATTAGCAGTGTGCAAACAGGAAGTTGCCATGGGTGTATTGGTACCTGTAACCTTAGACCTGTGCGGACTCTCTGACTCTTGGAATCTTTCTTAGATTGGCAGCCCGAGCTGCAGGACCAACATCATCCACCCACAGGTTTATGTGAGTATGGCTTCCCCATGTCACTGTGTGACTGAGTGTCCGATGTACCTGATGTGGGGTTTTATATTTAAATTTTTTTCTTGGCATATAGTAATAGCAAGAACTGCGTGTTGAATGTGTGAATGAGCATCTGGGGAAGGACTGTAGTGACTGCCACCCACGCCCCGAATAACTATTCACCTCCATTGTGCTGAGTTTCTCAACATCGGTATCATGTTTATAAAGAGTGATTACTGAACAGAATATAGAAAATTTCTGTAAAGAAAGACAAGTTTTTGGGCCCTCCCTGGTGGCGCAGCGGGTTAAAGCACTGCACTAAGAAGCTGAAACCACTTCTGCATGAGTTCAATTCCCACCTGCCCCGGAGGTGACCACATGGCGCGGCAGACCTCTCCTGACCCGCCCGCTGCTCCCCTCAGCAGTGTACTTTGTCAGTCTGCCTGTTCTGCTCCTCACTCTGTCTCTGGTGAAGTCTTTCGCCACCCCTGAGTCTCTGGCCTGTACCCCGGTTCTATATGCACAAATAAATAAAAATAAATCTTTAAAAAAAAAAAAAGAAAGACAAGTAAGTTTGTCTTTAAAGTTCTTTGGAATATATTGGCTTTCCTATAGGCACATCAATGAATAGCGTATGGACCTCAAGAATAAATTTAGTGATATTTATGAAAATGTTCTTTCCTGTGAAAGGTTTAGTGATCCAGACAGGTCTTTATTATACAGTCTGGATTTTACCCAGACAAGTTGCAATCTTGGAAGACCTGTTTTTGTGGTACCTAATGCACTGTTACCATTCGAGGAATGTTTTCTCACTTGAATGTTAATCTGGGAGAAAAATACCACACAAGGTAAATCACTTAATGTTTTGCAAAGTCCCGCCTCAGAGTTTCTGAACCTTAGTCGTTTTGGATGATCTTTATTCTCCTCCAGCAGAGTGGAAAACAAGTTTTGTTCGTGGTTTCCATGTCAGGGCTGATGTGTTGTGACTCAAGGGTGTTATGAATGCAGGCTAACTGCTGGCAGACCCTCCCTTCAGAGCAGTGGGGAGTTTGGAAATGTTGGTAGGTCATTACGGTCACAGTGAGGTTTGTTACAGTGTGGCTGGAGGCCAAGCTCCGATTTTTCCATGTGGCGCCCTCGGTGCCACCAACTCTGTGCAGATTGTCTACTGCTTTAGAAATGTGTGCACTTGCCTATTATAGTTGTGTTTATAGGATACTACTCTTAGGAAGGCTGAGTTGTTTAGGGTTTAACAACCGATTTATCGGAGTCACTACAGTAATGACGCTTTAGATTTAGGCCTTGTGGCTGGGCTCACTGTATTCTGTGTGTTTGTCAGGAGCACAGCTATGCTTCCTTATTTCTGTCTGGTTCACAGTTCTCTTCACTGCCACCTGTGCGCGTGGTCTTCGCGGTGACCATGGAGGGCAGCGCTCGCAAAGTCATCACCGTGCGTTCCGCCCTCATCGTGAAGAACAGGCTCGAGACGCCAATGGAACTGAGGCTGGACAGCCCATCAGCCCCAGACAGTAGGTTTGCCTCTCCCAGCAACCTTTGCTTCCGAGTGAGTCTGCTCTGGGCTCGGGACATGTGTGGTCCGAGACGCTCACACTTCTTTCTGTGGCAGAGCCTGTGGTGCTTCCCGCCGTCATGCCCGGCGACTCCTTCGCTGTGCCTTTACACCTCACATCGTGGCGGCTCCAGGCCCGGCCCAAAGGGTTGGGCGTGTTTTTCTGCAAGGCTCCTATTCACTGGACCAACGTAGTGAAGACTACAGAGGTCAGTAGCAGCAAAAGGGAGTGCCACTCCATGGACACGGAGAAGAGCCGCTTCTTCAGGTACGCCCCGGCACTGGGGCTTGGCATTATTTCCCCTTCATCCTTCCCCTGAGCGCCCTTGGTGATTCGCTGGTGCTCACTCAAGTGCTGAGGTTTTCTCGATCCTTACTTTGAGTTCGAGTTCATGCAGAGTCAAGGGCGAGCCCTGGGTGGGTTAAGGGCATTTGGGACTTCTCATCTATTATCTGTGGGGAAACAAAAACAGCACTCACACATAAAGATCAGGAATTTGGGTGTCTTTGCCAGCACAAAGAGAGGATAGTAGGAGAGAAGGAAACAGTAACACTTCCCTTCCCTTTTCCAAATTGGGAAGAAAAATCCTGGTGTTGGGATTTGTTTAGTTGAGAGATTTCAGAATTATGATGAAGTTCATGTACTGCCTACTGACAGTTCTTGAGGACTTGAACAAAATTAACTGTTTAGACTCCTATTTTCCCCTTCTGAAGAATATAAGTGTCATGTTACTAAATTTGATGGTAAAAATTACTGGGTTGCTGTCATTAGGCTCTTCTGAATTTAGACTTTCAACTTTTTTAAATTAGAGACTATTTTCCTATTTAATGTACAGTGAAGGTGGGCATTGATTCAGTTTAAATTTATAGAGTAGGTTCAAAACTAGTACTCCAGTATGTCCTTTACCTATATTTGCTCAGTTAACAACAGAATAAAGGGAGAAAAGATAAATATACAGCCAGAGATGGTGATTTTACCCTTCAGTAACTTATAAAGGAAACAAAAATAATAAACATATAAAGAGGTTTGAGGTGTGACATTTATTCAACACTTTAATCAACAACTCCAGACCTCACATTCAAGGATCAACAAGAGACCATCTACTAGGCTGTGAACAAAGGTCAAAAAGAAAAAGTACGGGAACCGTGCACAGTATATTCTGTAATCGTGTATGTCACTGTCGAAACTCATGAAACATGAGTTTGTACACATTTCTCCTATGGACGTAATTAAAAAGTAATGAATGTGTTTGGATTGAAAATTGCAAGTATCTTCCTAAGCTCTTGAACCTTTTTTAATGTTATGCTTTCTCATGCTTGGCTAAGGAGGAAAAATATCAAATTCTTCATTCTGGCTGATGGTTTTTGCATCATTTTGTCTTCATAGGTTTTGTGTGGCCATAAAGAAAGAGAATTATCCAGATTACATGCCCTCAAACATATTTTCTGACAGTGCAAAACAGATTTTCAGACAGCCCGGGCATACCATATATCTCTTGCCAACAGTGGTAATCTGCAACTTGCTACCTTGTGAACTTGATTTTTATGTTAAAGGAATGCCAATCAATGGGACACTGAAACCCGGCAGAGAGGTGGCTCTCCACACAGCTGATACCTCCCAGAACATTGAACTGGGTAAGGCTTGGGCAAATGGCCATTTGTGATAATTCTGTGAAATTGTCAGTGAGCCTTTGAGATCATTTGGTAAACATTTAGGAGAAGTAGTCGTGCTTATACAATCTCAGTAAACAGCTCAAAGGATTTTTGTAGTTTTTTAAAAAAATCTAACCTTCAACAGTAGAGAATTATAATAAAGAAATAATTGAACAAACCCAAAAGCTTTACAAAGGGCACCTCGGCACGGCCTTGACCTTGCTTTTCTCCCTCGCCATGTGACTGTAGAATAGGCACCTTTCAAATCTTGACTCCTCAGGGCTCTTAAGTGAGCAAAACTTTGTCTCCTTTCTCTTTACGAGGAAAAAGCACTTGCTCAGCAGGAGCTGTGTGCACCCGAGCGTTGCGTCCAACCCGTCCGTCACACAGGGTGCGTGTCACCCTGCAGCACTAGTTACGTCTCACATTCTACTGGTGAGGAAGTTAGGGAAATAATGTTTAAAGCATCGAGTACTTTTCAGTTGAAGAGATGAATACGGGAAGGAGAGAATCATTATCCTATGTTCAGCACTTAGAGCAAAGACATGCTGCTGGAGGATAGGGTAAGAGGTTTCTGTACAGCTTTGGAGACATATTGAGATGATAATGACTTACTTGTTTATCTTTTCACAGCTTTGTAAGTGATTCCTCTTAATTCTTTAGTTTGATCTTCACAGCAGTGTATGTTATAGGCAGAGACAGCTGATGTGCCCATTTTACAGAGAAGGAGCCTGAAATTCAATGGTTTGAGCAATGTGTCCTGTCAGAATAAACTGACGTGTCAGTGGGCATACAAATCCATGAATTCATTTGAAAAAAGAAAAATGCCCTCCGATACTGATTGTCCATTCAGAGGAGAAAGAAGAGAGGTCTTTGCTTCTTACATTAAGACATTTTCAAGAGATGGTTATTAAGCCCCTGTATGGAATGGGAATGTCCTCTCACCCCTCCACCAGCCTGCATGCCTGGCTCTCCTTGTCTTCATGCGTATGTGGATCATCACTTTCAGGGACAGTCCTGCAGTTGGGGTGTTGTTAACCCCCTTTGGCAGATGAGACACAGTGAGGTTCAGCAGCTTTCCCCACATTATGCAGCTGGTAAGGCCAGACGAAAATTCGGAGCCAGGCAGTCTGGCTGCCGGAAGCTGCTGTTCCAGTGCCCCAGCCTGGGGCCTGCTAGATAGTATGTTGTGAATAGTCATGGCTGCTGTTGGCAACTTGTGGGCATTCTCATCCTCCTAATGATCATACAGTTCAGATGCCCTAGGGTGACTTCATGCCATCTGGTTTGCTTCATACTTACCTCACCCCAGCTAGAGGAAAAGGGTCATTCTAATGAAGTTTTTGTTAGCTTGATATATAGTTACTGATTTTTTCCAAAAGGAATCCAGTTTAGTTTGGCTGTAGACTACTTTGACAAACTGAAGTGAGAACCCAGAAAAGCAGTGACTTATATTTTCTTTAGGCGTATCTCTGGAGAATTTCCCACTCTGTAAGGAATTGCTCATTCCACCTGGAACCCAGAACTACATGGTTCGAATGCGACTCTATGACATCAACCGGCGCCAGCTGAATCTCACCATCCGGATTGTGTGCCGAGCAGAAGGCTCCTTAAAGATCTTCATTTCTGCTCCATATTGGCTGATTAACAAAACAGGTGTGTACAGAGGCTTCTGGAGTGGGTCTTTGGCTCTGGTCATGGGAATTCGATTTATTTGCTCAGCTAACTAAATGGGGCCAATGCAAATAGATTACTTCAGTAGTCTAAGCTGCTGAAATGTTCCTGCTTCCATCGTAAGTGCTTAATCATATCAGAACTATCCTTTTAGAGAATGAAATAAATCCACTAAATAAATTGAATTTTTACTCTTTTCCCTCCTGATGGTTTTATATATATATATACTTTTACTATTTGCACCTTGGGTAGAGTTGGTGGAATTGTTGTGCATTTCCCCCTCTTTCCTGAAGGATTACCGCTGATCTTCAGGCAGGACAATGCAAAGACAGACGCGGCAGGCCAGTTTGAGGAACATGAGCTGGCCCGGAGCCTGAGTCCTCTCTTATTCTGCTATGCTGACAAAGAGCAGCCAAACCTGTGAGTAGAGTTATTTATGGGAAGGGGAAATAGGCTCCTAGGGAAGGGGAAAATTAGCAAAGGCTATAGTATGTCTGTGTCCGTAGAAACGCACTGTAGATAACAGCTCCGCCTTGGCAAGGGAGTAAGACCATGACCTAATGGGATTTTTTCGGATCTAATTTCTGTGTGATTTGATATTGAAAATAAACCACTTGGTTGCTTTATAATGAAAGCTAGTTTTATTTTACACGTACTGAAGTGATTCTATTCATAACTCCGCCAGTGAAGGGAAGCCTACAGGTCCCCTTCTTGCTTCTGCATTTTTTCTCCTCCCAGCACAGCACAACAGCTGGCACACAGGGGAGCTGGTGAAGCTTTGGTGAACCCCTACCCATTAATCCAACCCGAGTCCTTTTCTGCAAGGTTTTGAAATCTATCTCTTTTTATCCTGGATATAAAATGTGCCATTTCCAGATCTCCAACACTCTCATTACACATTTAAGAAAAGGGAAAAGCAAGAATTGTCCAGATTAAATGACGTGTCCTTTTAATGTGTGGTAGGAGCTCTAAATCATTTGTGTTCTTGGTTTTGACATTTTGCTTTTTTTAGATTCTGCTTCTGATTTATAGCCCTAATCCAAAGACAGATGGGGGTATCTGAGACTTAAAATAGCGCACCCCGTTAGTTGTAGAAGCACACTACAAGCTCATTGCAGCCTGTGGGGGCAGTGCACTGCCAGTGGAGAGGTGTCTTCCAGGGGCACCAGAGTGGAGATGGGGCTGGCGATGGGGGCTCACACCGGTAGGCAGCGGTCAGCCCCATTAAAGACCGCTCAGCCCCATTTCATTCTTTTCCTAAAAGATTTTTGTCAATTTTAGATCTGGGACTTGACATTTTAATCTAGAATGTTGTTTTGTTCAGGCCAGTCAGTGGTTCCCAAAACATTCCCACAGAGACCATTTCAGTTCTCCAACATCCCAATGGGTTAGGCAGAACAGACAATATCATTTTATTTTGAGGTGGGAGGGGGTGCTAGAGGGAGCTCCAGTCTCGGCTCACATTGCCTACTCGTAGGAGAGCTGGGCTCCAGGTCCATGGATTGTGTTTCCAGAGCCTGTGACTAGACGCAGGTCACCCAGACAGTGCCCTGCCGTGTGACAGCATCGGGCCTCAGAGGAACTGCATCCTCCACACATCCTTCCTGTGCTTTTGTTCACGGACTCTTGAAATCCCAAGTCCGAACATTATCGGTTTGCCCTGAATCCTTGTTTTTGAGAGGAATCCTTGTTTTTGTAATGGCCATTGCTGCATTTTCCTCAGAATCACCACATTTTCCCCTGAGGTGTGACACTGTGGATGTCCATACATTTCATGCCTGTGTATGTGGCTGCCTCTAAGATTTTTGCCCACTGATTAATCGCCGTTTAGGCATCAAACAGTGAGGAAGAGCCTGTGTCACAGGCGTGATTTGGGCACAGCTACAGCAGTGTTCCCTGAGCAGTCAGGCAGACACTGAGGGATCAATACCTACATCTTTGCTTCTCTGCCCCACAGCTGCACGATGAGAATCGGAAGGGGGATTCATCCTGAAGGCATGCCGGGCTGGTGTCAGGGCTTCTCGCTGGATGGTGGGAGCGGCGTCCGAGCTCTGAAAGTCATCCAGCAAGGAAACCGCCCCGGGCTGATCTATAACATTGGTGGGTTATGTTTGGGCAGTAGGAAAACCAGAACCATGGGCCAGTGAGTTCAGTCTTGGAGGAAGTAGTTGGCCGTATGTTTTGGCCCCACTCCAAATGCTGATTTTCTTGTTTGGCTTTGGGTCAGATACCTCCTCTCTGAATGCTGGACCCAGATCAGCATAGATCTCATCTCCTAGGGGCCTGCTGAGCCCCTGAACACTGCCCTTTTGAGGCCTGGGGCTCTGTTTAAATTCCAGACTCACCTGTGTCAGGAAAGTATCAGTTTGGCTTGAATCCTTGTTTTTCATGAGAATAATAGGAACACTTAGAATGCTTTTCATCCTCCAGGCATTTCCCACGCTCTCATTAAAACCTGCAAGCCCTTGAGGGTAAGAAGCTTTGTTCTTGAAACTGAAGCAGAGAGGTTAAGTGACTTGCCCAGATGCAAAGGGGAACTCTGGGTCAGAAGCAGGATGAGGACTGGGATGTACACATTGAATTGAGGCAGAGAATTTGATCCAGCTAAATGGTAACTGTAATAATTAAAAGCTCCCAAATTAGCTTAGTTTATGAAGTTAGGGGGCAGGAAACTAGTGGGGAGGATATTGTGTCTGTATTCCTTACAGCCACTGGAAACACTAAACATTTTCTGAAGGGTTAAGATAAAGGTGATCAAATATGCCTCAGGGTCAGTGCTGCACCCTTCCTTCCACGGGTGCTTCCAGGGCTCTCCAGCTCTAAGAGCACTGGAGCATGGTCTGGAGCTGTGCTGCTGATTGAGCTTTCTGTACTGATGGAGATGTTGTTTTGTGCTGTCCAGAATGGTAACACCAGCCAGTAGCTGCAAATACTTCAGAGTACAACAGTAAGGAACGTGGTAGATGTGACTGAGAAATTGAATTTTTCATCATATTTATTTTAATGAATTTGAGTAGACACCCTAACCGTTGGCTAATGTTTTGGACTGTTCAGATATTAAGACTCAGGTTATAGAAGGAAAAGCTGAAGTGGGCTGTTTATTATTCATTTAGCTATATTGTCCCTGAAGTGCATGGAGAGTCAGGGAGACACTGAACAGTTTCTAGAGGCTTTATTAATTTAGTTTCCTATTAATGTTTTTGAAAAAGGACCTTATATTCATTCTTCCTGGACATGGAAGCTGTTTCCTGTAATGTTGACACTGAGATTTTTATTTTGATCCTTCAGCTAAGGATCAGTTTTCTTTTTCTCTTTTACCTTTGTTTGCTCCACCCTGTGAAGAGGCAAAGGCTGCTTCACGCTGAGGTTGGCTTTCTGCCTGGATATCAGATATCTTGTCCTTGATGGGCATTTCCAAAGAAAGCTACCCACAGGTCCTGTGGACATTGTAGTTGGGACAGATTAAGGGGGAAGTTGTTCTGTGCCTTTTACAGCATTTAGCACTAAGGAACCACGAGATTCTTACAGGACAGTTGAGCTGGCCAGTCAGAACTATGTAGTGTAGTAAGTGACACATAAATTTATTTGCTAGAGGCATCCAGGAAGATGTCCTACATATGTTTCTAGGGACCAGACTGTGATTTGAATGTTGGTGTTAAACTAAAGAAATGTATAGAGAGGGTGAACTGAGACAGAATGCTGAGGATCAGGAAGTCTTGGCTCTGTTATTAAAGGAATTTGTAGTCTCTGTTAAATACTTTTGAAGACTTGGATTTATAACTTGCTCCCTATCAGGAAAGTTTAAAGCACAGTCTGAAACTGAGAAGCCAAGAAGAGGGCATACTAGCTGACTTTACATGTATCACTAAAGTGGTTTGAACATTTCGATCTAATCTGCTGTTGATACAGTAGAGGTTTGCTAAAGCAACCCACAATGAAAAGGGAAACAAGAAAGCTGGATTTTTCCAGAAGATGAGGCTTGGTGTAGTAGCCTCTTTTTATGATGTTAAATCAAACACGTCTTTTGTGGACTGGCTTGTAAATAAAGTTTGGACCAGGCAGCTAACGCTAATCGTCCTTTCTGACAACGAACACTGCGCTGTGTGTCACAGAAGGAAAGCAATGGTCTAGCCCCTCCCAGTGTGACCACCTCCAAGCTAGGCGTTTCAGAGATTATAGTGTCTGTGACTTGTTCAGTCTTTCAGTCTTGTATTAAAGGAACACCAGATTTTTCAAGCCAATACAAGTGAACTACGGAGATCACAGATGGGTGTGTTTATTGTCGGAACATCCCGACATCTGGTGTAAGATGCTAAGGTCTCTCTTTTTTATGCTTCTCTGGACCACTTGTTGCTCCTAAGTAGAGCCTTTGTTTCTGACCCACTACCCGGGGAGGAAGGCCTCCAGGGCTGGCCGCCTGGGCTTGAATCTCAAACTACCTGCTGACTCTGTGACCCTACATGTCCCCCATCTGTGAAGAAAACGCATCAGATTGTCCTGAGAATCAAGTCTAGAGCCGCTGGCAGAGGACATAACACATATTAAGAGCTCAACAAATATTTTTATTATTTCTATCTAACCAGAGCTCAGTCCAGTACATTGAATTTAGTCACTATATTTATTGTCTGAGTCAATGAATAATTCATTCCACTGAATTTTAAATTTTTAAAAATTATCAGAGTTTTTAAGATAACTCAGTGCTATTACATTTTTCACTCTTTTGAGACCTGGTATTTTGGGACTTCTGATTATGACTTTCTTTCCTTGTTTTGTTTGTCCCATCCCACTAGTACACTGCATGTTCTGAAAACCTTTGTGAATGAATACATTCTGCAATAGTTAGATTAGGTTTGAGTTGGCTTCTTAGCCAGTGGGCTAACAGAAAACTAGGGAAGAGTGTTGAGTTCAGGGCAGTACAGAATCCTGTTCTGTGATCTGGAATTTCTACTGTGCCCTGCTTAAAGGGGCAAGTTCTCCCAAGGAGAACTTGATGTAAGCAGAAATGTACCACATACACAGCCTTAGCAGGCACTTCATAAATGGAAACCAAGGTATGTGTGACTGAACATCTGTGTATTTTGGCTGCAGTTGTAATTTTTATAGTGAAGGAGAAAAGACATTTTATACAGAAATTAGGAGTTACGGGAATATTGATGTTGCTACTGACGTCAATTTTGGTTGATTTTCATTAACAAGGACTCTGAGGATCACTGGGGTGGGCATAGAAGAGCAGGCCATTTACAGAACAGTAAGGACTAAACACTGATGCTTTGTATGTGGATGTTTGCATTCCATCCCTGGGTAATACTGTCATTTCCTCCGAGAAAATAATGCAATTGTGATGTTAGTTTTACATCATGGACTTACTGTCTTCTAATCAATTCATAGAAGATGGTTCTTCTTATCTGCAGGTATTGATGTCAAGAAAGGCCGAGGTCGATACATTGACACCTGTATGGTCATCTTTGCCCCCCGTTACCTATTAGATAATAAATCATCTCACAAGCTTGCATTTGCACAGAGGGAGTTTGCCAGGGGCCAGGTAAGAGTCTGTTTTAAAGAATGACTAGTGGTTGTTTAATAGTACATTGTGAGTTTGCATGTCATGGTGTTTCCCCTCCCATGTATGTTCGACGACGTGAGTAGCCATTCCATGCCCCTAGTGCCCTAGTCGAGGGCAAAGCTCGGAGTAGGGTCTCAGTGACAACCTCGATTGTCTTGTTGACCAAAGCCAGGGATCCTGTGTGTTTTAGGGAACGGCCAATCCTGAAGGTTACATCTCCACCCTCCCTGGCTCCAGTGTGGTGTTTCATTGGCCTCGGAATGACTACGATCAACTGTTATGCGTCAGGTTGATGGACATTCCCAATTGCATTTGGTCTGGAGGCTTTGAAGTTAACAAGAACAATTCCTTCCATATCAACATGAGGTAAGTTCAGAGACTACATTTAAACATTAAGTAGCCTCGTTGGAGGTGGAGTAGTATGACTAGTAAGCTATAAATACCACAGAAGCTTAAAATATTTATAGATTATATAACAATAAAGAGTCTCTGTGAAATGGGCACATTCATTTCTCACTCAGAGGTCTTAGAACTTGGGAAGTGTGAGTGGACGTTTGATGTACGTGTTCAAAACATTGTCCACAGTGTGGACCACTGCGTAGTTGCCATGGTCTGAAGTTACCAGTTTAGGGGGAGCTCTGAGTTTGCGATGGTCTGAACTGAACATTGGCATTTACGGATAACACTGACTGTAGATGTTGTTGTCTGTGCTGACATACTTGTGCTGATTCTACTGTCCTTCGATGCTATGGCAGGAAATCATGTGGCTTTCTGTGTTCACCCCAGTGACTCGCAGGCTTTTGTTAGGAAAACACGGCCAAGTTGAACTTCAGCTAGTGTAGGACGACTTCACTTGCTGGTTTCACCAAATGTTCATTTTTAATTTTTTTTATGTTGTGGTGCAATGCCCATAGTATATAAAAAGAGGTCATATCCAACTTTAAGTTCACTGGAGCTAAGGAAATTTACATTGTGCAGTCAGTCTCCAGAGCCTCTTCATCTTGCAAAACTGAAATTCTCTGCCCATGAAACACCCACGCCCCTCCCCCCACTCCTGGCAACCACTCTGATAATGACTCTTCTGGGTACCTCAGATAAGAGGAATCAGACAGCGTCAGACTTTTGGGGGTTGACTTTCACCTAGCTTACACTCTTAGGGTCCATCCATGTTATTACATGTCAGCACTTGCTTCCTTTGGGGAGCTGAATTGTGTTCCATTGTTCTTGTTGACCACAGTTTTTCTACCCTCTCATCCATCAAGGATACTTGGGCGTGTATACCCTTTGGCTTTTGTGAACAGTGCTGCTGTTTTGAACGTGGGTGCATAGATGTCTGTATCCCTGATTCAGTTCTTTTGGGTGTGTGATCAGTAGAGTCATCATCTCCTTTGGTCATTCAGTTTTTAATTGTTTGAGTAGCTGCCGTGCTGTTTTCCACAGCAGCCATATCCTGTTATATTTCCACTGACAATGCACAATCGTTGCAATTTCTACATCCTTTCCTGTTTGCAACCACTGTAATGGGTGGGAGGTGGCGTCTCCTTGTGGCTTCATTCGTGTTTCCCTAATGGCTAGTAATTGCATGTGCTCTGGACCGTCTGCACATCTCCTTAGAGAAATGTCTGTTCAAGTCCTTTGCCCATTTTTGTATTGTGTTGTTTTCTGTTAAGTTGTAGGAGTCCTACATCTTTCTGGTTATTAACCTCTTGTCAGATGTCTGATTTGTACTGTTCTCACCCATTTCATAGGTTGTCTTTTCATTATATTGATTTTGTTCTGTGATAAGTAGAAATTTTAAAATGTGGCGTAGTTCTGCTTATTTGAATTCACTATCCGGTGTTCTCCCTTCCCTTCCCTTATCTTACAGTGAGAGCCCTGGTATCAATTCCAGCCATAGGTTAGTTTGAATCATATAAAATTGCCTTTCTAGGTCAAGGTAGGCTAATAGCAGCAATTTCATGTAGTGTGACCCATCCTCATTCCTTTGCTGCACTGACACTCTTACCCCAAGGGGATCCACAAGTAAAACGTACAGATCTTGGTGTGCAGCTAGTTTGCTGTTCCCACGTGGCTTGAGTCAGTCCTTCAGTACTGCACGGCTATGCCATCCGTGCCTGCATTTTCGGTGGGCTCAGAGCGCGTGCAGTGTTGCTGGCGGTGGTCTGGGCAACATGGGGGCTGTGAGAACAAAGCGTGCGGCAGCCGGCTTCCACCTTTTTTTTTTTTTTTAAGTTTTATTTACTTATGCATACAAAAACTAGGGTACACGTCAGAGATTGGGGGGCGGCTTGAGAGGATTCCCCAGAGACAGAGTGGGGAGCAGAACAGGCAGATGGACTGAAACACACTGCTGAGGGGAGCCGCAGGGAGACAGGAGAGGGCTGCTGCGCCCTGGGGGTCACTCCCCGGCCAGGGATCAAGCTCTTGCTGCAGTGGCTGCAGACAGCTTCATTGTGCTGCGCTTTAACCTGTTGTGCCACCAGGGAGGGCCCTGTTTCCACCTTTTCATGTGGCCTTTTTTCATTCCTTTTCTTGCAGAGACACCCTGGGAAAATGCTTCTTCCTACGTGTGGAAATTACTCTTCGAGGAGCTACCTACAGGATCTCATTTAGTGACACAGATCAGCTACCCCCTCCTTTCCGAATTGACAACTTTTCTAAGGTATCAAGTGGAGTTGGAAGCCAGCGTGTCAGCTTCATATGCCTAAAGACTAAAGACAGTGGGGAAATACATTTTTAACTTGGTTTAAAAGAAGCTACACAGGGACTTCTCTCACTGAACTGTCTTAGAAATTCTTGCCATTAGGAGGTGGTTTCTGCGGGTTGTTTTGGTTGCTGGGCACCCCTGTTCAGGCGGAGTGACTTCAGCCCCAAGAAGATACTTGAACTTGATTCAGCTGACATAGTGCCTTCTGCAGGCATTCCATAGAGAGGGGAATCAGATTGTCCAGTAGCGGGGGAATGAACAGTCCCAGGGTTATTGGTTACAGTGAGCAGTGTCATAACCTCCCATGTCAAGCCCCAAAAGAAATCATTACTTTTTCTTTTAAATCATATGTTTGAATGACAACATGTGACATGCCACTTTCTGCAGCTAAATTACACAATTCCTATTCCTTTCTGTCTGCAAAGTGCACCATGGGGAGGATGGTGTTGGGGGTGGGAGGGAAGAAAAGGTGCCACTTCGAAGACAGAATGGCTCTCCTAGATACACAGGCTGGCTTTTGAAAGCCATTTCCCCGATAGGCCGTAGCCCAGTCCTTCCATTGGAGAGTTTTCTGCAACTTGAAAGATGATTTTTAAGGCATTTGAAGGGGTGAGATGATGAACCTCACTTGCTATGTCTTGTATATGAGTCATTTGGGAAGACTCTGCAAGTTAAATCAAGGAGGCATGGAATTTCTTTCTAGATTTCCACCACCGCTTTGTCCTCTCTGCCTCTACTGTAGGTCCCGGTTGTCTTCACTCAGCATGGTGTGGCTGAGCCCCGGCTTCGAACTGAGGTGAAGCCCATGATGTCACTGGATTATGCCTGGGATGAACCCACCCTGCCACCTTTCATCACCCTGACTGTTAAAGGGGCAGGCTCCTCTGAGATCAGCTGCAACATGAATGATTTCCAGGACAACCGGCAGCTTTACTATGAAAATTTCATTTACATTGCTGCTACATACACATTCTCAGGGTAATGCTGAGTGAAATTACTGTTCTTGTAAAACAGAAGGTTCTAATTACTACTAGCTGGTTTTAAATTTTTAGCAGTTCGCAGGAGGTCAAGCGATAAAGAAAGATTCCTTCTACTCATTACCAGTCCTAGACTCAGATTCTGTTTTGAGAGGGCTTTACTCTAAACCCTTGACTTGTATAGCTAGATTAAAATTTATCCTAAGGGGTAAGACTCTTCTCTTTTCAAACATCTCCCTCAATAATTCATTCGAGTGTTTAACAACTACTAGAAAGCCTTTTTCTTATACCTTAAATTCCTCTTTTTCTGTGGTGTTTTCTAATTTTTTCATGTTTATTTAAAATTTCTTATAACTTCTAGGTTTGTTTTGCACTTCTTTTGAAACTGACTTTCAAATCATCTCCTCCTTAGAGATTACTGATGAAGCAGCTTTGTAAGGGATCTTAATAATTCCAGTTAATTTACAATTACATCTTCACTCTCACCTGACAAGTTGGGTTTAGAAAACTCAGGTGAAAACAGTGAACCCATTTTGTTCTGCTATGGGACGGGCCCATGGGTTTGCACAGAGGTTCAAAGCACTGGGCTTCCAAATGTCATCCATTAGCTTGTAAATAACAGCTGATCTTTTCTGTGCTGCTGCAGGGCCACTTTTAGAGTTTATCATGAAAACAGGCAAAATAACTAAATCTATAGCATTATGAATATAAATCACCTGATCAATAGGACACTTAAAGTCATTCCTTTGAAAAGTGTTCTGAATAATATTACTTATGGTTTCTTTTGTTTGTGTCGGAGGCGCACAAAATAATCTCCAGCCTGTGTGTTCTCTCTCCTCCACCGAGAGTCCGGATTTCACAGCCGGGCAAGGTAGAGTGAGCGTCCTTCCTTAGAAGAACCATCCTCTTGTCTGCCGCGGGGCTCTTTGTGATGGTGGTGCTGGGATTTCATCTGGTTGTAATTCAACCCGTCACGTTGTTTCTTTTTAAAGATTAAGGCATTTAACAGTGTGACATGCTTAAGGTTTTAGTGCCTCACAAAACCAGTTCTTAATCTAGTTGTTAATCATGTTTTTCTGCTTACGTTCTTCAGTTCAATTCCAGTAGTCAGTAAGCTCTTTAACTCAAGAACCCTAATCGAGGATTATGAGTTTAGTGGGCTGGACAGATATGGGACAGATGAGAGAGAGAGAGAGAGAGAGATTAGATACTGTTTCTTTGCTTTTGGGGGGCAATCTAGTGATGGGAAAGTGGACAAATTTTATTTTGGCCTTGTTGATTCTTAATGTAAATTTGAGGTGAAATTCACCCAACGTGAAACCATTCTGAAGTGAATAGTTCAGTGGTGTTTAGGACATTGCCCCTGTCACGCCGCCACCATCTCTCCCCTACAACAGCTTTATCACCTCAGAAATAGCCCCAAACCTACTAAGTAGTTCATGCCTCATTAACTCCTCTCAGATCCTGGCAGCCCACCAGGCTACGACCCTATGGACTTACCTGTCGGAGCATTTCAATAAGTGGGATCTCACATGCAGGATTCTGGGCATGGCGTCATCTCTACAAGCTCCACCCACATTGGCAGGTGCCCGCGTTTCCTTTCCTCAGTGATAGCCCTCATGTGGGTAGGCTGCCCTCGGTTTATCCACTGGTCTGCTGAGCAGCCCTGTGTCATCTCTGCCACATGGCTGTCGTGAACAGTGCTGCTGTGCCCTCGTGTGCGTTTCAAGCATTCGTTGTGGGCTCCTGTGTCTGTAGCACGAGTGGAATGACTAGGTCCTGCGGTTAGCACTGTTTAATGTTTGCGGGATCACGCGACTGTTCTCCACAGCAACTGACCCATTTCTTGCTACCACCAGCAACGTGCAAGGGTTCCAACTTTTCCGCGTCCTCAGCAACACGCTCTTTTCCTTTTCTTGCACGTGTGGGCATCCTGGTGGATGCAGAGCGGTATCTCAGTATGACTTTGAGTTGTGCCCCCTTCACAGCCGATGAAGCTGAGAATCTTTTCTTGTGCTCTTAGGATAATTGTATGTTTTCTTTGGAAAAATGTCTATTCAAACCCTTGCCCATTTGTAAATTTTATTTTTTGGCTTTTTTGGGTTGAATTTAAGAATTTTATTGTCGACTGATATGAATGCAAATCTCTTATCAATACATGATTTGCAGGAATCTGTGGATTCCCTTTTACTTTCCTCTGAATTTTTGTCAAAAGCTAATTTACTACTTTGGGGGTGGGGCCTCACCTGTGCTTTTGGTATCATAAAACTAGTTTTTAACTTTGAACTTATCAGGATTTTGATGAGAGAAATTAGTGGAGCCAGGAGGATAAATAAAGCCTCATCCAGCCCCCACCCCATGCACTTTGCAGCAGTATTCCGCCCAGCCTGGGACTCTTGAGCCACAGAGAAACACGGCACTGCTGAATTGGAAGAAGGCGGCTGTGCAACCTTTGTTGTCTTTTCATCCTAAAGGGATTTCTGGTTTCTTGCCAAAACTTAGGGCATGGTGATGCCGATGTCTGCCTGGCGGAGTAAACACTCGGGCCCGGAGAGTATCTGACCTAGCTTTTGTTTTTGTTTTTGTTTTTGTTTTCCCTGTAAAGAGATGCAGTCATCTGTGTCTGAATTTTTAGCCACTAAGTTACCAGAGGAGGGGAAATGTCAGAGCAGGTCTTCTGGCAAAGGCTTCTTTGAACTGGACAGGAAAACATCACCGTCTGGGTCTTTCTGCAATTTGAGTCAGATTTGTTCTTCCTATGAGTGAAAAAAATCTCTTCTTTGTAATAGAGGCTTGAGGCATTTGCAGTTAGGTACTTGAACACCTATGCGGGAAAGTATGTCTGTTTGTGCTCATGAACTCATGTTGTTACCTTGATTCTAGCTTACAGGAGGGGACAGGAAGGCCTGTGGCATCCTCCAAGGCCACTACCTGTGCAGAGCTTGTTCTGGATGTCTCCCCAAAGACACAGAGAGTCATTTTAAAGAAAAAGGTAAGAGAACTTAGAAATTGGGGTTTACAATAAATTCAGCACTTGGGTCTGAATCTTTCCCAAAGAGATTTTGAAGCGTAGGCTTGGGCTGAGTGACTTGGCGCTTGTCCTGGTGTGCCTGTTGTCTCCAGAAATGGGCTCTCAGAATCCTAAGCCCCCTCACCTCTGATGCCCTTCTGGAGAACTTAGTTCTTAAAGTGATTATTTTTTCTAAATTTCAACTTTTCTTCATTACTTACTTGTTCTGTTGTTTCACCACCCTCCAATCTACTTTTCCCTACGTTCAAATGGAAAAATAACCAAACTGCAACACCTCCCCACCCACAGCTTTTACGCCAACTGCAGACAGAGTTGGAAGTCAAAAAGAAAGAATAAAGGACCCTCCCGGGTGGTGCAAGGGGTTAAGTCTCAGCACTATGAAGCTATCAGTGGCCACTGTGGCCTGAGTTTGATTCCCAGCCAGGGAGTGACCCCCAGGGCACAGCAGACCTCTCCTGTGTCCCTGTTGCGCCCTTCAGCAGTGGATTTCTGTCAATTTACCTGTTCTGCTCCCCATTCTGTCTCTGGTGAATCCTCTCACATCCTGCACCGCTGACCTACACTCTAGTTCTTGTGTGCAAAAATAAATAAATCTTTAAAAAAAGAAAGAAGGACCATTTTGACATTCTTTTCCATTCACTTTAGGGAATATTTATGCTTATCATCCTCAAGAGAGTAAAATTTGTCCAAAAATACTACATATGCTAGAAGGACTGGTAGTAGATAGTTTAAACTTAAAGATGTTCTTGAACAGAGTGGTGTGGAAATTCATGTTAAAGAAGACAGGTTGCCAATTAATTAGTGGAAGCACATTTCTTTTAAAAAAAAAAAAATTTATGCATCCAGGCACTGAGGACTGAGGTACAGGTCAAAGGTGCGGGGGGTGAGAGGATTCACCAGAGACAGAGTGGGGAGCAGAACAGACAGATGTACCAAAATACACTGCTGAGGGGAGCAGAGAGGAAACAGGAGAGGTCTGCTGCGCTGGGTGGGTCAGCTCCCTGGCCAGGGATTGAACTCGTGCTGCACTGGCTCCAGATAGCTTCTTAGTGCTGCGTATTAACATGTTGTGCCACCAGGGAGCACCCTGGAAGCACATTCTATGAGGGATGTGCTCCTGAAGATTTTGACAGTGTAAAATCACATGATCCGGAAATAGCCCTGACCGAGGTGTCTGCTTACCACCAACTGTCGTGCCACAGACGGGGATGCTTCTCATCACCTGAAGTGTTGTGCGTGGTGCTTACACAGATTACTTGTGATTCGCTTGACCTTGGACTTCTGTGTCTCTGATTCCACTTTTAAATGGACAGGGCGGAGATTGAAATAATTGCAAATTCTGCATATCAGATGGATGTGAATACGTCTGTTTTTAATTCAGTTTTATTTTTTAAAGGCTTTATTGAAATACAATTCATTACCATACAAATCACCCCTTTAAAGTACACAACTCGGTGGTTGTCAGTGTATCCACTTGTATGCATGGCCCGCGGCACTCTGCCAGCACCTCAGGAAGAGACTCTTCTGTGCCATCACCCCCACCTCTCGCTCCCCTGCCCCAGCAGTCACCAACCTGCCCTCCATTGTACAGACTTCCCGATCCTGGACTTTCATATGAATGATCTTTTCTGACTGGCTTCTTTCACTTGGTCTAACATTTTTCGCGTTCACGTATCTTTCCATCTGTCAGAACTGCTGTGTTTGTTTTTATTTCACAACGGTTCAAAGACACATGATTCCAGTTTGCTTAAAGTGTTAGCGCAGTCCTTAATGTAAGCCTGTACTTACGTGAGGTGCGTTTTAGGAACAAGATTTGAGATTCTTGAAAGAATCTTGAAAGAATCTTAAAAGTAAAAAGGTATCTATACATATAATTTTTATACCTTAAGACAGTGTTTTTGCATTTGTTTCACTTGCTGAGGGTGAAACTAAGAAATGGGAGGACAAATGACAAATGAGTTACATTGACTCCTCGGACAGACTTGCATGAATCGCCATCGTGCCATCGAGAAATGAACTCAAGATTGTTAGTTGGAAACCAAGCGCAGAAAGCTTGACATCTTGTGTCTTTGTTTGGTTTTGGGTTTTTACTTTTTACTTTCAAACAATCTCAAATTCACAGAAAAGTTGGCAGAAATTCCAAGGAAGTGTTGCTGTGATTGACTTGTTACTGGTAACGTTAACTTTTAGCACTTGATTGAGGTGTTGTTTGCCAACTCCCATGTGAGGTTTCTTTTTCTCTTGGATTCAATAAATACTGTGAAGCGGTACTATGAAGCCATGTACATACCCCACTCACCGCACTTTCCGAGTACGTGTTTACGTACGTGTGTGTCTGTGTTAGCATCGGCCCTTGTCACACAGCTCTGCAGACCGGTGACTTAAGCAACAAGAATGTGTTTCTCACGCTCTGGAGGCTGTTACGTCTCAGATTAGCTGGCTGGCCAGCTCAGTCCCCTGGTGAGGGCCGTCTTCCGACTAGTTGACTTCTGCCTTCTCCCTGTGTCCCCTGCTGGGCATGGAGAAGGCACATTCTCTTCTAAGAGACCCCACTCTTGTGACCTCGCTTAACCCAATTACTGCCCAGCAGCCCCATTTCCAGATGCCGTCACAATCGCCAGAAGACCCGCCCTGGAAGTAAGAATCCATAGAAGGGCTGTGCAGTCCCTGACCCACTGTGTCGCATGGCGTGTCTGTGTATCGGCATTTATTTTGATGCTCAGCTCTCATTTTCAGCCAGTGGGAGCGCCTTTCACCTTCTAACACCTCTCGACATGTGACCCTCATTCCTGAGCACTTCCTTTCTTACGGGACTCACCTGTACTTTCCCTGCAGGGTTCATGGGATTTGCTGCTGCTTCAAGGAATTAGAGCCCTTAGCCACGCCCACCAGGTGCTCTCGCTGCTGTTGTGGGAGCGCTGTTTCCAGGACCTCCGAGAACAGAACTAGGATTTTACAGATGCGGCTCTCACACCCACACGTGTGCATTACACATACTTAATCAATACATATCCCGTACATAGCTGTATGTCACATATGTTTCTGTATCTTTCCCTGTACAGTGAAAAGCAGTTCACACCAATATTTCCAATTCCAGCTCAGCCTCACAAAGTTCATTCAGGTTTTCTCCTTTGGACAGCACTGTGGATGCATTTACTGAATGATCTGCTGTCCTGCCGTGTATGGACCCGTGACTTCTAATGTGGGCATCAGGGAGCATGTGTGGACTGCAGATGGAGGGCACAGCTCTATTTCCATCCTTGCACAGACCTAGGAGATAGAGGCACAGTGTAGAGAGTGTTGTGTCTTTTTAGGTTGATTTCTGGTCTTACCATTTACTTATAGTTGACATCAGGTATGTCACATTGCTCAGGAGTCTCATTTTCCTGCTGGTCTCCCAGGTTTGTGGGAAAGATCAGCTGAGATAATGTACAAAGACAGTCTCACATACAGAGACATAGTCACAGGAACGTGGCAAACACAGATGGGTACGCATTGCTGCATACCTGGTCATAAGGACCCTAAGGAGGAGCTTAATTTCCCCCTTTGACAGAGGCAGAAACTCAGGTACAGAGAGATTTAGACCTTGTTCAAGGCCACCAAGGCGGTCCGTGGTACTGGGCTTCAAATCTTGTATCTGACTGTGGCAGTCAGGCTGCTCAGCCAGTTTCTACTCAGGCAGTTCATGTACCAGCTTCTCTCCATTGACATGGCATGTGGATAAGCTCATGGTGCCCAGAATGCTGTGTGTGGCTTGGGAGGAATCCCATCTGGTGGGCATGGTTACAGTCCGGACAAATTCAGATGGAGCATGCTCTCCCATGTGAGGGTGCTGGGGATGGTTGGGTGTCCTTGAAATGGAATAGGGATTGTGTTAGGAATATATGGCTGAGTGGTTCAACATGTCAGCTCTGGAACCCAGCTCTGGAGATTCTAATCTTTGCTCATGGGAAGTGTCTTCATCTCACTGAGCTTTGATTTCCTCGTATGTAAACGATAATGGTGTATACGGGACTGGATTCTTTCGAAGATTAAATGAGTTGTAAGTTACTACAGGTGAATCCTCCAGTTCAATCACTGGCACATAGTGAATGGTCAGTAGGTATTACCACCACCTCCACCATGTCAGCTTTTGCGACTACTTCTGTGTAATGGACTTCATAGACTTTCACTGACTGCCCTGGAAGTGCAAGTGCTGTTTATGAAGTGTTCCTGGAGAAAGTCTATCTAAAATTAACATGGTCACTTACTTTTATATTTAAGTACAATCATATTTCCTTTATACACATGGGCAAGGAGACTGCTGGTAAACTCTGGTTGTCTGGCAGTTAGGAGGATCATCAGTTAGTCAGATACTGAGGCTGTTGTATATACTTGATCTAACTGGGTCACCCTTTAAGATAAAGCACCCAGGGCTCACCATCTGTGGTAGCAGGGATCACAGCAGTAGCTAGTGGAGGAAGTTAGACTGAACCCCAGCTGACTTGGTTACTCAAAGTAACTTGTTTTAAAATTTACATGATACATGGTTTTTGGTTAATTTGTTCAAGAGTTTATTCTGTTCATCCTAAATATAACTAGAGATTGACAACAATGCAAGTTTGAATTAATCATTTATATATTAAATGTCTTTAGTATAATTTCTACTTGAGAACCTATCTAGCCCATACCCATAGATGAAGCTCTTGATATCCTAATAGAAACTATGGCTACACGTAACATCTCTTTCTGTCTCTGCTCACCAGGAACCAGGGAAGCGCTCTCAGCTCTGGAGAATGACTGGAACAGGCATGCTGGCCCACGAGGGCTCTTCTGTACCCCACAACCCCAGCAAGCCCTCGTCCTCCCGCTCCACCGAGGGTTCTGCCATCTTAGATATAGCTGGCCTTGCCGCAGTAACTGACAACAGGTGATTTTTTTGCGCTGTCTGTATTCAAGTTCGTGCCCTTCACATGCACACTCAGGAAGTCTATACCAAAGAGCGGAGAATTCCAATTAGCAAAGTCAGAATTTGTACTTTTATGTTTGTAGTTTTCTTTAAGGACAGACGCCTGCCGCATTTCCATACGCGCAGTGGACCTTCATTGGTTCTGTGCTTTAAGGAACTGCTCGTGCAGTGTTACAGGTGCTTGGCAGCTGGAGGGGCATGTCGTGAACAGAGACGGTCTCTTCACCAAATTGCCATCCATGCTTTCTCCCTAGAAGTGAGCAGTTTCTTTTCTTTTTAATCTTTTAAGAACTTTGTTAAATATTTCACAAACAGAAGTAAATTATGAAGACAGTAATCACACGTATTTTTAGAACTCCTCAAGTTTAAATCAACTCTTTAACTTTGAGCAAGTTACATGTTAATTTCGCCATAAAATCAATATATTTGTTTTCAGCTAATGCCTTCTTTACTTCCAGAGTGCCTTACTTACATCTTAAAGCCATTGTAAAATAGAAGTATTTGAAAATTTCTCTAGTTGGCATCACTTCTCATCCCACGTGATAAGGCGTCCTGATGTGAGAACCTTACAGTGTGGTTATGCATTTTGAGTCCTTACGTCACTCTGTGTTCCCCTTCTCGTTGCTTTCCATTGTTTTTCTTTTTCCTCACTAAGATATTCCTCACTGCCACTGGACTTAAGCAAACCATCAGCTTTTAAGTATGGAGGGATTTAGAAAGAGGAAGCTGCGATCCTCATGTTCTTTCTGACCTGAAATATTTGACTTGGAGACTGAGGGCATTTTCCTTTTTCCAGGTATGAACCATTGATGCTACGAAAGCCAGACCGCAGGCGAAGCACAACTCAGACGTGGAGTTTCCGAGAAGGGAAACTGACCTGCGGGCTACATGGGCTGGTTGTCCAGGTCAGTGGTTTTTCAAGTCCCCGATACCAGCCTTCTTTGAAGCACAGCCCCAGCGAGGTCGCACGGGTGCGCTGTCAAGGGGAGCAGGTGCAGAGCGGGTGCTCCTGTGGCAGCTGGAGTCCTCTTCTGCTCTGGCTGAAACAACGTGAAGGGTGTTTCGTTGTGCGCTGGATATATTTATCATGGGCTGGTCTTGAAGTGACACATAACAAAGGTGGTAAGCATGGCTGCTTTTCTGTGACGAGGTGCTTTTTCCTGGATTATCCAGATTTTTTTAAATGGCGTAGATTTCCTACGTAAGTTTAAAAAGAATGGGAGAAAGTACGTCAGCTAGCAGCCCATCACTAAGTTAGCTGGATTAGTTCTAGACCAGTCAGGTAGCAGCTGCCACGTTTTCTGTGAAGTATTCTGGGAGCTAGTGGCGAGCATCACAGGTTTTACTTGTTCTTCATTCTTTCAATTTCCACATTTTCAGCAGTGCCCAAATACACATTTAATTGTTGTAGCAAATGTCAGAATGAAGATTGCTGGTCAGATTCCTCTCTCCTCTCTCATCTTGTCTACCAGTGGTAAATTCTCCCAGGTACTGTATAAATAAGCACATATGTGTTTGGAAAATTGCCTGTCATTTTATATTTTCTGCCCTGTGGCTTCGGGCCAGGAATGAAAGCTAGGTCTCAGGTGCGTGCGGGGAAGGACACATAGGAGAACAACGTGCGTGTCAGTGTGTGCAGCTCTGCTTTGGTGCAGGTTTTGTCTGAAAGGTAAATCCTAGAATGTCAGGCCCTGGCTAGAGAATTCTTGGTGTGTCTGTGCCCAGTGGGAACCAGGCTGTGCTGCCGTCGTGGGGGAGGGTTCTTCAGGCCAGTGTGCAGAGCTGTGTGGAGCCTCTGACGGCTATTTTGATGAGATTTATTTTCTTTATCTCTGTTGCCCTGAGCTTTTTTCATCAAAGACAAGCTGCTTACTTACATGAAGCACACATCTGGAGTGGATTTGTGATTTTCAATTAGCAATACAATTCAGACTTCTAGAGGCAAAAGCGGGCTTGTTTTAATTGGTGGGTTCCGCATCTGACCCTAACTTCTGGTTTGTTTCTAAAGCCCATGTAATTCCGATTCTCTTGGAGAATTCTCCCCCTAAAAAGTCCTTCTCTAATGTTTGTTGTTTCTTGAATCTATTTCATCATTTCCCTGCTGTGAATAACAATAACAAACAAGATCCCAGCCATGTAGTCTTTGTTAGGGAAATAAGCTTGTTTCATTCTTATTAATCTGAATAAAGTAATTGAAGGCATTGAAACATTTTCTGACACTCTCCTTATAAGGTGGTGTATGCCCTTTCTTTCTAAACTTAGAGCAGTCATAAAAAGCTTTCTCCATGTTGAAACTTGTCATAGAAACCCAGCTCAAGATCTCCTTTTCATTACTCAGTATTTAAAAATTAGCAAAGGGGCTGTAAACGCTCTAGCCATTGTTTTCTCTAGCCCTGTATCTGCTCTCCCATCAGCTTCATCTGGTTGACTTCCACCTTATGTGGGGTGGCATAGCAAGAAACTCCTCTTCTCCAAAGACCTGGGCCTCCGACAGTGTTTCCAGCTCCCTATTCCTGAGGAACACCATCTTTTGAATATTTGAGTTGACCACCCAGTATGTGTCCGTCTAGGGAGGTTCTCAATCTTTAATTCACTTCTTTCTGGAACACTTACTGGTACTGACACTACTTTACTTTCAGAATGTTTCCAGTTGTTAAGTAAACCCTACTGAGAACACCCAGAGAAACAAGGTCTTGGGGCCTTAAAAAAACAAACAAACAAACAAAACACTGCTTTAATGGCTAGAAGTATTGTAAAGAATGTGCTCTGTTGCTAGACTTATCTATGACTCATAATTCCTTGAATTCATACAGCATAGTTTTCCATCATGCCTAAGTCATCCTACTGTTTTCTACCATATGTAAAGCTGCAAAATAGTAACTGGTATATACATTGTCCATGACCCCCCAAAAGAGGGTCAGACTTGGTCACTTACTTCAGTGATAGGCAAAACTGTCAGCATTATTATCTTTGCCCTTGCTTATGTGTCTTTAATGTTTTTTAGGCCAAAGGAGGGCTCTCTGGTTTGTTTGATGGAGCTGAAGTTGTTCTTGGTCCTGACACTTCTATGGAGCTTTTGGGGCCAGTTCCACCTGAACAGCAATTTACTAACCAAAAAATGAGACCTGGTTCTGGAATTCTGTCCATCAGAGTCATCCCAGATGGACCAACTAGAGCACTCCAGGTGAAAATTTATCATAGAAGTTGATGTGAATCTCAGTGTGTGTTTTTCTCCACAGTGGTTATTCACACAGTAAATATTTAGTGAAATACTTGTGCTGTACCCTGAGGATGTGGAACCCTCGTTTATGAAATGCATACAAGACCTGCCTCACAACGTTGTTAAAGAGTTAAAGTATAAGTAAAATGTAATATAAAAGTGGAAGAATTCAAGAAGATATAATTATTGTTATCGATACTATAAATTGCAGTTAATGTATTCATTTATAAATAATTGGTATACTGATGACATTAAGAATAAGATACTATATGATATCCCTAATCAGGTTAATAAAATGTTTTGTTAAGAAAGTAGGAATGGAGGGTGTTCCAAGGAATGGATGGAAAGGAGGTTGGCTATGTGGGGGTGGCGTGGTCACTTCCTAAGCGAAGTAATATGTAAACTGGACCTAATGGTTAACTAAAAGGAGCTAGCTGACTAGAAAGGGAAGGGGGGGGGAGCCGTGCCCTAAAATGAGAATGTTCATGCAATAGCTATTTATTGAGTACCTATTTAGATCCAGGTATGCTTCTAGGTACTGAGTATGTACTAGTGAACAAAGTTCCCTGCCTTCTTGCAGCATTTATTCTAGGGGGGAGTCAAAAGGTAATCGTAATTTACATCATAAGTAAACGATACAGTATTTGGGAAGTTGATATGTAAAGGCCTGAAGATAAGAAAGAGTGACATACTGACACATAAAATATGGTAAGAAATAAGGTGGAGACATTCTAAAGATTTCATGGTTATTCTGTAGGAACAGGGAGACATGATGGCATAACCAGAAATGTCTTATAAATGGCTCACTCTGGCTGCAAGGTGTAGAGTTAGGATGGAGTAAAACTGGTGATAGAGAAAGAACCTTTAGGAGATGCTTGCAGTGAGCTGGATGGGAGGGCATGGTAACCCAAACTGGCACAGGGAGGACATTGGGGAGAAGTTGAACAGAAATGAGAGCTCACTTGGGAGCAGTCAGATTTAGTGATTGATTGTATGGGAGGAGAGAGGAAGCACTTAGAATTCTTATTTGGGCAGCTTGGAGGCTGATCCTCCACATAACAAGGAGCTGACCACAGGGCGAACTTCTGGGGGAAGAGGAGTTAAGTTTTGGACTTAAGAAGAATATGCAACATACTTGAAGTTGCCCAGACATCAGTGTAAATATGGGTCTGACTCTCACGGGGAGATCTGTGCTCTAGATACGAATTTATCAGGTCTGGTGTAATTAACTAGCTAAGGGAAAAGACCGTGTGTTGGCATATACCAGTGAATTCATGTAACAGTTTATTGTGATCCACAGTACTGCTATGAAAGTACCTTTTGCAAGGCAAAGGTTCAGTGCAGTGATCTTGAGATTTGGATATTTTGACTTGAGCCATGGCTTTGGATTTATCTACGAATGCCAAACTTCACTATGTGCGTTTCTCACTATGGCAGGTTGGTGTTTATCAAATAGACTTAAAACCAAGTTTGCCTTGTTAGTACATAAATAGTGCTTCAGCAGTGCTTTGGAACCAGTAACTCCCGTAGGATTGTGAATCCTATAGCAGACACACTTGGTAGGAAGTCGGTTTCACTTGGTAGGAAGTGCAGCCTAAGGTCTCTTAGTCAGTGTTTCATTTGCCTTCAGATAGCAGATTTCTCCCAGCGGAAAAGTGACCGTTCATCATATGAAGTCAATGAGCTTCCTGTTACTGAACAAGACCTGCAGAAATTGAGGAATCCAGATACAGAGCAAGAATTGGAAGTAAGTTGTTTTTTGTGTGTTTGTTTTTAATTTTTTTTTAAGATTTATTTATTTATTCATACAGAACTGGGGTACAGGCCAGAGATGCAGAGGGTGAGAGGATTCACCAGGGACAGAGTAGGGAGCAGAACAGGCAGATCGACGAAGTACACTGCTGAGGGGAGCAGCGGGCGGGTCAGGAGAGGTCTGCCACGCCATGTGGGTCACCTCCAGGGCAGGCGAGGATCCAACTCATGCAGAAGTGGCTTAAGCGTCTTAGTGCAGTGCTTTAACCCGCTGTGCCATCAGGGAGGGCCCGGAAGTAAGTTTTAAATATTGTATGTTGACATCTTTGATCATTAAATTGTTTGGAACTTTGCCTTGTAGTTTTCTCAGTTTAGGACTTCTCTTTCTACTCTTGAGAATTCTAAATATAAGTGTTGCTTCATGGTACTTGATGTTTTCACAACCTGAATATGTGATGGAAATGATAGCTAAAGTCTTTGTAGGGTCAGAATGTAATAATGTTCTAAGGTCAGGTCACAGTAAAGACAGTTCAATTATTTGAATTTAAACAGAATTTAAACGGAGTCAGTTCACTAACATCTTCCTTTTCTTCTCCCTGTTTGGCATTGGGAAGTCAGTGAAAGTTTGATAAGGAAGATGAGATGAACATCAAACTGCACACTTATTCAGTATTTATTCAGTGATTTTCAAAAATAAAGTACCCATGTATAAAGCTCTGAGTTGGATATTATAGAAGTTCAGTGAATAATTTACTGAAAGCTTGACTCACAAGTAGGGACAGAAATTCTCAAAACGATTACATTCCTGTAACAAAATGCCCAATGTCGTCAATGCCACAGTAGAAATATCCTCATGTCACTCTGGAGTTTTTGTTGGTGTGAGCTAATGGTGCTTGAGCCATCCAGGCAAATACCTCATCTGCTCAGAGGTAGAGCAGGGCGCTTTGAAGCCAGTTGTTACCTTGTACTCTCTTTTACTTTCCTTTCAGGTGCTTGTAAAGTTAGAAGGTGGAATTGGGTTGTCTTTAATTAATAAAGTTCCAGAAGAACTGGTCTTTGCAAGTCTTACAGGAATCAATGTGCATTATACACAGCTTGCAACAAGTCATATGCTTGAACTCAGCATACAGGATGTACAGGTAAGGGGCGGGGTGGGGGCAGCATTCAGAACTTATTAGTCACCTGGTCTTTTTGTTGAAAACCCAGGTGAATCCAGTGTTTGCTATTCTAAATAATGTTTTGATGGAAATATCTTCTGATTGTTTATATATCTAGTCACCGAACTTCAGACTATATGAATCAAAACTAATAGAATAAAAGGAGAAATAGACACATACACAGTAAGAATAGAAGATTTCACTACTCCTCTGAATAACTGATAGAGCAAATAAGGAGAAGGTCATCAGGAATAAACTAAACTTAAACACCTCTATCACTTAGACTTAATTGATGGTTATAGAGCACTCTTCCTACCAAGAGCAGAAAACACCTTCTCAAGTGCACATAAAACCTTTTCGAGATAGATCATGTTCTGAACTAGAAGAGAATTCTCAGCATATTCTAAAGGGATCAGAGCATCTTTTCTCATCACAATGGAATTAAAATAGAAATAAAAGAAGGATAGCTCAAAAATTCCCTCAGATATTTGGAAAGTAAACAATACACTGCTTAGTAACCCAAGATAAAATAAAAAATCATAATAAAAAATTAGAAAGTATTTTGAACTAAATGAAAATACAGCATGTCGGAATTTGTGAAAAGCCACTAAAGCTGTATTAAAGGGGAATTTATGGCAATAAATGCTGTTTACTAGAAAACGAGAAAGGTCTCAAAACAATGAATGCAGGTATGAACTGAAGGCTTGGTCAGAAGTGTGCTTCTGTCCTAAGCCCTGAGTGGGGCAAAGAAGGGAGGTACATGGCTTGATTTGTGATTTTAGAAGGTCACTGTCTCGAGTACAATGTAGGGCTGAGAACAGAAGTAGGACAGGGTGCTCCGGGCCTCACACCCTTCCCTTGGCACTTTAAGAATCAACACAAGAAAAGACAGCAGCAGTTGTTCAAAAGGACTGCGTGGAAATTCATGGGATGTAATAGAAATGTCAAAGGATTTGGTGCCAGAAATATCTTCATTTGAATCCCAACTCTTCCACTTACTGTGTGAATGTGGACAAGTAATTTAACTTTTCTAAGCTTTTGTTTACTTTTTGTAAAATGGGTTGGGGGGCATAATCTAACATCAATGATATGTTAGGCAATATGTAGAAAATATCCTTTGGGTTACCCAGCAGATGCTTTCTCTCTCCACCCTCTTCCTAGTGTGTAAAATGGGAAGGGAAGGTGGTTGCTGCCTGCAGTGAGTCTCCTGACATCCAGAAACTTACCTAATATGCAGGGAATATTCTCAGTTGTGGTACCACCAAGGCCTCAATAGATCAGTCCCTCAGGCCACTGGGGTCCCCACTGAAGGGGATGACTTGAAGACAGGCAACTCTTCCCATTGGTAGCCTTAAGAGCTACCAATCAAGGTCAGTTATAATTGACTCTCTAGCTTTAGATCTCTCCTTTTAAGGAAGTTGGAACAAGAGAGATACATCAGTTGCATCTTGCTGAAGCCCTGGGATCAGCAGACCTAGATTTCAATCTCTAGTTCTGTCCTTGTCTAGCTGTGCAGCTTTAAAAGGGTCCTCTCTCCTGAGCAGCCCCACCTGAGACGCGAGACCGGTGGAGTCGTGGAGGCTGCCACGTGGGTGGCAGCAGCGCCCTTAGTGGAATCATTTCAAGCTCACTGGTTCTGTGAGATAATGCTTGTGAGGTGGCAAGCGAGGTGCTTGCCACTGGACTCACCAAGGAAAGTACCTGCTTCTGTGACTGGTCTTCAGTGGAAACGGCTTTTTTCCTAGCTTGCTGTTGAGATGGGGGGAAATGGCAGGGGTGCTTTTGAGTGACTGCCTATTATGAGGCCCCACCTAGGGATAAAAGCCGAACAACTTGTCTGTCTTGCTCTGCTTGTTCTGTGTCCTAGGTGGACAATCAGCTCATTGGCACCACTCAGCCCTTCATGCTCTACGTGACTCCCCTGAGCCATGAGAGTGAGGTCATCGAGACAGGCCCTGCTGTGCAGGTGAACGCGGTGAAGTTCCCCAGCAAGAGCACACTGACCAACATCTACAAGGTAGGCCAGCGGGTGGCTGATTGCCCTCTTGTAGCCGCTTGTCAGATGAGCCGTGCAGGGAGTAGAAGGAGATGTCTTGCAGGCTCTGGCCCATGTGACGTGAGTGGTGTGGAGGGTTTGTAGGAGTTGCTTGTCTTAGCACTGGGTTTGCAGTCTGTTCCCACTGCTCTTGTGGGTGACAGTGCTAACCAGGACCAGCACTGACTCAGGCACATTAGTAAGCACGAGTCACCATTGGAAAGGGACAGGCCTGTGATGGACATCCTGCTGTGGAAGCTGCTGGAGTCTACTGAAAGCAGGAATCCCAAAGTGCTGGGCGCTCTTCCCTGGAGACATCTCCACGGGTAAGCTAGTGGTCATAGCAGCAAACTCTGGGAAGGCAGGACCCGGCCAAGGGCTGCTTCCCTATTTCTGGTCCCTTGTCACCAGCACTGATAGATCCAGGTTTGTGTGTGGCCCCCACACACTCACAGGCATCCATGTGTGCTCAGTACCAGCAGGCTCACTGCTCTGCACATGGGCGTTACCCCGGCTGATGGGCACAGAGGCCCTGGGAGCCACACACGAGCACGCGATTTGTCTACTGAACAGCTGGGACTTGGTTAACTGTGACTTTGTAGAGAGAGATGAGCGAGAAGTACTTATAAAATTGCCTGAGTAGAGAAACCATGTCATACCATTGGGCCTGAGCGACACAGAGGAGGTCCTTCTGGGGCTCACACTGTCAATCTGGATCTCTCGTCTCCAGCACCTGATGGTGACAGCCCAGAGATTCACCGTGCAAATTGAGGAGAAACTGCTCCTTAAGCTGCTGAGTTTCTTTGGCTACAATCAAGCAGAATCAGGTAAAGTTGAATGTTTTGGATTTATATTGGAGAATTGGCTCGAGCGGCATTTTCAGTCTGCTTGTGGAAGTAGGTTGTGTGGATGACTGACGAGTGTGCTCTCCACTTCGTAGCCTGAGCCAGGAAGCCAAGGCTTGTGTTTCAGTTGTTGCCTTTCAGAGTTCGCTTGTTCACAGGTGGTGAGCTGTGAATGAGGACTGCCACTCTGAGGCCCTCTGGTACTTCGGAGTGCCCAGTGGTGAGCTGTTGGGAAGCAGGACATCGTTCTTCCTGTCTCACCTTGTTAGGCTAACAGGAGTGATGTTCCTTGTTTAGCAAATCCACTGTTTCCTGACTGTTTACTAAGCAGACACAGGACTAAGAATCAGAAATCCCATCAAGCATTTCCTCTGGTTTAGTTGAGACAAAAAATCGACTAGCCTCAACTTCTTAACTTCTTAGGTCCGTGCCCTTATGCCTCTGTGTTTACAGAGATTTCTAGTTACTGTTCTTTTCTTTGGGGAAGGCGATAAGATAAGCTGTTGAGAAACGTAAATTTTCCAGCAGTGCTACAGAAATAATTAGCTCTCTCTGCTTTGGCGCCCTCGTCATGGTCTTTGAAAGACTGTGTATATGGCATAGAAAGAATCAGTAATGCTTAGTCTTTTGAAGCCTAAGCTACATATTAAGCCTGAAGAAATAACAAGATGGAAATTTTCGTATTTATCGTCCCATGTCGACTCTGGGGGAAGGAGAATCACTGGGGCCATGCGCACACCGGCACGGGCAGTGCAGGACAAGGTTTCTCTTTCGGTTAGACTTTAAGCTGTAAGTGTATTTGGGATCAAGAGCAGAATCCTGCTTGTTTGGTTCCAGGTTGGAGCACTGGTGCTGTTTATGTTCAGACTTGTGAGCCTGCCTGCCAGGTATCGTCCCCTTTTGCACCCTTCCCGGGCCGTTTTATTTTAAATTTGACTGGGCATGCCTTTGTTGTAAGTGTTCTCGTAAGTGACACTAGGTCAGTTTCCCCCTAGTCATTGTACAGGGATTTAGTCTTTGTAAACTCCTTCCAGCCTCCCACCATTCTCTTTTTTTCTTATAAACAGAACTAGATGGCTGCAGTCTATTAGGTTTTATTCTACAGCACATGAACTCGAGTGACAGTAAGCTTCCCCGGCGGGTGTGGGTGTGGGCAGGCACAAGTGCGCAGAGCACGTGGCTGTGTTCTGTTCTGTGTCGACCCTTTTGAGTTTGTGAGATGAGTGAACAATCTTCACCTGTGTATTAAAGTGGGTGTTCTGCTTTTTGGGAGATAGCGTGCTTTTGCGATCACATTTTTGTAGTTCTTTCTAGCCTGCAGCCTGTTTGTTTTTAAGGTGTTATGTTTCATTCAGATCCATTTTTTTCCAGATTGATTATTTAGTTGGTCATGATGTTCATTATGATTCAGTCAGTCTCACTCTAAATATTTATTTGAATATTGTCTTAGGCAATAAACTCAGATAATCTGGCTCATTTATAATAACAGCCACAACACTTTCTAGAAAACTCACTGCCAGCAAAAAAACTCTGCCAGCAAATTTCCCCCCAGTGATGGGTGCTTCCCCCACCCCATTTAGCGATCCCACCTGGCTTGTTTCTTCCAAAGATGTTATCAGCCGATGGGTGGAGTCACACATCAAGACTTTGAGCTGTTGTGTGCTTGAAAAACAACACAAGACACATCTGTTTTATAAAGAAACGGCATCAAGATACTATACGTATCACTAATCCTAAAAAGCTAAATTTAGACTGACGTTTACCTTTTGGTGAATTTTTCCTGATGTGAATGTAAGTATTTGAATCATGAGATTTCAGGGAATTAACTTAAAAAGAAAATTCTCTCCTTTTTACCAGAGGTGGAAAAATATGATGAGAATCTCCATGAAAAGTCAGTTGAACAAGGTGGAACCCCAATTCGGTACTACTTTGAGAATCTCAAAATCAGCATTCCCCAGATCAAGCTGAGTGTGTTCACCTCCAACAAGCTGCCATTGGATCTTAAGGTGAGCTGACATCAGTGTAAATTTTTTTAAATGTCTTCTTTAGAAAACAAATGAGCATGTTTCCAGCTTGCTTTTTCTGTCCAGCAACAGTTGTGATAGATACGTTATAGGTTTCCTTTTTTAAAAGTTTATTGACCTCATAGTCCACCCCCGCCCCCTTTCTCTCTCCTCTTTCTTGCTCTCTCTTTCCCTCCTCCCCTCTCTCCCTCCCTCTTTCTCTCTCTCTCTAAGAATGACTTTGCTGAAGATAAAGGAGTAATAAAAGAGAGTAAACACAGAGAGTTATATAAAACCCAGCTGCCTCTGCTTAGTCTTGGCTTATCTCAGTGAGGTAAAAGCCCCCTTCCCTAGGACTGCCCAGGACAGAAAAGCACAGCCAAGACTGGATCTTTTTTGTGCTCAAGATCTGCCTTCTCTCCTAGCTCATTCTCTCTGTCTCTCTCCCTTCTCCCTCCCCCTCCCTTCCTCCTCACCCCTCCCCCTTCCCCCTCCTCTTGAATGGTGGATGCTAGAAATGTCTGTCAAATACCCACTGAGGTATGACCTCCTACTGCTGTATAAGGACATAACACCCCCACATTCTGATATATACTTGACAGATATAATCTAAATACCATCTTTCTCTTCTGCAATAAAATATATTTTAAGTAAGGAATCAGATAGAATTTAAATCCAAGCCTGTCTTAATGCTCGTGTCTGTGTATTTCCCCTTAGAACATTGGGATCAAAGACTATTAGGAGAGCTCTTCTTGCTCTGTGAATAAGGACCTTGGAGTTCAAGTGTCGTGTCCATGTGGCCTTTGTGGATAGCGGGCGTAGAAGCAGGTGGTTTCTGGGAGTCTTCCCTAGACTGAGTCTCTGCCAGCCTCTCTGCCTCTGGTCCTTTTCGGTGCTCATCAAGGCTTCTCCGTGCTACCTACTGTCTAAGGCATTCTCTGCTGCCCCCTGCCCCTGCTGCCTCCTGGGTGATGCTAGGTGGGTCTCCCTGAACAGGAGCAGCTGGGAATCTGAGCAGAGGAGTCAGGCCCTGCAGCCATAAGTTGGTAAATCCAGGCCCCTCCGGGGGCCGTGCTGCCAGAGCGGGTGGTGGTCAGGGGCGTGTGCTCTCCCTCTGAAGGGCAGCTACAGTGCAGCTCTGGCCTGGCCTTGTTGGGGGAGGTTGGGGATGCAGGAGCCCAGTGTTGCCAGATCTTCAGATTTTAAAGAGAAGCCGGAAACCTGGCAACCAACTTGAGTTTTGGGTTTTTTTTAACCTTGTGCGCCTATCAGTACACATGTGTGGGTCTCATGTGACCCATGGTTTGCCAACTCATGGCTTCTAAAATAGACTTATAGGCGGTGAGGCAGCAGTCTGGTCAGCATCAGAACATCTTTGCATGAGAGGGTGTGGAGGCTGCTTCCTTGAGGCGGCAGGATGGGGCTGTGCTGGACAGGGCAAAGGAGCATTCTGTGGCCTCCTGGGAAAAGTGCAGTGTGCCCTTTGATGGCCTGTCCTGTCTGCTTGATTGGCTTTAATTTCATGTTTCCCAGGAGACTGGAGATACTTAGGGGGTGGGGTGGGGGGAATACCATGGGAAAGCCACTATCTTGCTAATATCCACAAGTATCCACTTGACTTATGTGACCCTGTGGAATGAGTTTGTTTGATAAAGTATATATTCATCCCCAGAACACTTGGCACTCACCCAACAAACCAGTGTTAAGCATTTCCTAAGCGTGAAAGGCTTCTTGTTTTTGAGTCATCCTACTAAGAAACACAGGGACCTAACTATTCCTTTCCAACGGCCCCTGGCCGTCACCGTCCCCAAGACTGGCAAATGTGTGATTTTCTACCACGCGGCGCTCCGGCCCCTGTTAGGCGGCATGGCGCCGGCGCGTGCACTCTGCGCACAGCCAACTGGCAGCCGGCCGTTCACACTGAGTGCTTCGTCTGGCACGGTAGAGAAGGAACGTTTTCAAGGCATTTTTCAAACATTTATTAAACAAATTCAGTGGAACCGCCATGTTAGGAGGTGTGGGGGAGGGGAGGTGCATGCAGGGCCTGGGAATTGGGACGTCAGAGTTGAACTCTCAGCTTGTGGAAGTCACCGCTTTACTGTGTCTCGAGTTGTCTTAGTGGAGTCTGGGACTCATAAAACAATGTCATTTATTCAAAGAGTTTTCTAACAGAGTAATATCCCTTTATTAGTAGCTCTTAAGAAGAGCAATGTGCGCCTTGAGATGGCTGAGAGTGTGTGCTTAAGAAATGAGTTCAACAGGAATCACAAGAGTCTGACTAAAAGGTAACCGTGTCTTTGGTATTGAAGGAATAATTATCTTGATTCTCCTGACTCCAGACCAGAAGTGAGGCTGTCAGAAATCTCAGCGGGAAGTCTCTTCAGGTTTACGCCGAGGGTACATTATTGCCAGATATAGTGTCTGTTCAGAAGGACTCAAAGCATTTTCCCATCTGCTGTCTCAATTGGATTCCTGGCTCGGAGGGAAGAAGGGCGAGATAATAGTCCCGTTTCATAAGTGCGAGATGAGGGCTCAGCCGTCCTCCCCTGGCCCCCTCTCCTCCATCATTCTCCCAAGTTTGCACATTAGAGAACAGGCGTGTAATACCCAAAATGCAGGTAGTTTATATGTTCTTTTGGTTGGTTGTGTGTGTGTATGTTTTAAGATCAAAAGGGGCCAGGAGCCTTTAAAAGACTTCACAAGGTGGCCCGCAGCAGCCTTTTGCCATTTGGAGCGGGGTATTACAAAAGAAGGGCTTTAATTGAGCAATCTAGTTTGGAAGAAAACCCACATTTTAATGGTCAGAGAGCAGGAAGGTGGGGGTGAGGGGGGATTTCAAACAAAGACACTATTTAAAAAGCCTAAAACTGTCTTCTCAAAGGCTTGAAATAATTTGTTGGGAAACTTCAGACCCTTTACTTTTTTCCCTCCCCTCCCTAAATAAAAACCAGATTTGTTAGAAGGAAAAAAGATCCAGTATTGTTAATTGTATTTCAGAAAGTGCCAGAGAGGGAAATATCCCTGTAGTTTTAAACATTGTCCCAAGAGGGGAATGGGCACATACCCTGCTTCACATAAACAGTCTCTGTGTACCATAAATAAACCTTTAAAGAATGAGTTCCAGACAGTTCTGTTTAGTGCAGGATAAACCAAGAAAGGCAAGGACGTGGCCCAGGGACTGTGATCTGAGACCCCATGGCATGTGGACAGGTATTTCTTCTCTCAACTCCGCAGTTTCTGGAAGACTTCAGCAGTTTTTGTCTGGAGCAAGTCGGAGTAGACAGTTTCCTATTTTTATTAGGAACTTATGAACACAGATGGCTTTCTCCTGAATCCATTTTATAACAGGAAACTCGCTGCTTGAGTAAACAAGCATCAGCTTTGTATACTACTGTATTTGATTAGTCATTTAGTTACTACAAGAAAAAGCTCCTTTTGGTTCTTTCTCTCTCATCTCTGACCAGAGCAACCTGAAGGTGGCAGAGTAATTCATGCCAGGGGCAGTGTCTCGGGCTCTTCAAATGTGAGGGGCCCAGGCAGTGAATGACTGGGTACGGGTAGTTTTTACTTCAGAGCCCGGTATGTCCTTGGTCCGGGCAGAGCACCAAGGTTCTGGCACTCTGCAGCTTCAGAGTCTTTGCTGCTCTGTGAAGTCCCCCTTCTTCCACATCTGGTTTGCAGTGAGGAAGTTTCACTAAAAAGCTTTGTGTGTTAAGCGTGTGTTTTGATCTCACTTCCTCTTCTCTGGGAAGAAAGTCATGCTTGGGGTTGTACCCACAATGGCCTGAGTTTGATCCCTGGCCAGGGAGTGACCCACCTGGCACAGCAAACCTCTCTCTCCTTCCTCGCCCGCTGCTCCCCTCGGCAGTGGATTTCAGTAGGTCCACCTGTTCTGCTCCCCACTCTCTCTGGAGTCTTCCCACCCCCGCATCTCTGGCCTGTACCCCAGCTCGTCTATGCAAAAATAAATAAATAAAATCTTTTTTAAAAAAACTAAACCAGTGTGCTGTGCCCTAGAGGCACCTCGCTTGTGCCGCATGACAAGTGTGTGGCTCTAAGCAAAGCAGTTAATGCTCCTGGGCTCCATTTGTCTGTCAGTGAGGTGAGGTGCTAACACTCACTCCCGCTCCGCTCACACTCGTGCAATCTCCACGCGGTGGGGAAGCTAAGAGGAAGGCTGTAGTCCTCCGGTGGGCATGTGTGCACCCCCCCTGGGCATCTGGATTTGTACACTTTTCTCTACATGTGGTACAGGTCAGTGAGAAAAGGCGACAAACGAATGGGCGCTATAGACCTAAAGCTAGTAGTGTTCATACGTGATTTGGGTTATCCGTCTACCTTTGTGTGTGCTACATAAAGTCAATACTCTACTCTCTCCTACGGGAAAACCCTTATTTATAAATATGAAACCCTTATTTATAAATATGAAAGCTTTGACTCTCACTGGGAAGTTGACCTGACTTGTAGCTGTTACGGAATCCAGAAATAAGTACCATGGAGGGCCATTAGGGGGCTAAAGTGATTTTCTTTTTTTTCTTAATTAGGCCCTAAAAAGTACCTTGGGATTTCCATTGATTCGGTTTGAAGATGCCGTCATTAATCTAGATCCATTCACTCGGGTGCATCCCTATGAGACCAAGGAGTTCATCATCAATGATATCCTCAAGCATTTTCAGGAGGTGAGCATGGGAGACGCCGGGGGCTGGAGGCAAGCCAGAGTTTCAGTGGTCTCCACGTTTGTTACTCAGTCGCTGCTAGTCAAGATGCTGCAGCCCTGCTTGTGCTGGGGCAGGTCACAGGTCATGAAAAGCCTGAAACAGTGTTTTTGATTTATAAGCTGCTAGTCTGTCCTCTAGAACCAGCCTCAGGAACTTCCACTCACAATTCCTAGGGTTTAGTTGATGCCTCAGGATGACACCCAGTGCTGTGGGTGCCCCGCTTACCAGACGTGGGCCTGCTGTCAGCCCCCACGCCGTGTTCTTGGTGCCTTTGAGATCCTGCCCTGGAATTGCACTTAATTTTTTTTATCAAGTTGGACATTTTCCATGTGTATTTATTATCCAGACTGCAAAGACAGAAATATATAGCCAAGACATACTCTTCAGTGAATAGTTAGGTCAAGAGCATATCAAATTTATGGGCTGTCAGAGTTAAAATAGATCCTGTCCTTCCTCTTCACCCTCTTTCCCTACCCCGTGTTTTCCTTCTTCACTTCCTTCCTCGCTCTCCTAGCTGCTGGTGTCCCCCCAGAACCGTGGGAGAGTGATGCCGCGGCTCTCAGTGGGCCCCGGATTCAGGCAGTGGGGGCGCCCAGAAGTGGGCACTTGCTTGGTACATCTGCCTGCACCCCCCATTCTCCCCTCCTCCTGCCAGATTCTCCTGGCTGCCTCATTCCACGTTCCTTATAGGAGTGACAGAAAGAAGAATATGATGGACATATTGATTGTAGTTGGAAAGAATCTTTCTGGTAGCTGTTTTTATTCTGAGGTGCATTTGAAGAGTGCCAGATGAGTGCAAGCAGCCCCTGGCACATGCCCACTGGAGGGCATTTAGGTGGAGCTCATGAGTGGACAGGATGTTTTATGCAGTTGGTGAGGATTAAGAGATGATTGTTGGTACTGAGGGTAAGAAAAATGTCAAACTTTTTGCTTAGGAACTCTGTCTGCGAATATAAACAGACGTTGGTTTTCTTCTCTTTCCACTTGACAGGAACTCCTCAGCCAGGCCGCTCGGATCCTGGGATCGGTGGACTTTCTCGGCAACCCCATGGGACTATTGAATGATGTTTCTGAAGGAGTTACTGGATTGATAAAGTATGGAAATGTCGGGGGCCTCATCAGAAATGTCACTCATGGAGTGTCAAACTCTGCTGCCAAGGTAAGGAGATTACAGCGGAATTTCACCTCCCGAGCCTCCTCACTAATGCCAGTTCTCTTGTAGTCCCGGCAAGTCACATTCACATTGACTTCACTCGGGCCCACGTGCCCTCCCTGCCTTTCCCTCACCTCCAGTAGCCTGGCGTGGGTTTGTCCGTTGCGCCTCTGAAGCAGCTCTTCTTCCTTCTCTCCACACCCCTGCCTCGCCCAGGCTCTGCATCTTCCTTCCCTGGGCCTCCGCAGGGGCTTTGATGCCCTGGGTCAAGCAACCTTCCAGGGTGAGGCGGCCCGTAAGTCACCTGACTGCAGCAGCGGGAAGACACTGCTGCCTTTTCTCTTCTCCCATGACTTGTTGCTACTTGGCTTCTTTGTCTGCTAACTGTCCTTTGGTGCATTTGATGGGCCTTTTGTTAGTCTGTGGTTTGTTTCGTGGCAGGAAATGATTTTATATGAGACGCAGGGAGGGAACAGACAATGAAGGGTAGTTGCTACGTGACAGTATTCGAAAGCCCCGTGATCAGCTCTGCTCTCCTCCTGCCAACTCAACACACTTTTCTTCTGTGGATCGACCTTTCTTGGGTGAAGCAGATAAGAAGGCACCGTGCCCTCTGCTTGGTCATTCTAATGCATTTGTTGAAGTGAAATCAAGGGTGTGCATGTGGGCCACTTGAGCATGCAGGTGACTCCACTGTAACAACCCGGGTGGCGCCACCGAGGGACTCACTTGGAAGAGCAGGTAAGAATGCAGGCCTGAGGAACATTCTGTGCGCCATGCCGCTCTTGGTAATAATGTCTCAAAGCTGTTTTACAGACATCACTCTTCAGTTAGATTAGTTTCTTCAACACCTCATCGTAGGAATCAGAACAAAACCAGAATGCTTAGCTGGTTGTTCAAAATAGGCAGTATTGTTGGGGTGTGAGGGTGGCAGACAGAGGCCGGTGAGGCTTCCTGAATCATGATCTGGGCACAGACTCAGGTTCCAAGTCTGAGTGAACGTTCACTTCTCCCGTGCAGCATTTCCACCCTCCCTGGGCCCTTCTCGCCTGGTGGCAACTAGTACCAGCGGCACAGGCTTCTCCATGTTCTCCTTTCAATACTGAGCTCAAGAGCAACAGATGCATGCAATATCTCATTTTACATGCCCATTGTAAGGATTTTATTAAATTCTAACAATCATAGGGAAGTCTCCTTAGTTTTAGGATTTTCCTCTTGGTTTTGTGTCACTGTACTTTGCCTTCATTGGAAAACTAAACATAGTAATGGTTCACCAAGAGGCCCTCGCTGAGGAAGGACGAGCACTGGTGCTGTTGACGTAAGGTGCAGTGTGACGTCATGAAAACTCAGAACGAGCAGGCTGGGTCTTCGATTTAACTCTTTTATTCTGTGAAATGTTCAGACGTGAGCCACCAGGAGACCCTGAATGCCCTTGAAATGGAAGCTAGTTTATCAGCCTTCAGAGGGGAAGAGCTCAGGCCCAGATGGGAGATTCAAGCCTCCTCAGCCAGTCGGCTGTGAGGTGGCTTTGTAGTTAGCCTCCTGGAAAAGATGAAGAAGTCGTGAAGTTGCCTGGGAACTTCCCACAGGTGAGACTTGTGAGGGGTTCTCTGCAATGTCATGGTGAACAGGGGCCGCCCTTTCTCCTTCGTTTATGGAAACCTCATTTGTTTCCTGGTTCTTCTGCTTCCTCTGGAAAAGCGGTTTTTGAAAATGAATGACAGCATAACTTCGGCAGAAACAAAGGTAGAGTAGTCCTTTTCCTCCAGTCCATGTCAGGCCTGGTGGCAGAGAAGCATTTTGCTGAGCATCACACTTCATATTCTTGTTGGGTTTACTCAAGGAATTTGCTTCCTGAGATGGAGACCTCAAGGGGGTGCCCTACTCCTTGTAGGGTTAGGGTCCCTCGTGTTTCCCACTTGCCTTCACGACCCCTCATGTTTCCCACTTGCCTTCCCGACCCAGTCAGGATTGGCATCCAGGGTGCCCCAGTGGAGTCACAAGTGTGTGTTTATAAAAACTAGTTCATATGTCTCTAAAATGAGAAAGCAAAGAGACTTGAAATTACTGCTTCATATTAGAAACGCAGCTCCGAAAGCCATGCTCTGACTAATAATGGGTGGGAAAGTTGACAGACCTCCTCAGATTCGTTATAGTACTGTATGGATGCATAGTTTTCTGTAGCAAGAATCTAACTCTGAGAGGTTTTTGCCCCGAAAGATGATTTGCTGTTACTGTAGACGGAATTGTGCGCTGAGGTGTGTTGCTGGGGGCTGGCACCCGGGATGCCTGGGCTTTCCGCTTAGTTTCACCCTTAAGTGCTCTTTCCCCTTTTCATCTTGAGGGGTGTAGGTGATGGTGATGCCCTCTGCCCTGTCAGCCCTTTATCCCCAGAAACCAGTTTATGGGTTGCGCCAAGGGGATAGGATGTAGGGACCAGCCACCACGTGTGAGCGCCTCCGCCACGACTCCCTGGCTGGATCTTGGTGTGGTGACTGCCCCTGTGAGTGGAGCTGCAGAGCCATGAACTTGCCTGCAGTCACTTTCGAGGAATACGATCCAGGTAAGAAAACTACAGCGCTCTAACTCAGAGCCCGTCAGAGGGACAGAGGACAGTGGATGATCTAACACACTTTTCCGTGCGTGAGTGTCGCATGCGGATCCCCCAGGCCTTCCGACCTCTTTCAAAGTCAGAGTTGGGGAGATACTTAGTGAACAAATTCCCTCTCTTTATAAAGACACTGACTTATCTTCTAGTCGAGTTTATGGTGTACCGTCGTCAGGTACGTACAGGAGAAACAGTTATTCTCAAGAAGTAAAAGTTATTTTCAAACTAAGAATCGCACCAGCGATTCCACTGTCTCTCCCTTCCTGTAGGCACTCGGTGTGCCCTTGCGCAGGCCGCTCTGTCCCCAGGAAGGGGCAGCACCGGCTCGCCTCCTGAGAGGAGCCGGGCCTCCGATGGCACTAACGAGCCTCTGGCCTGCCCACTTCCCACCGCTCTTCTTTGGGTCTCCGGCAAGGACCCTTAGGAGGTTTTTGGTCTCAGGTCCCTTTCCCCAGGGAAATGTGTTTATGTTAAGCATAAACACATGTTTACGTTTACAATGCTAGTATTTCTTAATTTTCTCTTTAATTGAAATTATTTTCATCAAATTCAGCTCGTGGAATTTAGAATTCATGGTTCATGGAATTTAGACTACATGGTTTAGAGTCCACTGCAGGTTAATGTCATTGATAACTTTCATGGTCACGTGGCAGTTTTCTTTCTTAACCTTCTGTTTTATTGCTGCCAGGCCCAACTTTTCTAGCTCTGTCTTTGCAAATAAACATTTATGTTAAGGGGATGTGAGTTTTCTGTCACACTTTAGCTAATACATTTTATTCTCTAGTTTTGCCAGTATTTTATCGTTTGAAATTAGGTTTGCTGGGTATAAATTGGATTTTAAAGACCTCATAGTCTTGTATTACTTCTTGATAAAAGACGGGAACAGGATTGAGACTCCTGCGTCATTATGGGCCGACTGATGTGAACATTCATTGAAACTTGCTTTTGTTAGGTCCTTGCTGTGTTTTGTTTTGTGTATGTTCACCTCTGTTCAAGTCAGGAGACTGAAATTTAAAGAAGTTTTCAAATAACACAACTAGAAGTGACGGGTGGATTTGAAACCCAGTCCAGTGAGCTCTAGAGGTTTCTTTCCTACATAGCTTTGCTTGTGTGTGAGACTTTCCCCCCGGCACTGTGGAGAATGTAACACATTAATTGCTTCTGCGTCCTTCCAGCAGCCTATTATCTGGCATCATTTTAGTAAGGTGACTGTCACTGTATCAGTGGTGTCACAAACTAGAAGTGGGCGTTCCTGGGGAGGCTGGTCACAAGCAGTGGCATCTCCTCCACAGGCAGGGGGCACCCAGCAGTGGCAAGCCTGGTTCACTTGTGTGATGTCACTGGTCATCAGGGTGACCTGGTCAGTAGATGGGTAGATGCTTCAGTTTGGACCTCATTGTTCTAAATAAAACCCTTAGGCTGGGAGGAGGTGACTTGCTCCAGGGCGGCCGGGCAGTGGCAGAGCTGGGGCCTGGCACTTCTGCTCTGTGGCCTCTCGCTTCTCAGCTTGAGTCACATTTTTGAGGTATTGCTGACTCCTTTGTTCTAGACATCCTCTCTACACTAACAAATAAGAACAACAAGAAAAACGAAAGACCTGCATCTCGTCTCAGAATAAACGGTTAGCTTTTAGGAAAATTGTCTGACGATAAAGGCAAATTAGGTGATAGAGAAATGAGACAGCTTAGACAGAAAACCCAGGTAGGACTTCAGATAACATGTGTCCCGTTTCCCTGGTCTCTGTTTGGGCACAGTGTCTGGGGGAGGCACTTCCTTGCAGGAGAGCTTCGCGCTGGCCCCTCGCCTGCCACAGAGTAGAGCAGCCATGCAGGGAGCTGCTCGCCTGCCTGCCCCGAGAGTCCACTGGCTCCGCCGCTAGCCGACACCATCACGTGTGCTGCGGCCCCCTGAAGGCAGAGGGTGCATCTGCCTTTTGTTTAAGAGCGAGCATTTGTTTGCGTTTGCTCTGTAGACAGTATGCCTGTGAGGCTTAAACAAGACCGAGAGTACTGTTTATGCAAGACAAGTTTTTATCTTCACACAAAAGCATGTGCTGTGTCTGCCTGTGTGGATTCTGAAGGGGAAAAGGCAACTTGTGACTTGTGTCTGTTTTTGTCATTATGTATGACTGCTCCGCTTTATAGTTGAGCTGATTATCCCCATAATAGCTTTTCCATGTACCTATGTGCAAGTAATAGGAGGATACCTTCTGCGAAGCACTGGGCTTTGGTGTATTTAAGTTGGCACAAAACTTTAGGTTAAAAGAATTCACTTCAGACAGTGATCTATACCTTAGAGAATGTAGAGTTTTCTATTTTCAAAAGGACTTTGATCCTAAATAAGTCACCCAGGGGATTTCTTTTCCAGTCCAGAGGAGGTGCCTTCAAGTTGCTGTGTG